AGAAGGTGCCATACAAATATAGGCCATTTATAAACTTTGTATTTTTTTATGCCTAAAGATGAATAAAAATGAGAAAAATGAATGGTGAATTATCACAACTATTATTTAATAAAACGTTTTATTCCTTAGTGGAAATGCAATAAACTTTTGAGGATACGCAGAAACATGCTGACCTATGACCTGGGGCGATGGGTGAGTCATGCCGTGAGTCATGCAGGTTCAATAAAAGCCATTCTATATTCCCGCGGTAACCGTTTGGTGTAAACTGGTCCCCGAAGCCGTGGGGGTTCATATCAGATCTGGATTTTATTAGACATCCCCGTGATCTCAACCCTGTTATATTTTTGAAACACACAAAGTCGGGTTACTGTCACTGAAATAGAGACAAAATATTTCTAGCTTCCTAACCATGTCCATGGTTATTTATTTTTATGAACACCAATCTGATGATATAATGACCAATCTTACTTTTCATATTCCTGCTGTCAGTATTGAGATGAGCCAATGAGGATGACTGTCAGTGGGGTGATGGCAGACCCACCTGACCCAGCCAGGCGCTAGGACCCAGCAGGTGCAGCATCGTGTTTAGTTACGGTATTTCCCTGACCTGCAGCTCTGTTCCGTCAGCAGAGCGCTGGATGCTCGCAGACAGCAGCGGCAGCCGCGTCCTCCTCAGGGCGCATCCAGCATCGCACAGCGCGAGCGCACAGGGGAGGGGGACAGCCACAGTCTAAACCACACTCCATTCATGGACTTCAGGAGCGACTCAGACCTGCACATACTATTGTTTTCCCACATTTCCTGCGTTTTTGGATGATTTAGAAACTTCAGGCATGGCTTCATCCGTGAGCGGTGCAGAGGAGGTCCGGGTGTCGGCGCTGACGCCCCTGAAGTTGGTGGGACTAGTGTGCGTGTTCCTCGCGCTCTGCCTGGTTGTCGGGGCTATGGTGAGCCCAGCTTGGGTCACGGCGGACGACCAGTACTACCTGTCCCTGTGGGTGTCCTGCAGAAAGCCGCTGAGCTTCGCGGAGTGGTCCTGCGACAGCACGCTGACCACCGGTGAGGCTTCACACTAAATGAAAGTTTTTAAGCCGTGTTGTTTTGGGATGTTTCCGTTTTAATCGTGGCTGCCTGCAACATTCATTCATATTCAAATGAAAGTAGCAGGCGGGAGCGACAAAGGCTCTCTGCACAAGCAATCTGTTCGGTGGGTGAGAATTAAAACATTACCCGCGAGAAGAAGGCGGTAATTACTTTATCATTTAATTGGCTGGTTAATTTAAACCGCAGAACTTTTCTTCATTTACTGAAATAGTAAAAGAAACGTCAGCACAAAACGGTAAGAGAAATAAAGGTTAATTTAAAACTCAGCGTAACTTTGACTTGTTCCCTTTGCTTTGGAAACATTTACCCGGAGCGCCGCGGAAGGATGTGGGAATGTAGCCCGGCCAGGAGCGCTCCAGATGGGGTTTCATTTGGCCTTTTGTTGCATACAAAATGAGCCTTTGTGTGGGTTTCTGCACCGGCCAAGGAGCAAGGGCAACCTAGAACACAGAGCTCCCCAGAGATCCAGATGCCTGCAGATTAGTTACCAGGGAAACAATTCAAGCACTTCAGAAATGCAGTTTTTTCCCCCCAGTTAAGGATTCCTCCTGATGGACCCTCTCCATTCAGCTTGTCTGTCTGAGTTTTATAGGCTTCTGCCATCATAGCTCATTATTTTACACTAAATGATAAACGGGGGGGGGGGGGGGGGGGGGGGGGGTCACAGCTTTGGGATTTTACTCAAAAATGACAGATTTTTTGACTCAGGATTAAAAACCCTTTATCATTTTCTTGCAGATGCATTTGGGAACATTTTGGTTGAGTTGATTAATTAAAAGATAAACAAAAATATAAAGCTATTTTAAATGTAACTAAAGTAAAAAGGCTTTATATTTTAGACTTTTTGGACCTGCACATGAAGCTTACATAAGCATATCCCATCTGTGCCCATAAATATTTCATTTATTCGCTGCCCCTGGCCGCCTCCTGGGTGCAGTGTGTTGATTTGTATTTTTCTAAGTCCAACAAAATGTTTTCTTTCCGTCTGATGGGTGACTGTGGGTCACACTGGCCCCATTCCTCCTCTGTCAGCCCAGACAAAGTGCACTTTGGTGCCAAATAAAGACATGCAGTCTGCACGTCAGCTCTCAGCAGCATACCTTGGTAAATGCACGCAGCAAATTTCCCATTTCCTCCAGCTTGTGCTTATTGATTTGAATCCTAGTAATCACTTTCTACCCTCCCTCCTCACCCCTTCAATCTCCTTCTCACCCTTTAACTCCCCAATATTTTCCCCAGTGTCATGCTCTGGGCATTAACTAAATCCTGTTAGTCTGAAACAGGCAGCTGGTCACTCAGATGTGTTTGAACTTGCTCTATACGAGCCGGCGTTTGTCCTGGAAAAGACAATAAAACAGTTGAAAAACTGACATAAAGTGCTATACCTTGTTAGGGTTTGTTCACAGTCTGTAAACTCACACAGAAGTCCATTATAAAGTTGTTTGTTTCACACAGACAGATAGGATCGGGTGGGGTTGGAGGTCAAGTTTAAAAGGTACAGACGCAGCGTTGAGTTTGGAATGTGGAGCTGAAATGCAAGTGTTGTGTGTCGACGCCAGCGTGGTGTGAGGTGAGGGGACGAATGTGGCGCCAGTGTGTGAGACAGTCCAGCTCAGTCAGGGTGGTGGCATTAATAATGTAATATTGATCCCATTTTGGGAGCTTATCTTCTCTCTGAGGATGGTCACGGCTCAGTGGTGGCCTCATTCAGGTGGTGGAGAGGAGCTTAAACCAGGAGCCTGAGACTGAAAAATTTTCTGGCTTCAAAAATCCTCAGCCCTGCTGCCCTGAGACAGTCAGGTTGAAAAGAGAATGAAAGTACTCGGGGCTCTTCTGTGACACAAATCTGTCTCACACACACACTGAACCCAAACCCGCAGGTGTCTTGATTAACACTTTGCATGCATGCAGGGGGATCATAATTAACGCTCAGATCAGATCTTCTACTGTATCTCCTTTTCCATCTGTCAGCACGCGGGGCTCAGATTATTAGTTTGGCACTTCCTGATCATTCAAAGCCCCCCAAGCCCCTCCAACTCTGGCCTCGTTTCTTCACACGGAAAACAGGCTCTGTAGAAAATCTGAGATGGGATGATGTTCTGCATCCTGCTGTTCCACAAGCCCACTGATAAAGCTGCTGATCGATGCCGTCCAGCAGCGGCCAACTGAAATCAGCTCCGGCTGAAGGCACAAAGCTGACCTAGAGGAGGTATCTTCGGAATGATGAGCTGTGTCGTCTGCAGGTCTCGCTGTTTCTGCTGAGAAGCAGTGAATGCTGATGGGTCACTGTGTGTGTGTGTGTGTGTGTGTGTGGGGGGGGGGGGGGGGGGGGGTTCTGCTTAAGCTCTTTCCAACATCCTGTGGTGACAGGAACATGTATAAAAGCGACCATATTTGGTCAAAAGTAGTAGATGTTTGTTTATATTTAAGCCACTTGGCCTCTGGAATATAGAGTTCCCTTCCAGTAAGGGGGAACCGTGTTTTCAGCAGCTTAGGTCATCTCACTTTCTCACTGCTGCTGAGTGTTTTGTTGATTTTTGCCTCAATTGGAAGGAAATCGTCTTGGCAATAAATGTAATCTTTTTATTATTCCCTGGCCCCCCTAATAACCAAAAACACGTATTAAGTCTATCAATGACTCTACATTAAACTGCTGCACACATCGACCTACCATTTGATGTTATTTCATCCATCCACCGTACTTTAAATGATCTCCTCCTGTGTAATCCAATGCCTTCCTCTGATATCCTCCTCATGTTTACATGCAGACCTCCTGTTTTTGTAAAAGCTAAGATCCCCCTACCCCACCCCTCCTCTAAACACTTAGCTCTTTTCTAAAACATCATTTTCAGCCCATTTTTTTAAACAGTTTGTATTTGACGCCGTTTGTTTCCATCCTGCTAAAAGTGGGAGACTGATGATGGTTATTTCCAGTCAGGTGTGTCTTTTTAGAGTGAATCTCAGTGAGTTGCTGAGAATGCTGCTGAGCTGGCATCAGCCGGAGACGAAGGGATACTCATTATCCGAGCCGCCTCACAGAATCGCTTTTCCCGCTGCTCTGGGATTCATTACTGAGGTGCTGAAATCTAAATGTAGCAGAGCGTGTTTGTGTATTCGCTTCCTGTCGAAGCCGAGAGGGCCGTGCTCTGATGGAGACTTGTTCACAACTTGGTACGCATTCCTCATCTGTTCAGCCGGTCGTTGATCCCCAGCGGCTCACATCACAACATCTTGAGACATCACCAGCTTTTCAGAATATGCAGCTCTCCTGGCCTCTGGACCACAAATAGTTTGTGTTTACTCTGCGGTAAATCCCCACAAGCTCTCCTGGGTGGGATCGTTATTTTTTTTAAGTGAGATTGAGCAATGCAGTGTTCTTGTGGCTCACCACCATGACCTTTGACCTATTCTGCAGATTCACTTTCTTCTTTTGTCCTCCCTCCTTTATGCCAGCATAGCGAACTGCTTTCTAGTGCACTCTTTTTTTAAGCTACCCATGTCCCTCACTTCTGTCCCTCTGCTTCGTCTTAGATTGGCAGATCGCCACGCTGGCCCTGCTGGTGGGCGGCGCAGCCCTCACCATGCTCTCCTTCCTCATCGCTCTGGTCTCTCTTTGCTTCAGCTCCAGGAGTCGCTGCTACAAGCCAGTGGCCGTCATGCTGTTCTCTGCAGGTACGTAGAAGTGTTCTTTAGAGACGAGGAGAAAGAATAAAACATTAAAAAATCAAAGCTCTCAAAATTAGCCTCAAGACTTTAGCCGCCTTCATTATTATCTCTAAAACAAGTGTTTAGGGTTGATTGTGTTTGGGATGATGTGAATTTCGCATACGATACATTTTTGTCTATATTTTTAGATCTCTATAACAAACATTGTTCTATTAGAAAATGTCAGGGGAAGAAAAATCGTAACAGAAAACCATGGATGACTAAGAGTTTACAAAAGGCATGCAGAAAGAAAAATGTACTATATAGGAAATATTTACTATTAAAAACTAGTGAAAGTGAAAAAACATATAAACAGTATAATAATATGTTGACCTCTATCACAAGAAGACAAAAAAAGGAGCAATATAATACATTATTAGAAGGAAGTAAATATAATATTCAAGCGACGTGGAATATTATAAATGATATTATCAATAAAAAAATTTATAAAACAGAATTTCCTAGACATTTTGTAAGTAAATGTGGCGATATAATGGACAATAAACAAGATGTCGCTGAAGAATTTAACAATTATTTTGCTGATGTCGGTAAAAGTCTGGCCAAACAAATTCTTTATTGTGATAAAAAATTAAATATGTTTGATCACCTTATTAAGGATTCATTCTTTCTTTTTGGGAGGGATCAACGACGGTGATATAATAGAAACTGTTAGAAAACTTAAAAATAAGAAATCCACTGATATTAATTTTATTGATACATTCATAATTAAAGAGATCATTGATTTATTTGTAAAACCTTTGACTTTTATTTGTAATCTATCCTTTCAAAAAGGTGTTTTTCCAAACAGCATGAAAATAGCTAAAATAAAACCAATTTTTTTAAACGGAGACAAACTTTGTGTTGATAATTATAGGCCAGTGTCCCTACTTCCTCAGTTCTCAAAAACATTCAAGGAATTATTTGCAAAACAGCTGGATCTTTTCATTGAAAAATATGGGTTACTTAGTGAGCACCAATATGGGCTTAGAGCCAAAAGAACAACTGCATATGCAATTATGGAAATGGTAGAAAAAATAACAGAGGCCAGGGAAAATGATGAGTATTTTGTTGGGATTTTTATTGATTTGCAAAAAGCATTTGATACTATTGATCACAGTATATTATTTTTTTTAAATGGAGACGTATGGAATAAGAGGAGTAGCTTATTCATGGTTGAGTAGTTATTTGGACAATAGGAAGCAATATGTAAAAATCAATAACACAAACTCAAAATTTAGGAAGGTTACTTGTGGTGTTCCCCAGGGATCTGTCCTTGGACAAAACTTTTTTTTTTTTACTTTACATTAATGATATTTGTAAGGTCACTAATTTATTGAAATTTGTCATTTTTGCAGATGATACAAATTTATGTTGTTCAGGTAATAATTTACAGAAACTTTTGCCCTTAATAGAAAAAGAATTGGGAATCCTTAAGACTTGGTTTGATATTAATAAACTATCACTCAATTAAAAAAAACACTAAATTTATGATATTTGGTAATCAAAGGAACTTGACAGGGAAATTAACTTAAAATATGGAATGTTGAAATTGAAAGGGTGACAGAAATTAAAATTTTGGGGGGTGGTTATTGATCATAAAATGAAATGGAGACAACATGTTTATTACATTAAAGGAAAACTCTCTAAGATTATAGCAATACTGTAGAAATCAAGACATACATTGAGTTATGCAGCGTTACATATTGTTCACTCATACCACCTTACATTTCATACTGTGTGGAAGTCTGGGGACTGACTAATCAAACATTAGTGCAATAGTCCTCTTATAAAAACGTGCAGTACGTAATATTAATAAGGCAGATTATTTGGCACATACACATCCATTGTTTTTAAAATCACATTTTATGAAATGCCATGATTTGGTTTACTATAAAATAATGCAAATAATGTATAAAGCTAAATTAAAGTTACTTCTGCAAAGTATACAAATGTTTTTTTCTTGTGTAGAAACTAAGTATGATTTTAGAGATATTAATAAATTTATTGTTCCTTCGGCAAAAAAATAAGTTAAAAGGAAATGTATATCTGTGGTGGGGGTTCAATTATGGAATAATGCCAATGTAAATGTAAGAACTTGTGGTACATTTTTGTTGTTTAAAAGGCTGGTTTTGAAGATAATTTTTGACGGTTACAAGATTTTATAAGTTGTGTTGTAAATGTAAAAGTATTGTGAACTTATTTGACTAAATGGTGAATATTTCTCTTCTTCATTTCTATTTTGCTTAAATTGTACAGATTTTTTAAAGGGGTAGATTAATTTGTTAAAAAGGTCAGGCATAAAAAAAGCATGTTGCTTCGCCCTGAGCCTTTTCAGTCACTTTAAATGTAATGTAATGTGTTATTGATTATATTATTGTTTTGACTGAATAAATTCAATTCAATTCAGCACGCTCGTGTTGACATTTGTGCATTCTGCTTTCTTTTTAGTTGTTCTTCAAGTGTGCAGCCTGGTCCTGTTCCCCATCAAGTTCATAGAAACAGTCAGTCTGAGGGTCTACCATGAGTTTAACTGGGGCTACGGCCTGGCCTGGGGATCCACCATCTTCTCCTTCGGAGGCGCCATCCTCTACTGCCTAAACCCCAAGAACTACGAAGATTACTATTAAAGATACACGTCAAGAGTAGAACCCCAGAACTCTTTGTTTCACTCAGTGTCCACGTGTTAGAAATGTATGTCTCACGGTGCACAATCACACACTGGAGATGGGAAAACCTTCATAGGGTCTGAACTGAGTTCTTAGATCTGATGCTTTTGTCTCAAGGACTATCCTCCTTAACCACATAGATGCAAGTGAACATTCTTCAAAGGAAATTCAAAACTAGACAATTAAAAGAAGACATTGGTAGCAATCACAAAATCCTGCATCCCCCTTTAAAAAAAGCTTCAGATGGTCTTGGACAGGCAGTCTGCAGGGAACAGATGGTTCTTCTGACCCCATACCTGCACAAATTGGTGAAGTAATAAACCACAGAGCAGAAAAAATAAAAACACTGATGCAATCTCAGGCCAATGTAGAGGAAGATGCCCTGCATGACTGATATCCTCATAATGACAAAGCGAGGAAGACATTCTACATTTCCCCTGAGATGCTCTCCACACCTGGGCCACAGCCAAGACTTTTTCCTTCAGTTGAGGTGAAAAGATTTGTAAACACGGGCCTAAGGAGCGATTTTATTTCATCCTGCCCTATAGGAGTCCACCAGAAGTCTCAAAGACACCAATAATAAGGAATAACAAAGACTGAAAAACATTCCAAAGGAACATGTACTGGTTAACGATTAGCACCGCCTGTCACAGCCGTGGTTTTCAGCCTCAGTCCCACTTCGGTTGTGGTGAATCTGGTTTATGAATATTAATGCATTCCAATCAGAGCAGTGGGGAAAGTAGCAAATGACCGTGTCTGCTGAGAGAACACGTCTGCATGATCATGCAATTCAGCATGTGATGACTCCTTATCTCCTTCTGAAAGAAATGTGAAGTAAACAGAGAAGAGAAATAAATAAGTCTCTGTCTAAAAGACACATGGCTGTTGACATCGAAGGTGGTGTCCTTAATAAAAGCATTTAAGAGAATATTTGAGTAAAAGGAGGAATGCATGAGAAGTGAAGTCAACGACCTGCACCCATCTGTTCTGGGATCGACCCGACTCCAGAATGACATTTGTGTTCTTGAACTTCCTCCTCTTACAGCAAAGTGTGCATGCCGCTATTGTCTACTGCTGTTTCTGATCACCAACACAATAAACATGTACAACAGGAAACACGGACTCCAACCAACTGCAGCTGTGTGTCGTCAGGTCACATAGAATCAGCTCATTTATTAAGTACAGCAAGTTGAGGCCTTTGCACAGGAAATCAACATCTTATGAACACATAATACATGGTGGCATAATATGCATAGAAGTACAAGGACTATACTTATATGCAAGTGTCTTTAGTGTTCTTTCAGTGAAATGAGCTCTCACACAGAGCCAGATACAGTGTACATTCTACATTAGTCACAACTTATATATTTCTTATTGTTCTGCGTTGAGAAAGGGAGTCAGATTAAAGAGAAGGTGCCTCCAGTTCAAGTTCAGTAATGGGCACAGTGTAAACAGGGCAGTTGCTCACTTCTGCATGGAATGTTCTCTATAGGTAAACCGAAGCCTTCTCCCTTCAACCGTTTTGACCTTTTGCAAAGCCCGTTCCACTCACTGTCCCCAGTTGCAGCATTTTGTGTCCCCGTTTAGACATTTGCCAAGACAGGAAATTTTCTGTCCAGGAAAAATAATATTAATAAAAAAAAAATCATTATCAAACTAAAAGAACCGAACGAGGATCATAGTGCACAGCAGCAGATGACAGGAGAGATCAGAGGGGAGATGGTGGCTCTTCCTCAGCAGGTAGGAGAGATTTGATTGACCGGGGCGGACGTCAAGACAGATTCTGGAGGGCTGGGGTTTTGGAGTCCAAAAACTTGCAAAGGATGGGGCAAAGGGATAGGCAAGACAGTGCAGTTCAGCTGTGGCGCGGCATCTCACACTGCTCACAGCGGTTGAGTGCAGGGTGGTTGAGGAAGGTGCAGCTTTCACAGTTCCACTGAGCTCCTTCAAAGTCCTCGTCTCTGGGAGGCGCCGCCACTGGCTTGGAGCCCAGTTCCCCTTCTAATAAAACAAAACAGCAGGTTTGAAAGGGTTTGAGTGCACGTGCAATAGGACCTAGTCTGTGAGGTGCGGTATATGCACCACACATTTCAGAGTCTAAACCCCAAGTAAGCATGAATTCAAGCAAATATCATTACAGTTTAAAATGAGCCAAGCCGTATGAAGGATTTCCACACCAAGAGAAGAGGCTATAACCCAAAATCAGCTCCGATTTCCACTGGTTACTAAAAGCCCCAAGTCTTCAAAAAGAGAAGGCCCTCTCATAAGTGTGTTAGCCTGATTCTCTTTCATCTAATTCTTGAGATCATATGAAATCAACAAAGCCTCATCTTTATGCTCCAACATGTGCACCTTTTCTTACCTTTCCTCCCAGTTTTGGGCGGCACAACTGGACCAGGCTGGATGTTGTCATAAAAGTTGTTCATTGCTTTTGGGTCAAATTTCCCTGCGGAGTGAAGCAGAAATCAAATACACGGTTAATCTGTTTCAGAGTGCTCATTTCAGTCAATCAGCTTTGGTTCCAAACGATCTCCTCGACTGATTCGAGACACATTCAGACCAGGAAAATATGTTTGGGTTGCTGGAGTTCACCTCACGGTTGTGAGGACAAATAAAACATAATTAAGAAAAAGTTCAGCCCTGTTCAGATGGATTAATTACTGCATGCATGCACACTAGGGTTGGGACAAATTATTCGACCATTGGCGAATTACATTGGCAGTTACGTTTTTATTTTTTTACAGGAGGTGATTTGTTTGTTTGTTTGTTTGCTTGCCAATGAGTTAGTGTATTAATGACAGATATTTAACACGTTACGCACAGAGAATATCACAGAGGTAACTGACAAGTAAAGATCTTCATCTGAGCATTATCTCTCACTTTCTTCGCATCTCCCTGCTGACAGAGTGTGCAAGCTCAGAGAGTGTCTGCAACGCTCTTGACACTGTGCACAAGAGTGCAATGTCGAGTGGAAACCATTCTATCTTTCAGGGAGTCCAGTAGACTTCTAGTTTTTTATTTGGAGAATTTTCCCCTAATTTTAAAACTTTGCTGACTGCTTTGAGCCGATCAGGGGAGCGTGGATTAGAGCCCTGCACTGAAGCCCTAGGCCCTCGGGTCGGCCCGGCCCGAGGGCCTAGAGCTTTGGGCCAACGACTGTGTAATTACCTCGGACACGGGTCGGGCCAGGCGCCTTTATTTTTAATCGAATTCATAAAAAAAAAAAAAAACTGAAACACTTGAACGCAGCAGCACCTGCCTGCTTCTCGTGCACCGGCACCGTTAACTGAGTTCAGGTCTGTGTGGTTTATAAATGTGCCGATATAAACAAATTCTCAAACTGCTGATTGAAACATGTGCCCCTATTCTAATATGCCATTTTATGTCCACTTTGATGTCAGAAACCATTCGTTTATTCTCATGAAAATGGCAGCATTCTATTTTTCTGTGAATAAAGTCGCTCTGCAGTTAAAAAAATACAGCAGTCATTGCTGTTTTTTTTCTAACCGGAGAGCACATTTTCAGAGCGGCAGATTAAATTTACAAACGCTATAATAATTGGGGGCGTTTATTTAATCTGCCGTTCTGAAAATGCGCTCTGCAGTCAGAAAATTAGAATGCTGCTTTTCTTTTAATTGCACAAGAGCGCATTTTCAGAGCAGATTAAATTTACAAACGCATCCAATTAATATAGTGTTCATACATTTCATCTGCCGCTCGAAAAATACGCTCTGTTAAAAAAAAGCTGCATTGATTCTGTTTTTCTTTCTTTTCTTTTTTTTTCTTTTATTTTTTTTTTTACTACAGAACGCTTCTCGCAGATAATTAGAATGCTGAGCAATCTATCACACTAAAACATTAAGAAAGGTTAAAAAAAGTCGGGCTCGGTCGGGCCAGAGAATCCTGAAAACCTTTTCGGACCGGGTCGGGCTGGGGCTCCACCCCCTCGGGCCGGGTACGGACTCAGATTTTAGGCCCGTGCAGGGCTCTAGCGTGGATTCATCCAGAACAACATTTAAACAGAGTCTGAGGCAAAAGTCCAGAACCTCAAAACCTCTTCAGCAAGCCCCCTCAAGCTGCAGGTGACCAGCTCAGGTTTACGCACAGCAGAAGGGATGTGCGTTCAGGCCGCAGCAGGTGAAATGTTCCTAATTCCTAAATCGTTTAATTGCATTGTTTATATGTTCAGCATGTTTGAACTAAACATTATTTTAAAATGTATGGAAATGCAACGTTGAATGATTATTATTTTAAAAATGAAAGTAGCGTCGGGGATAAATGTGACCTCTGGCTGTGAGCAAATGCATCCTCCTCAGAGTCCAAAGGAAGAAGCGACTCATCCATTTCCTACTCAAACTTATAAAAGAAAGAAACCCAGTAGCCTTTGTTCAGAAAAAAACATTTAGCTTAAATAAAATACCACAATGGTGGGAACCACAAGGAAAACACGAGGCTTCTTTTTAGCACTTTAACCACGTTTAATACGAGCTGTTTATAAGTCAATCAAACTACTAATACAAACGTAAACAAAATAAAATAAATCTAAAATTATCTTACAGCAAAAATATGTGCTGTGCTTTTATTTTTAAAAAATCAGTGTTTGGATTTCTGTGATCACAAATCAGCCCGTGCATCACGACGTATTAATCACCCACCGTTGTTTATTGGACTGACAATCAGCGGTGAAAAAAATTATACAAATCGCCCAACCTTAATATGTTATAATACTTGTAAATAAACGGCTTAAATGTGGGACTTGAGTTTATTTACAAAAAAAGGGTTTTTTCTTCTTGTTTTCATTTTCAGGCCTGAAGCCGTGAGCCTTACTAAAACCACTCCTTGTGCTTCCGTACATGTTAGTAAAGGAACGGTGGCGTTTTTAGAAATGAACATAAGAAATAAACATCTAACTTCAATGCACATTGTTCTAATGTACAATACTTTTCTAAACTTATCTTCAGCCACTAAACCAAAACAGTAAATGGGATTGATAACGTTGCACAAAATGAATCAAGTCCGTCCTCGGCAATTGTACAACTTAAATAATGAAAATCTCTAAATCAGATTTGTGATAATCATCGACATGAACTCTCCCTGCAGCAAGAGGGATAAGAATACTTTCAGTTGGCTAAAGAAAATCTGTTACAACCCCTCGGCTATTCACATACTGGATATAATGATTTGTTTTCATTGGGGGGGGGGGGGGGGGGGGGGTGTTGAACGGAATATGTATATGTCGATGACGGAACCACATAAAAGAAATGTAGCAAATGTTTACGTGTAAATTCTCCAGTATTCTCTCAAGTATCATTAAACAAAATATCACAATATTTCAGTGTATTGATATTTTCTTACATTCATTCTTATATTAATGCCATATCTGTAAATATCAGTTTTAAAACAGATATTAACGTTGAATATCAATATCGACCCACATGAAAAACACCTATAGAGCCCAGAGAGGCGCAGAAGGGGATAAACTAAAAATGTTCCATTTAAACAAAAATAAGGTATTTTTAGAGGGGAAACAGTCATATTGTTTAAAGTCTGACATGATGAAGCACGCTAATGCTAGGTGGTTTGTTACATTACTATAGAGGTCTACAGTGTAATTTGTAATTTTGACTAATTTTGATTTTGCCTTTGAGTTTCAAAATAATAATAATAATAATAACTACAGCCTTAAGTGGTATAAATCTTTTCAGCACAACCTGGACTGTATGAATTTATGCTTCTTTTTTATATTTGGACATAAAAGGATTGCATATTGGACCTTAATTCACTCAAAAACAAAAAATCAGAGTTGAAAAAAAGTTAAATTTTTTTACTGTGAAACCCACGAACATGTATGATGAATGTTTTTTTTTTATTATTTAGAATGGCAATCAGGACTGTAGATTTATTTAAAAAAATATGAATAAATACAGCAAGCAACACATTTTTAAACGGTTATTTGCTGGAATATGACAGAAATTGTTCGTTCGTCTTTGTACAATTATGTACAGATCAAAAAGATGCCCAAAAATATATAATTGTGCCAAAATAAGTCACAATTATGCTAATTCCTTATCAATATTTGAACAAATATTTACCATTTACATAATAATAGGATTTTTTTTACTTTTAGTACCTCTCCTGTCTTACAAGCATCACAGAGGGGGCGGGGCTTTGCCTCAATCCTGGAGACAGAGAAATAACACCAGTGCGTTACAAGAGCAGCTTCTTCTGTGCCTGCCAGGACCTCATCTTCCTTGTAATGACCCAGCTTCTCTTTTACAGTGTCTAAGGGGAAGGATGATCTGTCACATTATCAAAACCCTCAATGTGGCGTCACACTCCAGCTGCAAGTCTCACACTCCTGTCTTCCAGCTAGAAAACAACTGAGCTGCTGGGCATTCATCGTTATCATCCTCATGTATACCTGAAAAACACACTCAACTACACGTGAATAACCTTTTCGTCACAGATTGCTCCAATATCTAACGTTTACCGTCAAAGTCCATCTCACAGCTTACCACGCTCCACGACAGCTCATAATCGCGGCTTTCACAACTTCTCTGATTGTCTAAAAAAAGGGTGTTTCTTTAGTTTAGCATAACTCTGCTTTTACCAGGCCTGTTAACAAAATGTAAAAACTGGGGTGCAGGTTATAATCTCCTTTTTAAACCTAAATTGGAACCGAAAATCGGGGAAGCGAAGTCTTGCTGCTGCAGCGTCCCAAATCAGACCTGCTCAAAAGACGCGGGTCCGCGTCCGCAGACCTCAGAGGGTTAAACGATTTATCTCACAGTGTTAGCAGCTTCCATCATCAGCCTCAGACTTTGCTTACCACAAGACGGCCAAAACATTTGCAGCTTCAGAATGATTCAGAGTGAAACTGTTCACACTCTTGAGCCTGCAGCCACAGAACATTTTTAGATTTCAATATTTCCATTCCGAGTAAAACAGATGGTTGCAGCCGTTTTCCACACGTGCAGAAGTAGTAAACGTTACTGGTTGTGTAATCACGCAGCAACCAAGACACTGAAGTGAGGGTTCAGCAGTGACCAGCTACAAACCAGCCAGTAATTTCCTAACTCTGCATCTGCATGCACCGTGACAGATGCTCATCCATCATCTCAGGTCAAACTCTGTCTGCTTTGGGGCTTGGCTTGTGTGAGATCAATTCTCTCATAAATCAGAAGCACACTTCAAAAGGTTGCGTAGCGATGTGTTTTTGTTGTGTGTGCATGCGTGCGTGCATCTACCTCTAGATTGCAGTAGATCCATCTCCTTCAGGGTGCAGTCGATATCAATCTGCAGTTGTCTGTTCAGACTCCGAAGTCGAGTCATCTCTTCAGGCTGCAGCCCATACAGACATCCCAGTCAGTTCAAACACAACTAGACCATCTAATGAACTTGATTTCAAAAATAAAATAACGGGTATTGAACATCACTTTGCACAATAGTCATAAAAAATCCAAAATACTATCATCACTACACAATAAAGATTGCTTTAATTATCTCTCCATCAGATCTTCCAGTTTCACAGCTTGTGGTTTTACCTCTTGTCTAAAGAGATCAGCTGTATTTTTTAGCCAAGTATGCAAGTCTAAATACATGCCAAGTCCTTACTTTAGGAATGAGATTTGTGGCGTTGACTCGTCTAAAGCGCCTCTGAAGGGCGTCGTACTCCATGTTATTGACATCAGCCTTCACCTGCTCTAGTTTCTGCTTCTCCAGCATCAATTCCTTCAGCAAACGCTCCATCCTCGCCCGCTGGTGGAGCAAAAGAGCTGTGGAGAAGCACGCAAATCAATGTCCAGGGAAAATAGGTCAGTCACAACCGTGGTCAATAAAACACACGGGGGAGAAAGCAGTCCTTTACCTTGTGTGTAGGCATAGTCATCAGAGCCTGAGCTTGAACGTCGAGGGAACTGTTGAAAGTGAATGGCGATGCTCCCTGGCAGAACGGAGATGGGGAGGATGGGTGCAGGAGCAGCACTGTGCTCTTTTTGGTCTACTATGTTGAGAAGAGACTCTGCTTCAGCCACAGGAGGTGAGCTCTGTGGCCTCTGAGGCTGACCTCCAGGAGACACTTTCATTTTGAAGGTAGAGCCTTGCTGAGGGGATGAGGCAGGCCGAGGCCTTGTACTCTGGTGCTGCAGGTAAATCCCAGGGTGGAACGGTGAAGAGCCTGGGGGTCCGCTGATTGCGATGCCCCGTGAAGGGGAGCTGGGTGAAGGGCTAGTGGCCATGTAGAGTGTACCCTGGGGGTGTGGGGTGTGCACAGGTGAGTTGCTGCGGGGGTTTTTTGTGTGGTAGGGCCGGTAAATAGGCTGTTGCTGGTGAAGGTAGGGCATGCCAGGAAGGGTTGGAGACCCAACAGAAGTTAAGACGTATTGCTGGTGCCCGGGTTGAGGCTGGGGTTGCTGAGGCTGGACCTGATGCTGAGGGGAGCTGTAAGGTGAGCCATACAAGGGAGTATTATAAGGAGACTGTTGGTGCTGATAAACAGGTACCCCTGAGGAGGACCAGGGTGCTGGCTGTGGGCTCTGAGAAGGTGAGGGTCGAATGTACATGGGGGTGTTAGCATTAGCATAATGCCCTTGAGGAATTTGCAGAGCGTGAGGGACATTAGGTATAGTTTGCGAAATAGTCACAGTTATAGGGTTCATAGTAAATCGAACAGGGGTGTATGGAGGGGACATGCCTTGAATTGTGGGTGGAGGGGTGGAGGTGTTAGCCGAGCGATTTTGATCATTCATAAAAAATGGATTGTACCCAGGAGAAGGGGCCATTGTGGCAGGAGCCGATAGTGGTTCAGGGTAGCTGGGCCTCTGGGGTTCTATGTGACTGTCACTGGTGCTGTGCACTAAGGAGCGCCCCACTCCCGCTCCTCCTCCGTTTGATTTGTTTGCTTCTGTACCTGGGTAGCCCAGGCTGATGTGTAGCATGTTGTTTCGAGGCAGTCGCACCTCCTCTGGACTTTGATGAATCTCTGGGCTTGGATGGAACTCTCCATACAAGTATCTGATGCTCTCCTGGGCCAGCAGGTGGCAGCATACATCCAGGTTATTGTTGTTCTGCAAAGAAATCACTCAAGATCAGCACTCATTTTAAGGCTTTTGAAGTAAACGGTTCAAGAGTTCATCTGGTACGCTGGTTAATAAATAAGATTATAATTCAAGCTCTTAATCAGCATTTAGATTAGATAATATTATTAATAGCTTATGTTAATTTGTTACAAATATGTAATAAATATGCCAGTATTCTGTTGGGATAAAAGGAAATGGAAATCCAATAATTATGAGTTAGGTATTTGAAGAATATTTCTGAAAAATAATCAGTTCATCCAATTTTGTCTGCATACCCTTAACTCAGATATATCTATTCCGCTCTTTAGTTTTACACAAACTAAAAAATAAAATGATATCTAATTTTAAAAAACAAACAAAATCTCTACTAAACTAAAGGATGTTAACTAATGACGATATTGCAAAGGGCACTTTTGAGAAAATACAAGACTTTCTTATGCGATGTTTACCTGCAGTAGATATTGTGACACTACCCCCTCGGGGATTTCCGGGAATCGCTGCTTGAGGTCCTGCAGGATGTTATAGTCGAGCTGAGAGCCTCCCTGCGCCATCCTGAGCCGACAAGAAGCGTCAACGCGCCCAAAGCTGCAAGTGCCAAACTAACCAAGCTCGTCTCATCCCCTGAAGAAAAGAGAACTAGCACTTAAAACTGGCAGGACAGGGTAAAGTCTGTCACATTAAATTGACAGTTTGCCTTCAAAGCACACCCTGAAGTGTCATCAGTAATCTCTGATGAGTCTAAATGCAGTTTATTTTTTAACAAAACACATTTTTATCTTACAATTTGGGGGGACAGCCCAAATACAACACATATACCTAAACCTAACATCAGAGATGTTCCGTTTTCATTCACGTTAGCACATGGGTGAAACTACCAAGGTGCCTGTCAGTCGGTTGTTTGTTTGTTTAGCCACATTGGGGCCAAACAACAACGACACACAACGCCGTAGCTACCAGGCTAGTTTCAACGTCAGTTAGCTTCCGGAGATCACATAACCAGCACCTGTGTGCAAAGTGGCTTCAGAGGGATACGCTACTGCTATTTGTGTTAGCCTAAACGATGGTACCTGTCACTGATTCAGGAAGGCTATCATCTAAACAAGACACCTGCCTACATAAGATTAACTCAGCTCCTAAACTGGCAGCCAGCTAGCGTCACTAATGCTAACATGGTCAACTGTCACAAGCCCAGCAGATGATGGATAAGCCAGCTAACTACGCTAAAAGCAGCCGGCGGGTTAAAATAACTCACCATGTGTTAAAAGTCTTCGTTGCACCTGGGACCATAGCTAACCCCCGGAGAGAGCTTTGATATTCTTGAAAAAAGAAAGTGACGTTTTTCTATGTTTTTGTTTCGGGAAAATAACTTGTAGTTTCGCATTCCAGCGTCAGGCCCCTGCCACTGAACTGCATAGCAGTCAGTTTATCGCGATAATGTCAGAACTTCTCGCACCAGCAGGAAGTTGTTCAGATGGAAGCTGTCACACGACTGCGCATGTGTGAAGCCATCCACTGTAGAACTCGAACTCCATTCAGCTTTTCAACTGTCTGACCATAAGCTCGTATTTTTTTTTTTAAATAAAATATACAATATATCACATCAGTAATTTAGAAATATATTTTGACAAAATAGTCTAAATTTACCAGATTTTTAAAAATTATATTAAAGAGCAAGTCACCCCCAAATCAACTATTTTTTTCTGATAAACTATATAAATGCATGTCTAATCGTGTTGCAAACACGTGTAGTCAATAGTTTAGCACTTTAGTGCATTTTAGTTAAAATTTAAATTTTCTGCCTGAAACTGTCAGTGTTGTGCCGTTGTCAGGTAAAAACTCTGCACTGTATTTTAATTTAAATCTGCCACTGCTATTGGCTAAGAGGTATGCTATGATGTAAACTGGTACATTATGATGTCACAATGTCGTGAATGTGTGTATTTGTTAGTGGCTCCACCCTCTCGGTCTGCTAGGCAACAGCATTTGTTGCATTTTTCAAACATGAAGTGGGAGTGAAGTATGCTTCTTGTAAGAGCTGACTTGCTCTTTAAATGAATATACACACATAGCGTTTTTGCTCATTGAGAGAGGTTTGATGTATTGGCTGATCAAGTGCTCGTCACAGTGCATTGTGGTCCAAACATGGGCCAGCATTAACCATGGACAGATTTTTGTGGTGTGTGTGTACACTGTGTTGTCAGGACACATCTATCATTAAGATCTATTCTAAAAGATAATGAAGATCTATCTGCAACTAACCAAGAAAAGTCTAACAGCATAAACATCACTAGAACAACAAGACTGCACAACGTGACCAGCATGACTAAGCACATAGTGCATCTACAAGACAGTGTCACTGTGGCATTACTGATGGACCTATTAGTTCGCATGTGGAGACTGAGAAGACTCATGAATGACTTAACCTGACATCCTGGTCAAATGTTTAGATGGAATAGGAGGGTCCCATCAAATTTCTTGAATGATTCGTTGGCATTTTAAGATTGGTTATCAGATGTGTTATTTGTACTGGTGTGGAGAGGTGTGTCCTCCCCCAGGTGGCAAAGGTCTGACTCACTGAGCCAGTCTACTGGGGCCTCAGCAGGGGTGAGGACTGTACCATCATAAGGTGTAGGTTGAGGGGGAGGAGGCGTCCTGTAGCAGCTGAGGTCTGACTCAGGTTAGCTGTCCTCTTCTGTGTTGATTAGTTGCAACAGCTGTGGTGCTATTTATAAAGCAGCCCTCTTGTTGTCTCTAATGCCCTTCACTGCTTGAAGCAGGAGAGGATGAAGCCTCCAGCGTCCTGAGAGTTTAAAAACAGTGAAATAAAAGCCTTGATCAGCTCTGAAATAAAACACACGCTTGCAACAACTGTAACCACAGCAAAGATGTGACCTCAAAGAAAATGGTACAAAGACGAGCGGAGGCTTTGTAGCTGTTATGAGGACATTGGATCGGCTTTAGCTGAAAGTATCGTGTATAAAATTACATCCTCTCTTATCTTTGGTTTCTACTCTGTCTATGCCTTTGTTAGATTATCTTCACTTTCATTGTTTATAGACAGGCTTTGAAAAGTGTTTGTGCTCTTTTATCTGAAGAATATCAACTTTTCTTCCGCCTCTTTCTTTTTTCAGAGACAGAGTCTCAGGTTGCACTTCTGATGACAGTATTAGCCCACTTTAGCGCTACTGTTTGGGGGTTCCCCAAATCCTCAACTCTGGTTGCTGGACACACCAACTCACCGCTGAAATCTGCAAAGGATATTTACCTCAGGTGATTCTTTTTAATGCTACATTACAAATCCTGCTATGAGATGCAGCTGTTGCTTCCCAAAAAGTATCTTAACATTCCCAGAATTTACAACTTTCCTAATATTTTTCATATTAGTGCAGTGAGTCAGCAGCAGCTGTGCATGGAGCCATTAGTGCAGACAAAATATGTCTGCTGCAGTTTCTGTTTACATGCATGCAGTGACACCGGCACCTCCTCGTGTTCATTCAAATCATGACCATACCATAAAGTTGCATGGCATCTGATGTCTGAAATATATGAAAGCCCATGGTGCTTTAGGGTGACTTGACTCTAAACTGCAGAGAGGGACACCAATGAATAAGTTAAAATAGAGGCATAAAAAAGGGAAGCTGGTGTCCCTCTCAGGTGATAAGTCAGGAATTTTGCTAGAGGTCAACAAGCAGATAACAAACTGTCTGGTTTTACGACCCAGTCCAACAGAAGCATCCAGTTGCTCACATCAGCCAGTCTAATAAAAATAAATAACACACACATATTTTCTTGATTTTTACTCTGATATTGTTACATTTGTTACATTTGATACTACACCTCTTTAAAACTGCCACAGCTAAAACAGGAATACATTTGATTACTTAACATTAATAAATGCTAATTATTTAACAATACTTCCTTTTAAAAATCATTTGTAGCTTAATGATTTAAGAAGCTGTGTGTGACACGATGACCTGGACAGGCACGTTTGATAAAGCTCTACGTTGGTCAGGCCCGTGTGGTGCGAGTGCACGTGTACGCGGACGCGCGCCTTGGACAACAGCTGAGCGTGCGTCAGGCTCGCGCGGCATGCGGTATCCGACTAGAAGTAACGGTACTTTTATGGAAACGACACACCGACCCCCAACCAGCAAACCGGCGAACAGTCGAGCTGGTGCAGCCTGCCAACGCTCAGAACACCCCGAGTCACTGCTCCGAGATTTAGTTCAGTTTTTTATCGATCCAAAGGGAATTTAAATCCAAACGTGGGAAGGGCAGCACGAGCACAAGGAGGTAAAGTACTTTTTATGACTCCAGCTACTCAAAACAGGTGTAAAAACTAACATCGTACTAATGAGTTAAAAACAAAAGAAACGATCTGGATTGACTGTCTCAGTGTGATCAGCCTTTTATCAAAAATACAATGATTTTTGATTGATTTACCAAAAATCATTGTATTTTTGGTAAAAGCCGATCAAAAAGCTGCTGTGTTCAACTTTTAGGTTTCTTCCTGCTTTTGTGCCAGCTGGACAGAAACATTTAGAGGCCTGAAGAGATGCACTGATGTTGAATTTGAGGGATGATACCAATTTCTGATTTTTGTATTACTCTGACTTGCCTTACCTTGGTATCTTCAAATTAATAAAAAAAGCAGGTGTCATGTTATTCCCCATTTATGATTAGCTTAAAAAACACAATACTAGAAGTGACGAACACCTATTATTGCTAAATGCTTGACAATGATGAGTACACAGACCTAAAAAAAATGAGATTTCTAAATTTCAGCTCAGCCAGTTAACAATAATCATGTAGAATATAGCCTAATTCTCATAAACTAGCTGACTATAAAAACACTTAAAACTTCTGTTTTGTTAAACACAATAAAGGCCATTACATGTTTCAGTCGGGTTATAAACTGGAGTTGTTGAACTGCTGATTTTACCCAGTAGAGCTAATTCTAGGGAAATATTTGCAATGTAATCTAATTATAATTAAGATGATTGTGGCTCCAGCAGGAGTCACAGTCACAGACTGCTTTAGGGTGATTGGGCTTTCTCCTGCATTAATCCCTGATTCACCTTGTTTGATAAAACCTGGCTTGTAAATCTTGTTGGATCACCAACGGTTTAATCGAAGTTCCTGCACATTTTAATGAATGAAAGCTACTTCACTGGAAGGATTTAGGTTTAATCTACAGATCTGACGTATTTATGTTGGACACTTTTGTTTCAGTTGTCATTTGGTGAACACACTGGCGAGGAAACGTCACACCTCTATGTGTTGACTGCAGGCTGCAATAACGAAGCTTCTGATTAGCAGCATTGTGCCACAATATGGTCATCACACCTGAATAGAGAAAGTATTTGTGGATGCTGATGAACAGCAACGGCTTTAGCGTGGGAGGAGTAAAGGTATACACATCTCATCGTTCACCTCGCCCAAAGACCCAGGGCCATTTTGTCAAGGGTCGGCAGGGGCGACATGTGGATGCCAGCTTGAGCTTTGTCCAACTGACTACCTCTCATCAGAAATAGCCGTGATCACATGTTCTGGACTTCTAAGTTGCCTATTAATAGGGTCAGCAAGCTTCCACTGCATTCTTTCCCAAAGTAACGAGAAGCCAACTTTGAGTTTAAGAAGTTCTCTTTGCTCATAAAATTACATTTCAGAAACATTAAGAAATGTATATCTTTCACAGTTGGGATGTTGTTTTTAATTCAACTCCAAGGGGCCGAACACTGAAAAAACATTTTCAATGATTGTTTCTGACATAGAGGATTAGATATAGAAACTCTAGGATTTGAAAAGCCTGATGGATCTACGTCACACTGTTTTTTCATAAACTCACCCATCTTGACTTGCAATGGGGAAGGCTGTTGTTGGTTTAGATTCCAGCAAACAGCAGAGAACGTCTTGGCTTGTAGAAGCTAGCTGTTAGCTTTAGCAATGCCACCACACAGCAGAACATCTCCAGGCTTGAGCTACTAGTGGAGATAAAACATCAGTGTCGCAAAGCAAATTGAGTTGTGTTGCTGTTGTCCAATCAGAGGTGAGATGTCCAAATATCAAGAAGTAAGACTTCAAATCCTGAAGCTTTCCTCTGATCTGGTAATCTTCCAGTTCCTGAAACAGGTGCAACCCCCCCCCCCCCCCCCCCCCCCCCACACACACACACAAGGCATTCAATCCTACTAGAGACCACTGCAAATGCATTGATAAAATGAGTGAACCACACCTTTAAAAATTGAAAATGCAATGGTGATGCAAGAATGAAGTAATATAAAGAAGATTTTTAGTCATTAAAGACAAAGACCATGTTCCATTTATTAAATATTTATGACAAAAACACATTTTTGTTTTACATTTTGATAATTAAAGGCTCTATCTGTCAAGGTAGCATGTAAAATCTAGGTTTTTATCACTTTAATCAAATACATTTGTAAAATGTTTACTTCCTTACTTCACCATGACCTCTTTGTGTTGCAGACAAAAATCGTAACCAAGCCTGTTTGTCAACTTGTGGCGCAAACATGACCGACGTGGCGCAGGTCACAGCCATTGATGCTCACAGTGACGACCGCAGCATGAGCGGTGAAGAAATCACAGAGGATTTTATGAGAGCTGAAGAAAATGATGTAGAGGAGAAAAGTGAGAGTGAAGATGACAATCCTGGCGAGGGGAACGATGAATCCAACAGTGAAACTGAGAAGACGGAGGTCAACGGTTTGGGGAAAAAGCGAAACTGCACTAATAATGAGAACAGAGACAGATCGGAGGATCTGAATGGAGTTTCACAGATGGAGGAGAATCCTCTACCTGAAACAAACGACACAGAGAACATCTCCGATGTGGCATTTAAGAGAGAGGTGAGGCGGAAAGAACACACCGTCAACCTTTGTGGAGGTGATGTTTCACACACTCTAAGTAAAACTATTGACCATAAAATGATAAATCTTTTGTCACGGTTAAACTACAGAAGCTCCTCAGGTCGAGAAAGCCGGTGGCCAGAAGCTACGTACCGAAGATGAACAAGGACAAAGGAGATGTGAAGAGCAAGTTTGAGGCCATGCAGAAGGCCCGGGAGGAGCGCAGTCGGCAAAGAAACAGGGACGAACAACAGAAGAGGAAGGAGCAATACGTCAAGGAGAGGGAGTGGAATCGCAGAAAACAACAGGTCAAAGACAGATAAACCCACTAACCTCCAACTGTGGTCTGCATGGCATGATGGGGCATGATGGAGGTGACAAAGCTTCCAGCTGGAGTGAGATTCAGTCTTTTATTCGTCACACATAACAATCATACTCATAATTTATTCACCTATAAGTCATGTTTTGTGTTTTTTAATACACAAACGTTGGTCTGTGTTTGTTGTTAGGTGATATTTTCTAATCTTACTAATATTTGCTTGGTTGTTAAACCCTGCTTGTCATCCGAAAAGAATGTAAATGGAACAAATTTGACAGTGAATTTACAGTGGGTGCAGAAAGTTTTCAGATCCCCGTGAATTTTGACCTCTTTGTTGTGTTGCAGCCATTTGCTAAAATAAATTTAATTCACAGCAGCCCATATTGACAGAAAAAATGCAGAAATTTAGAAATTTCTGCAGATTTTTCAAAAAAGAAAAACTGAAACATCACATGGTCCTAAGTATTCAGAGTCTTCGCTCAGTATTTAGTAGAACACCCTTTATGAGCTAATACAGCCATCAATCTTCTTGGTAAATATTCAGCAAGTTTCTTACACCTGGGTTTGGGGATCCTCTGCCATTCCTCCTTGCAGATCCTCTCCAGTTCGGTCAGGTTGGATGGTGAACGTTGGTGGACAGCCATTTTTAGGTCTCTCCAGAGATGCTCAATTGGGTTAAGCCAGGGCTCTGACTGGGCCGTTCAAGAACTTTCACAGAGTTGCTGTGAAGCCACTTCTTTGTTATTTTAGCTGTGTGCTAAGGGTCAATGTCATGCTGGAAGGTAAACCTTCAGCCCAGTCTGAGGTCCTGAGCACTCTGGAGAAGATTCTTATCCAGGACTTCTCTGTACTTAGCTGTATTCATCATTCCCTTGATTGCAACCAGTCGTCCTGTCCCTGCAGCTAAAAAAATACCCCCACAGCATGACTCTGCCACTACCATGCTTCACTGTGGGGACTGTATCGGACAACTGATGAGCAGTGCCTGGTTTTCTACACACATTTAGAATTAAGGCCAAAAAATTCTATCGTGGTCTCATCAGATTTTTATTCTTCACCATCTCTGGGTACTTCAGGTGTCTTTTAGCAAACTCCATACAGGCTTTCATGTGTCTTGCACTGAGGAGAGGCTTCTGACGGGCCACTCTGCCATAAAGCCCCGACTAGTGGAGGGCTGCAGTGATGGTTGACTTTCTACAACTTTCTCCATCTCCTGACCGCATCTCTTGAGCTCAGCCACAGTGATCTTTGGGTTCGGCTTTACCTCTCTCAACAAGGCTCGCCTCCCCCGGTAGCTCCATTTGACCATACTGCCTGCTCAAGGAAGGGTTCTGGTCGTTCCAAATGTCTTCCATTTAAGGATTATGGAGGCCACTGTGCTCTTAGGAACCTGAAGAGCAGCAGATATTTTTGTGACCTTGGTCAGATCTTTGCCTTTCCACAATTCTGTCTCTGAGCTCTTCAGCCAGTTCCTTTGACCTCATGATTCTCATTTGCTCTGACATGCATTGTGAGCTGTAAGGTCTTATCTAGACAGGTGTGTGGCTTTCCTAATAAAGTCCAATCAGTGTAATCAAACACAGCTGGACTCTAATGGAGGTGTAGGACAATCTCAAGGATGATCAGAAGACACGAAAAGCACCCGAGTTAAATATATGAGCGTCACAGCAAAGGGTCTGAATACTTAGGACCATGTGATGTTTCAGTTTGTTGATTAATAAATCTGCCTACATTTCTAAAATTCTGTTTTTCTATTAATACGGGGTGCTGTGTGTACATTAATGAGGAAAAAATAATTTAATGGATTTTAGCAAGTGGCTGCAAAATAATAGAGTGAAAAATTCACAGGGGGTTGAATACTTTCCATACCCACTGTACACAAATACAAAATATATTAGATAAACTAACTGAGGCATAAATGTAACATGTTGTAAAAAGATTGAGGAGATTAGTAAATTACTAAAATAAGATAAATTTGACGAGATGAGATAGGGTCTTGAGGTTTTCCAAAATGGTTAAGGGCTGCTTTGAAACAATTCACTCATGAACTGTTCAGGTTGATTCTTGATGGGAAGAATGATGTGTTTCTGTTTCACCATTAATTGTTAGTCCATTTCTCGCTATTAATCTAAAAAATCCCTTCTCTGAAATGTTGCCTCTGCAGAATATTTACAACAAAATACTTCTAGTTTTCTGGTCTAATCTTAAAGTTCAACCATTTAAAAGAAACTGCATCCATTTGCAAGTCATCTAATCCTGTAAATTAGTTTTATATTTTGTTTTGATTTACAGGGTAAAGTTAGTATCCAGAGAGTAGTTTGAAATAATGCAAACCTTTTCGTAAATATCCCTAGGCAGTGACTAAATAGGTATTTTTTGGGTTAAGGTTTGCAAATTTGCATGAAAATAACGAAAAAAATCTGTTAGTTTTGACCTTAAAGCTCCAAATATTACATTTGAACCATTTTACAATGAATTAAATCCTGTTTTCTATAGTTTTCATCCCATTTTATAGGTGAGAAACTCTCAAGCTATCCACATAGTCAGAGATCAAGAATTCAAGGCTCGACTGCTTTTCCTCTCGTCTGATTGTAGTAAAATAATTGTGATACAGTGTCGTGTGAGTGGATTATCAGTGATAATCAGACACAACAACCTTCCTGTGGACGTGTGCCACCGCTAGCCCGGCTTGGACACCTACGCTCATCCCCTCTCTGTGCAGCAACGCTGTGGTCCAATCAGAGGCTCACCTGCTGACCACATGATCTTGCTATTAGCAGGGATTTGGCCCTAGTTCTTGCTGGGGCCAGCATGGCTCCACGAGTGGCAGAGGGGAGGATCCCAGATAAACCTTAACCTCACTACACTCTTCATTTAATCTACCTGCAGATAAAAGAACTTCTTGCCTCCAGCGATGAAGAGGAGGAGGTAAAATCAAAAAAGGTGGAAAAGTCCTACGTCCCCAAAATCACAGGTAAGACACGCAGAGGCAATTGTTTACGAAAAGAGAGAGAGAGATGCACGAGAGAGGAGGATTGCTTTGTTTCTTTGTGAATTACTCAGGTAGTGTGAAGGGGAAGTTTGCAGAAATGGAGAAACAAAGACAAGAAGAGGAGAGGAAGAAGATGGACGACGAGAGGAGGAAGAGGGAGGCCCAGGACAACATGGAAAAAGCCAAAATCAAGAAAGAACTGGCTCAGAAAGCTGCTGAGGTGGGTGAACTCGTGCTGAAAGAGTCACATCTCACTGGGAAGCCAGTCTGGGTGCTCCAGTGTTGTCTCCGTGGTGAGAATGTGGTGCACTTTCTTCTGTGATGATTAGGGTAATCCTCAGCTGCCACTCGGATGAGTTATTTTAAGTGGCATTTGAGTTGGGAACAGTTGGCTGGAGCTGGATATAGGTCTGGAACTGGTTGTAGCATTTTTCACATGAGCAGCCTGTGAGCTGGCGCTAAACAGGTCATTTCCGTTGTATGTCAACATCTACAATGTGTTACTGTTTGGGAAATGATGCCATACATGTCATCTGATTACATCCAATCACATGTTACAGCCGCAGCAGTTTAAGTGCCGTTAGAGGCTCATTAGGCACTCAGACAGGACGGTTCCTGGGAATGGTTATGCAAGTTGTGCCAGATAGATAATTATAGGCAATTTCCTGCTACCTCTGCTAAATCTGCTCTAGTGCAGTGTAAATGACATTCACAATGCCGTCAAAGGTAACGAATGGAAATCTTTAAAAGGACTCTGCGATTACAGCAATGATTTAGTGCACTGACCCAGAGCGTCACAAATATATGGTTGAAGTTTTATCTCCAGGATTTCAGTACTGCTGTAATCTGAAATCAAAAAGTTAGGAAACATTATGGCCGATGCTGCAAAATGCATAACTTCTTATTTTATGCTTTTAGTTTAAAATTCTGCTTTCATAAATGTAACTTTTAAAAACTTTCATTACAAAAGAGATTATTTCATGCGTTAGAAGGGTCATAAAGCTTTTAATAGACTACTTAAAGTAATTAGTAATGAGCTTGTAATAGAAAGTAATGAGTATCAAGTATAATTTAAAAACTGGTGCCCATTGGCTGTTTGTGACAATTTGAAATAGTAAATGACCTGTTTGATAGAGCGCCTTCCAGAGTCCTAGAACCCCCCAAGGTGCTTTACAACACAACCAGTCATTCACCCATTCACACACACATTCACTCCCTGCTGGTGATGAGCACTGTAGCCACAGCTGCCCTGGGGCGCACTGACAGAGGCGAGGCTGCCGAGCACAGGCGCCACCGGTCCCTCCACCACCACCTGCAGGTGTAGTGGGTTAAATGTCTTGCCCACGGACACGACAGCAGAATTCTATTCGAACCTGCAACCTTCTGATTACTGGACAACCCGCTCTGCCAACCTGAGCTACTGCTCCTCCTAAAACATATCTAAAAGTTTAAAAGCTACTTCAACCAAAGGTTTGAAGCTTTTACACATCGGCTGTTCCTCCACTAAGCTACTTCTGAGAGCTGTAGATGAAAGTTCTCCTGTGGAGCGCTTGGATCTAGAAACAACTGGAACGGATCTGCAGGTGTAAACAGCGCATGACTGCCAACTGTCTCCCGCACCTCCAAGTGACAAAATTAGCTCCAAACTTTCATCCTGTGACTAAATTAGACTCTCTATCTTAAACCCACGCCCACTGCACCCAACATTAGATCTACTCGCAGCCTCGCCTCTGTCAGTGCGCCCCAGGGCAGCTGTGGCTACATCGTAGCTCATCCCCACCAGTGTGTGAATGTGTGTGTGAATGGGTGAATGACTGATTGTGTTGTGAAGCACCTTGGGGGGTTCCAGGACTCCAGAAGGCGCTATATCAAATACAGGCCATTTACCATTTACCATTTATCATTTACTCACACATTTTCTTTATCCCAGTTAGGATGTTTTATTTGTTGCTGCCAGAGTTCATTCTTGACATCATCCACTGATTGCTGTGTCCGATTTGCGGATGTGGTCTGTGGTTTACCAGGAAGGAGATGACACGATCCTGGTACGTGTGGTTCCAGCAAAGTCATCGCGACCTCCAGGCAAAATCAAGATGAACTTTGAGGACATTGAGAAGAACCGCGAGGAGGAATTGAAGAAGAAGGCGGAAGAGGAAAAGAAAAGGCGATATGATGAAAACAGGCGCTCTTTTAGGGAATCTAAGCGATGCTCCGTTGTTCAGCAGGTTGGTTTTAAAGGGATACTTTGCTAATTTTTCAGATTTTTAAATAATTTTCTTGAGCCAGTATGTGCTAAAATCACCCTTTACAGGGTTAATGAAATGTCACTGACCCTCACCACCCTCTGCAGCCAGAATACCGCATTTGCAACTTCAGAGTGCTGGTCCGGTCTGTTGGACATACCTGGCGCTGCAGTCTGCTTCAAGCACGTTTCCTGCATGTTTTAGATCAGCTGGTTAATTTCATTTTGTTATGAATCGCTCCTGTAGACACTAATGAAGGCTGAGGAGACGTTTCAGCTTTCAGATTAAGGTGTTAAAAAGACAAACGAGGAGATAAGTTTAGCTTTTGCTTCCATTAAAAAGACACTAGGGGGTGTTAAAAGCAAGGCAAAAATGGCCTAATCTCCTTTTAAAGAACTTTAGCTCTTCACTTGAGAGATTTCAAAGTTAACCTTTTATAGCTTTCTCAGGATTGTGGGTTTGATTCTAAATCTGAATTAGGATGAAGAGGAGAAGCCCTCGGAAAAAGAGGCTGTGACCCCTGGGAAGCTGAAGCTGACTTTTGAGGAGATGGAGAAGGAACGTCAGGAACAGAGGAGGAAGCAGACTGAGGAGGAAGCCAAACAGCGCCTGTTAGAGGAGAAGAAGGCGTTCCAGGAGGCCAAAGTGGGACAGGTGAACAGAAATGTTTACTGGCTCCTCCGGACAAGGATAACTCAACTGAAATGAATTGTGTTTTAACTGATGAGCTAAAATAATCTGAGCTTCTATACTCCCGCGTCTCATCAGGAAGACGATGAGGATGGCTCTCAGGCAGTTCAGGAAGACAAAGAGGAGTTCCGTCCTGGGAAACTGAGACTGAGCTTTGAGGAGCTGGAGAGGCAACGAGTAGAAGAAGAGCGCAGAAAAGCAGAAGAGGAAGCAAAGAGACGAATGGAGGAGGAGAGACGAGCTTTTGCTGAAGCCAGGAAGAGCATGGTAATTACACTTCCATTTATATTACTATAAAAATGTGACTGACTCTGGAAATTCACAGTCTGGAGGAAAAAGAGTGATATTGTTCTTGCAAAATAACCTAGAACTTTACAGTTTAGCCCAATTAGTTACAGGCTTTGGAAGAAGTGTTTACTGTTAGAGTAGATTAGTATATGAAGAGTTGGATAGATGATCCAAACACACAAATGTAGGCAAAAAGGAAATAATAATAATGCAGATTCACCTTGTGTTACCTGTCAGCTTGTGGATGAGGACGATGAGGTGCTGATGGCCTTGCTGAACCTGGAGGGAAGCAAACCAGGAAAAATCTGCGTCAGTTTTGAGGAGTTAGAACGGCAGAGACGCGAAGAGGAGCAGAAGAAGGCTGAGGAGGAGGCCAAGAGGAGACTGGAGGAGGAAAAGAAGCTCTTTGCTGAGGCTCGCAAGAGCATGGTGAGCCTGCACACCTATGAGCAAAAAATTTAAGTGTGCTGATCGCTAACATGCTACAGCTAATGTGGTGTTCTTCAGGCTTAAAAACAACCCTGCTGCTCATCTTTCCTAGAAAGAGCTCTGATCTGATTCTCAAAAGGCTTTAAAAATTAAAACACAATTTCATGAACTTCACGTGTTTAAAGGGATACTCTGCACCTTTTTCATATTTTAAAATCTTTTTCTTGAGCCAATATGTGCTAAAATGACCCTTTACAGGGTTAATGAAAGGCCACCCAGCCTGTATCACCTCCTGTGGCCAGAATATTCCACTTGCAACTTCATAACATCCGGTCCGGTCTGTTGGACTTATAAAAATGCTTCCAGCACGTTTCCTGCATGTTGGAGATCATGGACACAGCTGATTTGTTTAAATTGGTGATGAATCAGTCCTGTAGACACCGAGGAAGGCTGGGAGACGTTTCAGCCATTAGAATGAGGTCTTAAAAAGACAAATGCACAGCCAGGAGATACGTTTTGCTTTCAGTTCTACCAACAGACACTAGGGGTTGCTAAAAGCAAGCCAAAACTGCCTAGTTCCCCTTTAAAGATATTCAAAAAATGGTTTTCTCAAATGGTGCAGCTGCACTGCTAGTTCATTCTCCAAATGAGTTATTGAAAGGTTTGCTGTTCAATATTTTTATTTCGAAGAAATTATAGAAAACATTCATTATTCATGCAAGGTGTTAATTAGAATTTATTTAATACACAGTCCAGAGTACAAAGCTCTTTATGTTGTTGTTCTGTTCATTTGGCTTCACCATACATGTTTGCTGGTTTTATTATGTGATGCTGGGTGAGTGCTGAACTGTGGAGATTCCTTATTAGCTTATAAGAAATAACTAATTAAATGTTTGCATGACCAAAGATCCATAGCTGCATTGTGCATCTTCATTGCATGTTTAGGTGCTGGAAGAGGATGATGGAATGGTCAAAAGTGAGTCTCAGGAGGCTCTGCACCCCAGAAAACTGGAAATCAACTTTGAGGAGCTTCTAAAGGAGAAGGAGGAAACTGAGAGGAGATGCAAGGCTGAGGAGCGCAAAAAGCAACTGGAGAAGGAGAAGCAGGAGTTTGAGCAACTCAGGCAGGAGATGGGCGAGGTCCGTTTTTTAAAGGTTTCTTATGCTACTTTAGCTTAAGCTTCTGCACTCTTTTTATCTTCTTGATAAAACAAATGAGTATAGTGCATCAATTTGATCCAGATCCTTTCTCTTTCAACTTTAATTTAGCTAAAATTCTCTGAACAACACAAACTATAATGCAGAATTTGCTGTTAAATCCTGTTGTGGAAAAAAAAAAGGTGGAAATCAAGATCAGCTGAAATCAAGCTGCGTTTATGTTTCACAGGATGAAATAAATGAAAGTTCAGATGTCATTAGCAACGAATACGAAGAGCTGACAAAACTCAAGAAAACTGGCTCCATTCAGGCCAAAAACCTCAAGTCTAAATTTGAGAAGATCAAGCAGCTGACGGAGGAGGAGATTCAGAAGAAGATAGAGATGGAGAGGGAGCGGAGGAAGGCCATCGACGATGAAATCAAACAGAGAGAAGCTGAGAAGTTACAGGAGGTAAGAGCACCCAGACAATGTAATAAACCTTCTAATGAAATGCTGAGTGCCCTTGGATTATGGTTTGGTATACTGAACACCTTAGTTATGGATTTGTTAGTTTGATCTTTAGATCTTAAAGTTGTTGATGGAACATTAACAGGTAGAAATGTATTTTTCATGATCAAACAGGCTAAATAGCAAAGGATATTTTAGAGAGCATGTGATCGATAGGCAGATTGGTGCTGCGTCTGCAGTGGTGCAGGTGTTGTACCAGCCTGTCGTGGTGAAGAGAGAGCTGAGCCGGAAGTCGAAAGCTCTCGATTTACAGGTCGAGCTATTCCTACCCTCACATATGGTCACGAGCTTTGGGTAGCGACAGAAAGAACGAGATCGCGGATACAAGCGGCCGAAATGAGTTTTCTTTGCAGGGTGTCTGGGCTTTCCCTTAGAGATAGGGTGAGAAGATCGGTCATGCGGGAGGGGCTCGGAATAGATCCACTGCTCCTCCACATCGAGATGAGGTGGCTCAGGCATCTATAATTAGGATGCCTCCTGGATAAAATTAATTGAGAGACATTTACAATCTCTGTGTTATTCAGGAGGACGAGGAGGAAAGAGTAACAACTCCAGGACGAGCTGAAGAGTCGCCTTTCAAACAAAAGGTGGACATGCGAGCCCGATTTCAACAAATGGCCAAAGCCAGAGAGGAAGAAGAGCGGAGGAGGATAGAAGAGCAGAAGCTGCAGAGAATGCAGTTTGAACAGCAAGAGATTGATGCAGCTCTCCAAAAAGTAAATCCTCCGTTTTCATTGTGATGTATCAAGCATACCGGTAATCAGTCCTAATGAAAGAGCACAGAAAGAGAGGTATTGAGTTCTTCATTGTTTTGTCTGTTTGCAGAAGAAGGAGGATGAAGTGGAAGATGAGGGGAGCATCATTAATGGCTCTGCAGCCTATGAAGACGAGGAAGATCCTGCTCGTTCAGGAGCTCCGTGGTTTAAAAAGCCCCTTAAGAATCAGTCGGTGGTGGACTCTGAGCCAGTTAGGTTCACAGTTAAGATCACTGGGGAGCCAAAGCCAGAGGTAACCTGGTGGTTTGAAGGAGAGATGCTCCAGGACTGTGAGGACTATCAGTATATTGAAAGAGGAGAGACATACTGCCTCTATCTGCCGGAGACCTTCCCAGAGGACGAAGGAGAGTACATGTGCAAGGCCGTGAACAGCAGAGGCACAGCAGCAAGTACCTGCATCCTCACAATAGAAAGTAAGACCACTCTTGTGTGACTGCATGAAATCTCTTACCTGGAATTCACCTGATGTCATGAAGCGGATCGCATGCTCCTCTCCCACGTGAACTTGGACTAACATGCAGTTGATGACAGCTCTTCTGTTTCTTTTCACAGCTTATGACTAATGGAACCCTCCATGTTCAGCTGTCATCTCTGACTTTTATAAAACTACGTATATTGTGGTCAAACAGAAGAGGAGAGAGCAGTATGCTTGGCATTCCTAAAGAAGGGATACACAGCGCACACACGCACACACACACACACACACAAGCGCACACACACACACACACACACACACACACACACACACACACACACACACACGCACGCACGCACGCGCGCGCACGCACGCACGCACGCACACACACACACACACACACACACACACACACACACACACACACACACACACACACCAAGATGTTGTTTACATGTTGCTCTATCATTAAGATGTGCTCCTGGTGAGGATGTTGGATAGCACGTGCCAAACTAACAGAATCCAGTTCCTGTTGATAAAGGATGCACTAAACTCCAGAAGTCCATTTACTGCAAGGCCCTGACACTGTTTGTGACACCAGCCATTTATAAATGCATTGTAAATATCACACCTGATGATAAACAGCAAATTTTATAATTAAACTATTAAGGTGATGGGTAGACATTTACAAAAGTCATGCGCACTGACAAGCTCAGTTCTGTAAAATTAATAAAGCATTGCACAAATCACTATCACTGCTCAGTCACTATAATCTAGTTTTAAGTATTATTTTGATCACCTGCTGTTATATTGAGAGGAATCATTAAAAGGTTTGTTAAGAAAATGGCACAACAATGTTACGGCAGCCAGTTTTTGCAGGAACAAAAATCATGTCTACATCCTATTTTTTCATGCACCAACCCCCTTTGTTTTTCTTTTTAAATGTAGTGTAATACCCTTGATGCAGATGTCAGTGCTCAGCCGGACAACCAGTTTATTGATAATTGAAAGAAAGTAGGATTGTATGGAATTTTTGTCATGTGTTATAAATAGAACTCAAGTTTTAATAAAAATATTCATTATAAAACTATTTTTTTGTTGTATTTTCATTTTTTTGGGGAGAAATTGATTAGCCCATAACTTGACTGATAAACCAGTATTTTTCAAATAATTTTTATTTGCCTACGTTTTTGATTGTAGGTTATTTGCTTATGTCAGAGATGAAGTGACAGCTCTTTCCACTTACCAGGTCATAATATGACCTTTGAAAAGTGACTGCTATCTTTAGTGGGGAAATCTGGCTTTTCCTTTAATCTAGAAAAATGTTTGTTTTAAACTTTTTAAAATGCTAAAGTAGCTGAAATAAAGGGCACAGCGAGGAAGCCGTGTTGCTGCTAAGACTCTCCTGGTGTGAAAGGGACCACTTAGAAGTTCGTGAGACGCGAGTAAACCGTTATGTTGCCCTTTCACTACGCTGATGCTTCCAGTGTAATGCCAGCGTTGGAAAAATTGAGCTGACATACCTGGCGCTGCAGTCTGGTTTCAGCATGTTTTAGACCATGATCACTCCTGTAGACACTAGATGTTTCAGCTGTTAGATTAAGGCGTTAAAAAGACTAACGCACACCAATGAGATAGGTTTTGGCTTCAGTTTGACAAACGGACACTAGGGGGTACAAAAAGCAATCTAAAACTGTCTAGTTCTCCTTCAAATTCTATTTGAAGAAAAATGTGTCTTATGGACTTGAAAAGAAAGAAAGAGAGAAAGAAAGAAAATGATCTTTTCTATAGTGCCATAAAAATCACGAGGTGCTTCACAAAAACAAAAAATTTAAAATATGAAAAAGATTTTAGAAAATTATTACAGATATGTATAAAATAAGCAAAAATAGACAATTGTGATTAAAATGCAAAGAAAGAGGGAGAGAGCATTTATAGGAAAGAGGGAAATAAGTGGACCCTGGGGATGGCAGAATAGGCGGAGAAAGCAGAATAAGGAGAGGGTAGTGATGAAGGTCACATCAAAGCTAGCTTGAACAGGTGAGTTTTCAGCTGCTTTTTGAAGGAGACCACTGAGTCCACTGATCTCAGGCTCAGGGGGGAGAGAGTTCCAGAGTCTGGGGGCCACAGCAGCAGCAAATGATCTGTCGCCTTTGGTCTTTAGCCTGGTGCGCTGCACAACCAGTAGGCTTTGGTCACTGGACCTCAGGGACCTGCTGGGGGTGTAGGGACTGAGAAGATCACCAATATATGATGGTGCCTGTCATACATTGGTGATCTTCTCAGTCCTTATTGGTTGGACTTGAACATCATTATAACAGACATTGACTTTAAAACTCTACAGTGACGCCATTAGTTTTACACTAAAACAAACTGAGCATTTCGTTTGCAAGGTGCATTTAATTAGTTTATTGAACTAATTATTAGTTAACAATATGGAAAACAACACACTATCGCTTTAAATCGCCATATTCAGGTTGAGCATCACCATGGAAACAGGATTAGCTTGAGCCCTATGCCAAGCCTCTCCGTGCTTCTGTCGTTTCTGTTTTAAATAAACGAGCGATCCTTTTATTTAACATTGTTTTAGTACTAGAGTAATGGAGACGATTTTGCAGTCAATATATTTGCGTTTAGCCAAACTGAAATCATTACCACGTGCTACGTTTTACTCCTAAATTTGCTTACCCACCGTGGTCAGCAGCAGCAAGGGTTCAGCTAGCATGCACCGTTATCCATTAGCTTCAGCAATAACTGCTTTTCCGTGAATTCCCCGCTGCTGGACCCGTGGCCATAATGGTCGCTTCTGTTGAAGAGGTTTCTTCGTCTCTCGTAAGAGAATATTTGAGCCGAAACGTAAGTTAGCGAAAAGATGGATTAAGATGTGCAAACTGCTAGCAATGCTAACCAGCTAGCTTTCATCCAGCAGTTTCTGAAACAAACAATAACAAGCGTCTGTTTATTATTATTATTATTATTATTATTATTATTATTATTATTATTATTATATGGCAGCTGTGCACTGAACTATTTGATCATTATGTAATGTATGGTTGTGTATTTATGAATATAAAATGTGGTCGTAGCCACACTGTCCATGAATTACAATCTGGTAAAAATGTACAGGGGCTGAAAAGAACTATTGCCTGCATGGATGAAGAACACCCACGCACAGAGACCAGTATCAATAACAGATCACAACTGAGGCAAATCCTCAACATTGAGGATATCTACAGAAAAAACAAGGTATGTCTAAGGGCTTGTGTTGGAGTGTGTTAAGGGGCGTCACAAGAAAAGCATGCCATGTAGCTGACCTCTTGTTATTCCAGGAGCAAATCCCCCCCTTGAAAACATTACTGGAGATTATTGTGAAGCATCACATAGAGCAGCTAAACAATGACCACACGGCAGCTGGAAAGCCTCTACAGAATATCCAAACTATCGAATCACCTGATTATTCTCCTGCAAGAAAACCATCAGGCATAAACGACTTGAGACCAGATGGAGTCAGACCAACTTTTGTTAATGGAGAATACTCTCAATTGAGGTATTTTACAAAGGAAAATATGCTGAATGTATCTGTTCTGTTTACTTGACTTGAACGTATTTGGAATTCTCTTTCACAGGTCTGAAAGATCAGAAACATGGCCTTCCCAGCCAACACGTATGTCATCTTCTGAGAAGGGCCGACCATTTACTTCAAATCCAACAGATGTCTCAATTTACAACTCGGATTACCAGGAAGGCCAGCCACCGCTGGCTTCTCTACTGCACAAAATGCATATTGTTCAAAGGCAGCAAGAAAGCAACAGTTCCTTCTTTGAGGCTGCCCAAAAGAACAGAAGTAATCGCATCAGAAGAGGCATGATGACTGGGCCAATACCACAGGTGGTGAGCTTCTGAAGCTTTAAACCTCTTGCTTTCTGATATAATTATTTATACTTTGAGTTTTCTTCTTCAGGAATCCAACAGAAAAAGACAAAGTCGAAGAGCTGAAGAGTCTCAGACATGGTTAAAAAAAGAGGAGGGGTCTCTGGATGGATCTTTGTTGTTTAAAAGCCGTTTGACACAAAATAGCACAGCCAGCAGCTTAGAGAGGAAACGGGAATTCCTGAATACACCTGAGAGGAACCGGGATGAGGAAAGCTGTGTAAAAACGGAACAAAAACTTGTAAAACCAAGAAAGTAAATCGATTTTGTTGTTTTGTGCTACTATCAGTTAGTACATGTATGTCTTCCTCTATTTTTAAGTGTTCTTTGCCTTTTGATTTTCCTTCTCTTAGAACAAAGATGAGATCAAATGCCTCTGATCTGAAAGTGTCCGAGATGGTTTTAGGTAAGTCATGACTCATCGTTTTACTTGACTATTTGATGAATTTGTTCTGCCAAAATTGAAGCATATTCATTCATTTATAGATGACATTGATGATGATGATGATGATGTGCAAGAAGTGTCTCTTCAGAGGAATGTTTCAGGATTTCACTATTCGGGCTGCCAGATGGACCATCACTCTGCCTTAGTAGGTTACTCAATAAGACGCCAGAGGCTGTTTCTGCATTTAAATTAACATATTTTGACTTGTTTTCTGTCTTTTATTTTGTTGTTATAGGAATTGAAAAACCTTCTTCTTGCTTCCAACCTTAATAGTTTCAGTTCTGAGTGGATGAACCAAGGTTTTACATTTTCGGAGACACATGACCTCAGATACGGCATTGTTCAGAGGAAGGTAATTTTACTCAGGGTATCTTAGGAAGTTTTACTGATGCTGCACATTCATTTTCAGCAGATCTGCTGAACTATGGTGGAAAGCTTTACCATGAATATTTTCTTACTTCTAATTTGTACATTTTTCTTTAGGGTGGTCCTTGTGGAGTCCTGGCATCCATTCAAGCATTCGTTCTGAAGAAACTCCTATTTGACAACACTGACAGCACTATTAATAACCTACAGTGAGTGGACTTCCTTTCCAGAATTTCTATTATAATACTACCTTATCTAAATGTAATGTTCCAGTTTCTAAAATGTATTTGAAGCCATTCATTCACACGGAGAGATGCGGGGACTCTGGTATTGGCTCTGATTTGACAGCTTCTGTCCTTTTTGGTTTCAGTAGGTTACGACCCTCCAACTCAACCAGAAGACAGTGTCTCGTTTCAGCTCTGGCGGAAGTCTTGTGGAAAGCTGGGGAGAAAAAACAAGCTACAGTTGCTGTGTAAGACACCACGCTTGTCTACTGTAACTCTGTTGTAAATCACAAGAAAGTCCGTCTGGCCAGACCACCAGCTTTGTTTGTGGTTAATGTAAACTGTACCAGACAAACCTACAAAGTCTACAGATCTGGTACAACAAGAAGTCGTTTCTGGAGCTGATTTGTATGAAAACAGTGCAAAGGGAACTTTCTGGCTTTGTTGTTTTGATTTGACTGGTTAGGGTTAGCCAGTATCAATAGGGTTAAACAGATCTATCATCCTGCCATCGGCTCACTTTTGGTTTGTTTTTCAGTAGAATTTTTAGGTGTGTCTGATTGTACAGTTTCACAGACAGTTCAGTGAGACACACCATCTGATGTGGTTTTTATTTACTCGATCCTTGAACTTTAAAGGTGTGGAACACTGAAAAATTTTTTTTTAATGATTATTTCTGATTATATTCAGTTACTCTCTTCACCTATCTCCTGCATTAGCTTCTGGTAGAAAATAGACGGTGATTTGAAAATCCTGACAGATCACTCTGTCACCTAACATTCATGGACTCATCCATCTTGACTCATGACGCAGAAGGCTGTTGTTGGCTTAGCGTCCAGGAAACAGCAGATAATGTTTGGGCTGGTAGAAGCTAACTGTTAGCATGAGAAACTCCACCACACAGCAGAACTCCTTCAAGCTTGTGTTATTTGTGAAGATAAAACATGTTGCAAAGCAAACTTGAGTCAGTGATAGAGTCTTGTTGCTTTTATCCAATCAGAGGCGAGCTGTCCAAATATCAAGAAATAAGACTCCGAATCCTGCCGTCTGAAGCTACTTTCTCCTCTGATCTGGTATTTTGCTAGTTACTGAAAAAGGCACATCTGAACCCCCCCCCCCCCCCCCCCCCCCCACACACACACACACACACACACGCACACACACACACACACACACACACACACTACTTGCAAGGCATTCATTCCTACTAGAGACCACTGCAAATGCATTCATTAATCGAGAGTTCCACATTTTTAAAAAGAAAAATGTTTATTGTCAGACGGAAATCAGCTCCAGTTGTGGGATAACTATGAGTAAAACGTCGGGGTCCCGTCCTCCCTTCCCCCTGAGGAATCTTTGGCCATAAAGGAGGGGTATTCAGAGTGGTTTCTGCTCGTTAAGCAACAACAGACAGCTACCGTTTTTAAGCTTGACTCTCCCATATTCCAGTCAGTATTGACAAATCTCCTCAGATGAGAAGCGAAACATCTTCAAGACACCAAGGAAATCCAGCTGCCTTCATTTGAACCCTTTTGTTTTGTTTTCAGAATTTCAGGGCCAGGTCATTTCACCATAAGTGGACTCCACAGATGTCAAGCAATACTAGAAAAGGTACAGACGTCTCCCCATGCAGTTACACACAAGATCGCTGAATGAATCTTACCTCCTGACTATACATTAGTTTCATATTTGGTTATATTATGTATGAAATGAACAGCTATATATGATCTAATATTTAATGAGTGTTTCATCTATGGGTACTTTTTACTTATAAGAATGCTTATAGTTGCATCTTTTTGCTGTAGATGATGCTTTTCTCTGTGGATAGCTTCAAAGACCTGCAGTTCATTGTGGAGCAGCAAATTGAACAGGTGAAAAAAGTCCGTTTTAAATTTTCATTTTAAATGTACAAACATGTAAAGTTTAATAGTTTTCCTGTTTACCTTTCACTCCACAGTTTGAATCTGGAAAGTTAGGATGCGTGCTGCTGGCCATTTCAGCGATTCTCTCTCGATCCATTGAAAAGTAAATCACACCTTTGGGTCCTAAAAAAAGAAACATTGATTCCAAACTGGTTGGAGCTTTTTTAGATTACTGGTGTTACAGATATCTTTATTTTATTTTGTTCTCAGAGTAAGAGAAGATATGGACGTCCCCACCACCACACTAATAGGAGCCCATGGCTACTGCACTCAGGTTTGAATCATCATTAAATAGTTAAAGATGAAAACACAGCTGCTACAGTTATTCTTAGTGCTTGAAGAACCAAAAGAATTCCAATAATGAGGGTTTTTCTGTGTGCATCAGGAGCTGATCAACCTGTTGTTGTGTGGCAGAGCAGTGTCTAATGTGTTTGACAATGACATGGAGTTGGACTCGGGCAACGGCAACGTGACACTGCTCAAAGGAGTCAAAGATCCCTGTGAAGTCGGCCTGCTGTCCTTGTTTGAGCATTATAACATCTGTAAGGTGAGCGGGTTTGACACACACACACACACGCACGCACGCACACACACACACACCAGGGTTTTTCCTGACTCAAACTGAGGCAGAGGTGGTACCATCCTGACGGTACGGCAGCACATGCATACTCTATGCATTCAACTGCCTCACTTTTTTAAAGCCCAAATATTTTTCGTTAAGTGTTCTAATCTAAGCTTCTGTAGATTAATTGAATATTCCATCTGACAACGTTTCAAGTGAAACAACTGGCTTGCTGCTAAAAAATGTGAAATAAAACAACAAAATTCTCAGGCTGAAATAACAGACTCTTATTATAAAAGGCTCAATAATATGCATTAGATTGGTGTTGAGATCCCTTTTTCCCATCTGATATCCATCCATCCATTGTCTGAACCCGCTTGTTCATGTAGGGTCTCTGGGGGCTGGTGCCTATCTCCAGCGGTCAACGGGCAATCAGGCGGGGTACACCCTGGACAGGGAGCCAGTCCATCGCAGGGCTACACAGAGACACACAGGACAAACAATCATGCACACACACTCACACCTAGGGACAATTTGGACTGACCAATCAACCTAACAGTCATGTTTTTGGGTAGTCAAAATAACACATACATATATCCAGTAAAATATAATGCATTTCATTGACATGCATTTGTATTGGAAATGGTAATAACATTTAATTTCTGCTGCTAACAATGTAATGATGGCATGTCTATTATGTACGGGTTGGCAATAATCCAGTTTAAGTAATGTTCAAAGATAGAAGCCTTTGTGAATTATATAATACAACGGCTTGCCGTAATTCCTGCTCGTGTGTGTGTGTGTGTGTGTGTGTGTGTGTGTGTGTGTCAGACTTGTAGCAGTAATGTGACTCGTATCTGCAGCGGTTCTGATCCGTAGCGCTGCAGGATGCAGAATAAACAGGATGGTGGGGACTTCATCCGCTTGAAGAGTTTAGTCTTTCTTAGTTTTACCATCATCATATATTTTTCTGTGCGCCATTTGATCGTGAGACTGCTACCCATTAGCTTTAGCATTAGCCAATCTGCGTGTAGCTGCACTTTTGATCCCAAACTTTGGACCGGTTCTGCCTTTGCTGATACCTTTATTTTCCTCCACTGCATCCAGATTACCACACTGTGCGCCAGTAAAAAGCATTTTTCTTACACGTTACTTACTTTTGTTCAGTAAAGTTCTAGGGAAAGATGTTGCACCAGTGCTACGTTTAAAAGTAGACGGATACGCACAGACAGTTTTGTTCGTCGCACTGTACAGCCCTGCTCTGATATGGAAGAGCCTGGGGGAAAATCAGGACTTCAGTAGAGCACCAACCACAGATACGTACCAACTAGCGAGAAAAGCAATTTTTGATCTTCTTTTTCTGCAGCGGTTTTAGCGCTTTTTGGTGCACCGCTGCTGATACAGCGCCCCTGTAGTGGCGCAACGCTGCATCTGCAGTTACAATAACATCCATATAGCTGGGGGCAGAGTGGAATCAGGCTGGGGTGGCACAAAATTAGCTGGAGGCGGCCGCCACGCAAATTTGAATGGAGAAAAAACCCTGCACTAGCCTGGTATGAGATTGTCACTGTAATATTAATCCGTCACTATGAGTTTAATATGCAGGCTGAACATGAAAATAGTCATCAGGTTCACAAAAGCCTGACAGATCTACGTCACACTGTCACTTAGCATTCATGAACTCATTCACTTTGACTTGTGACGAGGAATGCTGTTGTTGGTTTAGCGCGGGGGTCGGCAACCCGCGGCTCTTTAGCGCTGTCTAGTGGCTCCCTGGAGCTTTTTCAAAAATGTTTGAAAAAGGAAAAAGATGGCGGAAGGAAATAATTTTTTTGTTTTATTATAGTTTCTGTAGGAGGACAAACATGACACAAACATTCTTAACGTTTTTTAGTGCTGTAAAAATGTGTAGAAAAATATTAAATTTCAACATTTCTGTCAACGAAGATGTGCGTCATAGCCTGCGACACACGTTTCTATCAGCAGGGCGGGATGCCAGGCAGGTGGCTGTTGTAAACAAATCGGCGGCTCTGTGATGGGCCATGGATCCCAAAGGGAAAAAGAGAAAAATAACTGAGAACAGAGGATTCAACGTTTCTTGGACCGAATCATTTGCATTCATTGCCAATGCGGAAGGATTGCATGAATGTTTGCTCTGTAACGAGAAGTTGTCATCCCTGAGAGAATTTAAAGAAGCCCATCACGATCACACACTCAACGGTGATTATTTACAAGGTGCGATCGTTGATATGCAAACTGCATTTGCCGACTCCCGGGTTAGCGTCTAGGAAACCGCAGAGAACGTCTAGGCCAGTAGAAGCTAATCGTTAGCATTAGCAAATCCACAACACGGCAGAGCTCCACCACCAGGCTTGTTTTATTTGATGTCTGATGCCGGTGACAAGCCTTACAGATTTTCCCTCAGGTGGAGCATCAAAGCTGCTGCTTTAATGTCACGCCTGATACTTAAAACTTTATTGTCAGTGTTTTTGGATGCTTTGTAATTCCGACCAGACACGGAGACAGAGGTGAAAGAGAAAGATAGGGGGCAAAAGGAGGAGGGGGGGGGGGGGGCAAGAGTCTGCTCCTAGACCTGCAGAAAGAGAAAAACAAACCAACAAAAGGGTCACACAACAATACAACAAGAACAAGCTATCACCGCTTAACCATCCCGCCTGAATACCTGATAATTAGCCTAGCCCTGAGAAACGGGACCTCACTTTGATTTTCATGTTACAGCAAGTTCCTGTAAGTTACTCTATAGTTGTGTTTTGAACCCCGTTGCTGTAGGAAAACACATAGATGATTCTTCTCTCTGCAGCACATAATGATGGAAGATGTGCTGTGCTTTATCTTCTTCTAACTAAGGTGGGGGCTTACCTGAAGAGCCCCTCCTACCCCATATGGGTGGTGTGCAGTGAAAGCCACTTCAGCGTGCTGTTTGGCCTGCAGAGGGAGCTGTTGACCAATCAGGATGATGGTCTGGAGTTTGATCTCTACTTCTATGACGGACTGGCCAATCAACAAGAGGAGATCCGCCTCACTATTTGTAAGCAATGTCTTGATCTGAATTGGGTCACGAATGACCGCAAATAAAAAATGCACAAACATTTTGTCTGTGGTACTAATATTAATATTTAGATAGGCATTAACAAAATGGGATGTTTAACTTCATTTTCGTGGTGACACCTTTTATTTTCAGGTTGATTTGTCACGCCGTGTTAGTCCTTGTGAGTATTTTTTTTAACCTGAAAACTCAAATTCTGTTTTTTAGCTGTTGGAAAGTCAGCTAAGAGCTCTCAGCAAGTCGATGCCGATCTCACTCCTCCACTTGAGCTCTGCATCCAAACAAGGTATAGAACTTGTGGCTTGTTTTGTTTGTTCCTGTAGAATCACGTGCTCAGTGATGTTTACTTTTCAGAAAACAGTTCATCCATTTTTTTACATAAAGAATGTAAATTTATATGTACTTAATTTTTTGCTGTTTTCCAGATGGAAAGATGCATCGGTCAACTGGAATGGGACAGAACCTCTCCTCTGAGTGATTGGATTCTCATCAATAATCCTTATGAAAAATTAACCAACGCTAATCACTTCACATTATACTCACAGATCATGTTTAGTATATATGATCATTGTTACTTTTATTCACTTTTGAGTTTGCCCACATATTTATCTGAGACTCCGAAATGACATTATTTAAAACTTATTTTTACTAATATATGTATACGGTATATTAAAAATGTAATAGTGATTTTGACAAGTTACAGATAAGGTAGGTTTTTTTCCTCAAGTATACATGATCATTATCATTTTTGGATGGAATCTCATTCTAGTGGCATCATGACATTTGTGCAAAATTACATTTTCACCATAACGGCCTTGGAAAGTCTACTTATAGTTGAAAAATAAATAGTTTTGGGTGTTTAGATTTTGCATCAGGGGCTCTTTTTTAGGAGGCTTTCTCACACATCCGCAAAACCTAATACGAGATATGACAATTAAAGATCAAGCTCACTGAAGAACCGGTTTTTATTTGTTTCTGAAATATGAACGATCACTCTGTGTTGAACATGCAGGCTAACACTTATAAAAAATAGCCTTGTACCCCTATTTGCTGCATTAGCCGCAGATAGAAAATAGACAGGAAAACTCTCGGGATAGAAAAGCCACTCAAGTCAATGTCGCATAGAAAATGTAACTAGCATTTGTTGGTTTAGCGTCCAGGAAACAGAGAACATCTCAGATAGCTAACTGTTCGCATTAGCAACTCCACAAAATGGCAGAACTCCTCTAGACTTGTGTTATTTGTGGAGATTAAACAATCCATGTTGCAAAGTTAACAGTCAGTAGTAAAGTTGTATTGCTGTTATCCAATCAGAAAAGAAATGTCAGAATATCAGGAAATAAGCCAAATCATGCCGTCTTCAGCTCGCCACTCTGGCTCACTTCTAGTTCCTGAAACAGTAGCTCGTGATCATGGTCTTTTGAATAATGTCCACAATGATTATTTTTCTCATTGGGATTAAAATGAGAAATAATATGTTTATGTATTTAGCAGACGCTTTTGTCCAAAGCGACTTACAAGTGATAATGAAGCCAGCAGGTTGCCCTTAAGGCTATCAACAATCACACATAACTGAATAAAATCTAGTTTGAAAGGAAATGTTTAGTGGAAAGGTTTGGTTTCAGGTTGCAGCTTAAATAAACTTCTTAGTCTAAGATACTGTATGGTTATAAACCACTCATTGGATGGGGCCAAAAGACATGTCAGACCTATATACCCGTACCCACCTTAGGAAACAGTCAGCGTGTAGAACCCGGGTCAGAACCAAACAGGGCGAAGCTGCTTTTAGCTACGATGCTGCGCACAGATAGAATCAGCTTCCTTATGACCTCAAATCTGGCCCCTCTAGTAACTTTTAAATCCAAATTAAAAACCTTCTTGTGTTCATCAGCCTTTGAACGATCATTTCTAATGCTGCATTCTCTGCACTGTAACTGCTCGGCTTTTAAATTTGCTTTTTTTAAATAATTTTCTTCATTGAATTTTGTGTATTTTGATTTAAAAATCAGCTGTTATCTGTTGTCACGTTGATTTGAATGTTTTATGTTCATCTCGCACCTGGAAAGCACATTGAATTGCTTCTGTGTTTGAAATGTGTTACACCAGGGGTGTCAAACTCATTTTAGCTCAGGGGCCACATTGAGGGAAATCTAGTCCCAAGTGGGCCAGACCAGTAAATTTAAAAAAAACTTCAGATTGTTTTCTTTGTTTTAATACAATCAATATAACAAAAGGCTGGAGCCTGAGGACAGTGTATCCAAAATAGTACAAGTACGACACCTGAAGTGTACTTGAAAATTTGAAATTTTTTTAAAAAAAATCAACAAATAAAAAAAAATCCTTAGTGAACTTACAGATCACATGGCAAGATCAGTTTCATGCAGCACCTAAAGTATATTTGACTCATTTTACTTTACATCTTTTAGCTTTCACCAGCACATCAATATCAGAAGTCACATCCTGAGTGGCAGCCAACTTCAGGATGTGATTCAAGTTCTTGTGTGAGCCTTGAGCGCAGCTTTGTTTTATTTATACTCATTACAGAGAAAACTTGCTCACAATGATACGTTTATTTTCACTCTACATTGTAAAGTATGAAAATAAAGTTTACACAACCATCTCGCGGGCCAGATTTAACCCGCTTGCGGGCCGGATCCGGCCCGCGGGCCGCATGTTTGACGCCCCTGTGTTACACTAATAAAGCTGCCTTGCCTTGAATTCTGTTTTTATTTAGGCAAGACAACCAAACTTTCCCATTTCTGTGATCAATTAAGGACATCTCATCATTCAGCAAGACTGACCATTTTATACATCACTCACTGAAACCTTCCTTTAAAGGGGCAATAAAGTATTTCATGAACAGTTTTTAATTCAATTAAAATCTAAATTGGCGGAAAAGGAAAATTCAGAGGAGGGATTTCTGGCATTGATTTGTATGTTGTCTCATCAGTGACAGGCACGCAGCGTGGCGCATGCAGAGGGGGTGGCACGGACCCGGCGCCAGCACCTCCAGCACTGTGGGATCAAAGACGCTGCAGCTGTTATGTAAACAGAACCCCAGCAGCTCACTTCCTATAAAACCACTGGGTAGCACCGACCAGAGTCCAGGATCCACTCTGGCAACTTTATCTCCTTAATTCAGTCATTACCCCTCATATTCATATTTCCATCTTGGCACAAAAGGCTCACTGGAGAAGAGCCAACAGGGAAGAAGACAACTCATTCAGCTCTCAGCTGTCGAATTCTTAATGGAAGCTGTATTATCTGAATGTATATTATTGGTGACTCACGGAGGATTTGTGCTGTCTACAAGAGACGTGAGAAGAGAAATGAATTAATCATGAGACGCGGAGCAGTGAAGCCTATGTGACAGTTTTACAGCCACCATGGCTACAGTGATCACTATAAATACTCTGGTTTGTCTGAATCAAGCCTGCGGGTCTCCAAAATTGGATTACAGTGTTCACTTTTGCCACAAGACTCTTCTGTGAATGAGGGATAGGTGATTGGAAATATGTCAAAATAGGAAATAGGTCTGAGCATGAAATATGTTCGACAAGCAAACTGGAGATGTGTGCTGGATTTTAAAGCCGATTAAAACAGGAATCAGGACAATCTGCACACTTGTGGAGCTGATTTGAGCTTTTTTTAAAAGGAGTATTCACCGAAATCACAACTTTGAAGCTTGAGAGTGACAACATTAAGGTATTTCCTCTCACAGCTCCTGGGCTTTGCAGGAGCCGGGTGCAGTTTGACAGGAAGGAAATGACATGGCTTTGGTCTTTATTTACTATATTATGCCACATTTCTCAGAGGCACCAGAAGAGGGATTTGGTGCTTGTGTGTAATTGTGTTAACGCCCTCCCACATGCTGTCCCCAGCGCATCTTCTGTCTCCTCTCCTAATATGTGCTGTTTGTCTCCAGATAAGTGATATCCTCCTCAGATTAGGATCCGGTGTTCCTGTCCTGCCCACCCGGAGGGGAAAGGGATCCCCAGTGCATCCCCAGGAGGGGCTCGCTTTATTTTTAGCCGCATAATTCTTATATTGTTAGAGAATAACACGTCACACTTTCCCTAATTGGCCCAAGTATCGTTAAACAATCTGCCACGAGAAAGTGCTTCATCTGCATTTATTAAAAGTCTTATAGTTGCTGGTTTATTTAGAGAGAATCCAGAGGATCATAAATTTAAAAGCTGAACTCCTTTGATCCAGAGGAAGTTGTGATTTGTGGAACCAAAGCCATCAGCAGGGTTTTATAGCCCTGCAGCAGAAGACACACTCAAACCAAGCTGGGTACAGGCCAGGGTAAATTTGAACAAATATATTCTGCGGATGAGTTTTTAACAATCTCATAAGAAGTCAAACTCTAGAAAAATGCACAATGTGTGAAACTGTCTGTAGAGACAAGCTGACGTGAGAACTGAGCTGTTGTAATCTTTGGCTGACAGCAAATGTTTTCAGAACCTTATCCATCAGCATCCCCTTGTGTGTGTGTGTGTGTGTGTGTGTGTGTGCCTGGATCAATGTTTATTCCACAACACCAAATAATACAAAGAAAAACAATATCTATCAATATTCTCCTGGCGCTACCAGACAGGAGGGAACAACGTGGACAGTTTTATTATCTCAGGACTTTATAGCCTTTTGCTTTAGTTTGCCATCTTCCTCCAGAAATACTTAAGGTTGACTTAGAATTTAATTACACAGCAGCTCTTGAGTGTTTATCTCCAATTAGAGATTCAGCACGAGGAAATGACTGCTTTACTTGTCTTAATCTCCTTAAAATCCAACAGTCAGTGTTTGCTGTTCTCCGATTATGGAGCCTCAAAGAGAAACATGTGGGATATTTAGAGGGAAAATAAATTTCTTTTTTTCTCTCCATGTTTGGCTTGAAGACAAGTAAACTTGGACTGTATGTTAGTTGTGTATCAGGTTTCAATTTTACAAAGCTCTTGGTCTGGAACGCTTTATTCAATATAGATTCAGGAAATTATCGAGCAGTTTACTTGGAGAAAAAAAATAACCTTATCATGACCACCAAATTTTCCAGACCTTCCTCAAAGTAAAAAAATTATTCTACATAAAATTTTCTGTCCAAAGAAATTTGTGAGTCTTCTGTCTTTTGCTTTCCTTATCTGAAGTATCTGAGTTTGGATTGCTTCACATGCTGTTGAGTCCAAGATGTCCAAGAGCAGTGATTAGAGGATTGCAATAGACAAATGCAGAAAAAAGTTGCCAGATATTTTTGTATGAACTCTCGTAAAAAAAGAGGGACTTTGGAATTTTAGCACCTATTCAAAGAGGAAAAAGCTGTATCAGAAAGGTGCTTTAAAGGTACAATGTGTAAGAATAAAGTAAGACAATATCCTGTAGTTACATCTTTTGCTGCAGTCTCTCTCTCTCACTCCTGTTTCACGAGTTTGATGGCTGCTGCCAGTTATGGATCAGCACCAGAAGATTGTAAATGACAAGATGAGTCATACACAATAAGTTGAAATGCATTATCAAAGCTGGTGCTAGCACTCTTGGGTGTTTTACGGTGGGGAGCACTTCCATCCATCCATCCATCCATCCATTTTCAGCTTATCTAGGGTAGGGTTGCGAGGGCAGTAGCCTAAGCAGGGAAGCTCAGACTTCCCTCTCCCCAGCCACTTGGGCCAGCTCCTCCAGGGGAATCATGAGTCTTTCGCTGGAAAGCCAAGAGACATAGTCCCTCCAAAGTGTCCTGGGCCTTCCTTTAGGTCTTCTCCCGATTGGAAAGTGCCTAGAAAACCTCACGAGGTGGGTGTCCAGGATACATCATAACCAGATACCCAGCAAAAGCTGGAGATCATGTTCTGATGAAGCCAACAGAACCATCTCCATAAAGCAGAGATCTGATCCTCGGGCCACCAAAACTAATCTCAACACCTTGGCTGTGCCTAGAAATCCTGTCCACAAAAGTTATGAACACAATCAGTGACAAAGGGCAGCATTAGAGGAGTCCAACTCTCATTGAAAACGAGCCTGACTTACAACAATACCGACCAATTTCTGACACCGGTCATATAAGGGATTTGCAGTCCCTATCAGAGAGCCAGGTACCCCATACTCCCCAAGTGCCCCTACAGAGCCTCCTGAGGGACGTGGTTGAAGGTTGAACGCCTTCTCCAAATCCACAAAACACATGTAGATTGTTGGGTGAACGCCCGTGCACCCTCCAGGACCCCCCTAAGGGTATAGAGCTAGTCCAGGGAACAAAAGAATGATACAATTACTATGTTTAGTATGGTAATATGCCTTGGCATGGAGGAAGAGTGGATGTTTGCTGTCTTGCTGTTAGCTTGCTGTTATGAATCCGAACGACTCATTTAAGGAAGTAAAACGCCACAATTGACTCATTATTCACTTCACACTTACATTTCATTGTAATATCGAGTTATTTGCAATTGAAAAGGTATCTTGAGATGTTTTTAGAGCTGACAATTTGCTTCTATTTCACCATTAGCTTTGTTAGCTCAATGTTAGCCTCTAGCCCTCTGTTCTCAATTTTAGAGTAAAACAAAAAGATGCCATGACTTCTTAGGGGTACAAGAAATTACTTTTGGGTCACTCTTGTTATAGCTTTGAAGCTTTGAACAACTCTGGAGCTTTTTGTTGTCTGTAGTCGAATTACAAATGCTGGTGATGCAGCGTTAGCTCATAAGAGACACGGTAACCCTACACTCACAAATGGTAAGCAGTAGCTATGTCCTTTTCCCCTTTATTTTGAAAGGAGAAAAACTGACAAGCCCCCAGCCAACTGAGAATGAAATATGTTTCATTATAACATTCCTTCCAACACGACGGAGACGTTAGACTGTTTTGGGATTATTTCACTGTAAAAATCTTACTCTTGTACACCGCACCTTTAAGACAGCAAAAAATAGGAATTTATCAGCTGAATGCCAGACTTGTTCAGAGTTTTTGGTATGAATTTTAAATATTAGTTGACAAGAAGACTGCATTCTTATGTAAAAGAGAAGACATTTGGACAAAGACACCAAGCACGTTGCCAGTTAATGAGCCGTCCACTCCCCAGTGCTCCATCTACGGCCTTGGCCCTCACACCACCTGCCTCCACTTCCTCCTTCACTCCAGTAATGACAAAATCTTCTGTGCTTCAATATTCTTTATTAATAATGCAGTGAGTAATCACCATTACTTCATAGAATCTCTTTTTCAACAATCACTCAAGTGCCAAATAAAGTTTAATGAAGACAACGATGGAGCATAATATCAGTGTGGTTGTAACAGTGGAATTTATATATATATATATAAAAACTTCTCTCCATCAAATATAACCTTTATAACCAAAATAATCACTTTTTTAAATGATCAGTAAGTCGTTCAATAAATAGGTGCATTTAAATTAAATTACTTAAAAATACATGTTCCATTCAGATCCATCAAAACAGCAACTAACACTTTCCATTCATCATTTTCAGTAATAACAACAAAAAGATGTTTTTTAAACACAAATATGTTCTCATGTTTGCTGTGGGTTTGAAGGCACTTGGCAACACATTGATCCCTCTTCCATTATACAGGGACCTGGAATCAAATAGCAAACAAACACACACATAAAAAAAATAAACCCGTTAGGAGTTAATCTTCAGTGGATTCTGTACTTTATTAAAACTCCTAATACAGTTTTGGAGAATTTGACGCATCTTCTAAAAGAGGCCATTGCTAGCCTTCTCGTCACCAAAACACCGAAATGTTATCGAAGCTCACTCATAAATGACCAGAATTACAAAATGTGATTCACTTAATACGTCTTTAAAGTTCGTCAACTGTGACATGCAGATGAACCCCCAGAAGAGTGCCGACAGGATCTTTTATCCAATTCCCGAGAATGTGTCATCCTCCTCTCCATTATATTATCACCACCTAAACCCAGTGGCCTGAAATGACCACTTATGCAGATGAAACTGTCCGCAGCCATCACTCATCACACCGGGCCTAATTGTGTTCCACCTGAACACATGCTTTTTACTTGTGCTCGATTCTCAACTAGACAGGAGAGAAAACGGTGTTGTCAAAGATCGCCTTAACAAAGGGATGACTATACAGTCAAGACGACTTCACTGACGACAATCGAAGTTCTTTTTTTTCCCCGAGACAGGTCGTCTTTGGTGTACGGAGGGTCAGCTTTAAAGCAGGAAGCATTATGCATTAACATGTCAGTAATCTGATTGATCCATACGTATAAGAGAAACAATTCTTATTATAAGCATCTTTATTGTCACTTGAACATCAAAAACATTTTAGGGTGAAGCTGAAAAATCCTTCTTTCTCATCAAACTGAGGCACAAAATACAAGTAAAATTGCACATTCATGATTTTTTTTTACACATTATTGAGTGCTGAGGAGAAACAGGCTAATTTAATGACTAAATTTTACGAAGGGAAAATTTTTACTCACATGTAAAATCTACGATTGCATGCAGAGTGGGCTCATTGCTAGTCGTGTTAGCAATCTTGCACATCTTTTGTAATCTAAAAAAAGAGAGTATGAGTCAACATTATGTTTACATCACAGAGATATACAGGCTGATTGGAAAAAAAAACTACGACCAGAAAACAATGCATGAAAAAAAAGCTAATGAAGCTTTTGTATATATAAATCAGTCAACGTAATTGTCAAAAATGAAGGAAAATAGGAAATTTTAGAGATGTTTAAATGGTAGTTAATCCTATGTTCCTATATTGTCTCTTCAATTAGCAGCAGAAATCGATCGTTATTATATTTTATGAGAAAACCTTATGCAAAGTACTGGAGTCAGATGCTAAACACAGCATTTTCAAGTCTTTAGCTGTAATTGAAATGAAAAACAATTCAAATTTCCAGAATAGTTGATAATTTGCTGTCATTTACATATATTTTTTTACACATTTAACAAATACAAGCGCAACAGAAATGATTTTGGATTAAGAAAAACTTTTTTATGATTATGAATACAAACAATGCATGTTTTCGTCCAGTAATTAACATAAAACTGAGAATAACTGAACAAAAGTGTTAGAAGTACAGTGTGTAGAACAATTTGCCACAGACTTAGTCTTCCCAGCCAAAATCTGATTAAAATGGTAAATGGCCTGTATTTGATATAGCGCCTTCTAGAGTCCTGGGACCCCCCAAGGCGCTTTACAACACAATCAGTCATTCACCCATTCACACACACATTCACACACTGGTGGGGATGAACTACGATGTAGTCACAGCTGCCCTGGGGCGCACTGACAGAGGCGAGGCTGCCGAGCACTGGCGCCACCGGTTCCTCTGACCACCACCAGCAGGCAACGTGGGTTAAGTGTCTTGCCCAAGGACACAACGACAGCGACAGACTGAGCGGGGCTCGAACCTGCAACCTTCCGATTATGGGGCAAGCACTTAACTCCTGTGCCACCGTCATTTCCTTTACACTTTTGTCATTTAAATAACTTCTATAAAACCTTAATAATTACAAAAGACAGTTTTTAAAAAGCACTTTTTAACTTTTAAAAGATCTATAGTTTACATGTAGCAGGGTGTCAGCAGGAGCCAAAAAAAAGATTCAACTCATATCATTGTGTCCAACCCCTTTCAAAAGAAAAATAATTAAATAAATAAAGGAAAACTTACAAAATGCCAACATAAATAATTTGCTCACAAGAAGCATCCACATTAATCACAGTAATCAAACATGAGAAATTAAATGTTTTCATGGCGTCCAAAAGACATTATTAGATGATAACAGATCAGATAACAACAAAATTATGATTTATGTGATAAAATGATACATACATGTTGGTGTTGAGCAATCCCTTGTGTTGTGATATAATCTATGAAAGTGTGTTTTGCACTCGGGTGAGAACTTGACATGTCCTGCTTAATAAAAAAAAAGACAAACATCAGGCAAAAAGAAGTAGATTTCATGGGTTTCATTGTTATTCTTTGAAGAAAACATATTATGATTTTCTTTCTTAAGTTATAATAGTTCCATTGTCAATACAAAACCTTTAATGAGGTTCTTTGTATTAAATCCCTCTCAAATAAAGCAATTTCATCAGTTTTATCCTTGACAGTGCCTTTCAGAACAAGCGGTTTCAAGGTTTTGTCACTTTAAGTAAACAAGCTGGAGCTGGCCACGTCTACCTCTCCCCTGATTGGCTGCAACAGGCTGAGAATATTCAGGAAGAGCTTGGAGTAGAGCTGCTGCTCCTCCAGGTTAAAGGTGTTTCTATGCACATTTCCTAGTTTGTGACATCACAAACGGGGACATTTTGTAGTGGCTTGTTTTTGGAACATAATTTAATAAAACCAAACACTAATAGAAAATGGATGGAGAGGTTTTTTGAGGTGCTAGAGACCCCAATTGGAGCACTAAATGATGCAAGAAGTGACAAGCTAGGATGAATCATATACAGTAATTTGATAAGTAAATAAATACATTGTCAAATCTGGTGTTAGCACTCTTGGGTGTTTTACAGTGAGGAGCACTTACTACACTTATTACGGTTATATTTCTCCAGCTTTGAAGGAATTGTGGTTGTTTGCTGTCTTGTTAGCTTGCTGTTATAGTTTTGAACAACTCGTTAAAAGGAAGTAAAACAACGCAACTGACTAATTCACTTCACACATACATTTCACTGTAATACTGAGTTGTTAGTATTTGAACAAATAGCTATGGGTATTTTTAGAGACTATAATTGCTTCAAATTCATCGTTAGCATTGTTAGCTCAGCATTAGCCCAGCATTAGCCTCCAGCCTGCTTCACCCAATATTAAAGTAAAACAATAAGATGCAGTGGCTTCTCAGGGGTACAAGAAATAACTTCTGGGTCACTCCTGTTTACTAGTTTGTTTTTTGAGAGAAAAAACTGACAGCCAGCTGTGAAGGAAATCTGTTTAGGTATAAACTTCCTTCCAACATGATTAAAATAGACTGTTTTTCTCGCAGTAGAATTTAGTGTTCCTTTAAACACTGAAAGAAAAACCTGACTCTTTGACCCGTTAAGAATTATACAATCCTTTAGTTTACGTTGAAGAGTATTTGTCGGTCTCTCATTTAACGAGCCACCTATCTGTAAGCATTTTAATAATTTAAGCAAATCCAGAGTCACAAACTGAAAGTTAAGAGTTCTACGGACATTGTAAAGTGGTCAGAGTTTAACTGGACTCATCCTACAGTAGAGGTGAGTATTCATTTGTAATCACGTCTAAGAGTTTCTGCACCAACGATTAAGCTTCCAGGTTTTCATACCAATAGTGAAGTCTACTCACAGGTCCTGAGACAAATAATCAGCTTAACTTAGCAATGCCTTCAACTTGGTTCTGTCAGCTTCTGACCATGTGCTGTTTCTCTAAACTGTTGCCCTGTAGCTAAGCCAGGCGACCCTCTCCTGACCCACAGAAGTACCACTGTTCACAAAGCTGTCTATGACTTCAGCTTACTGTGTGTTGCCTTGCAGGAATGAAAATGACTCTCACAGGGAGACACAGCTATCAAACTGCAGCCAAAGGTTGCATGGGAAAAACACCAACTATGTTCTTAAAGTTGTTTGCCAGAATCAACAGTTTTGCAATGTCTGGATAGGTCAGGTCACAATCAGGACAGAAACATTTGTGCTGGGATTTTCTTTCATGGCAATGTTCTTACCTCCAAAATGCTGAATGAATTTTTCTTTCAGGTGTGCTTCTCTAGCAGCGATATCTGGAACAGAAAATCACCGTCAGAGCTTTCTGATTAAGTCAGACACAAACCCCAACTTTGATTTAAAAACTCGTTCCTTTGTATTTAGAAGCAAGCTTGTTTTTTTTTTAAACAACACTTGAAAAATAGGTCTTGGAAACCTCAAAATGCCCACATAAGACATATTTTTTACATTTTAAAGTGAGAGGCAGGTTTTGCTTGTTTTAAGCACTCCCGAGTGTCTGTAGAACCAAATGCAAAACCTATCTCCGCACTGTGCAGTTGTCCGTTTAACATCTTAATTTAACAGGTGAAACATCTCCCCAGCCTTCATTTGGGTCTACAGGAGGGATTTGTCACCAAATTAAACAAATCACCTTTGTTCATGATCTAAAACATGCAGGAAACGTGCTGGAAGCAGACTGCAGCACCAGGTTTGTCAGCTAACAGACCAGACCAGCAACTCTGAAGTTGCAAGTGGAATATTCTGGCCATGGGGGTGATAGGGCTGGGTGGCCTTTCATTAATAATAATTTTAGCACATACTGGCTTAAGAAAATGATTTTAAAATATGAAAAAAGTGGCAAAGTATCTCTTTAATTATAAATACAATTATGAAAACTTTATTTCCCCAGATTATTTCAAGACCTTTGAATTGTTGTTTCTTGCATCACAGTGAAGAAGAAGAAGAAGAAGAAGAAGAAGAAGAAGAAGAAGAAGAAAATATCATTTCTATAGCGCCTCTCAAGATAAAAATCACAAGGCGCTTCACAAAAACAAAACAAAAAATAAAAATATAAAAATGTAAGGTCCTGACCTCATCCCAGCTTCATCATATCGTGTGTGGTTCTTACTCTTTTTTTCCCCAGCATCCCAAATGTCATTTTTCTGAATTCAAATGTCTCATCTCTGTTTTCTAACTAGTGGTCCGGTTCCCAGTTTTGGCAACATTTTACAAAGTGAAATTGGCACAGAGGACATCATGCTGCACTTCTTCTCTTTCTGTGTTTACAAAAGTAACACATGCAGGGGGTCTGACAACAGGCTGGATATGCAAACAGCCTAAAGAGATTATTGGATGTGAGTGTAATGCTGATCAGAATAAGTCCTTGTAAGTAGTTACTGGGTTAACAGCACTTTAGTCCCAGACCCAGAAGCGTGTAATGCTGCAACAGCAGGAAAAGTATGAACAGAAGCTCTTTTCATCTGTTTGCAAACCAGCCTGAAATTATTAAAATCTCTGAGGATTAAGATTTAAAATGTTTCTGGAATAGGAAACTAATTATTTCAAGTAAAAACTAAGAGATGTTGAGTGAAAAAGTCAGACTCTGTTTCTTGTAGCATGATAATAAATGCATATTATAGCTAGCTTCTAGAAAGCTTATTTTTGTGCCATAAATTTGAAGGAGAAAAAAAGGCATTTTTAAACAAATGCTTCCTCTCATTTCATGTCTGTCTCATCACAGCCATCACTCTAATGCCACAGCTCCCAAGGAACAAGCTTCAACGACTGAGGGGTTGGTTCTTGTTCAACAACAGCAGCCAGCTTGCAGATGTCTTCCCTTTAACTCCTCAGAGCATCGCTGCGTGATCATGACTTTTTGGTAGTGTCACACGCATCAGTGCTCAAATGCTGCCTTTAATATCCTCAAACGAGGAATTCCATCCAGCCACTGGTCTGAGAAAGGTACTTTTCCAATTGCATAAGCTCAGATCCAGATTTGAGTCTGTGCAGCATCACTTCTGCATGAGCTAATTGATGGGGATAGTACTGAGAACTGGAAACTTCATTCTGCATTATGTTCATTTAACACTTCTGAGCCCACATTTTCTGCTGCAACATTTAAAAAAAAGAATCATATCTGAATTCCTTTAATTTAATACATATAGGATATTTTTTTCTTTAGAATCTTTTGAAGTAGTTTAGTTTAAAAATTACAGTTTTCATCTGGACTGACTTTAAGTAAAATAAGTCAACCTAATTTTAAATATCATTGTCTAGTCATATGATGCTAAGGCTAAAATCCGGAACAGATCCTTCCTTTACAGACAAATCAAGTGGAATGAGAAGTCATTCAGGGTGAAGGTTGATCAATGAGTCATTCATACATTTGGCACAATGATCCTCCTAAACAACTGATAAAACCTCCTCCAATCATTCGCAAATGGAATGTTTTTAAACATAACACCAGGAGGATGTGATCTAACTTCTAATCTGCATTAAATAAATTATATAATCACTTTAAACTGAGCTGTCAATTCAGAATAAACAAATGTGCATAATGTGCTCTTGGCCCTTAGAAGAGGAAAGAGGTTTTCTAGTACCCAGATAAATTGTTTTAATCATGCATTTATTTCTATTTAAACAATAGAGAAGTGGATGGGTAGCACTGACCATGACCAACGACAGCTGTCTCCAACAGTAAAATGAGGATTACTGTCATCAGATCCTAAAAATAAGTCTTATCAGCTTACCTATGAGTCTGCTGTTGTCCAGCCTGGGGACATAGAAAGGCTTTTCCCGAGAGGAGAACTTGATGTCTTGAGCTGAGGAGTGAGGTGCGCCTCCACAGCGCCTTGACACGGGTTTCTCCCGTTGCTGGCTGTCCCTGATAACCTGTAAGATTAGATCCAACAGGGTCCTTCTTTCTTTCTGCTTGACCTCCTTGCTGTCCATGCACTGACCCGAGGTGATGAGCAGAAAGAAGATAGTCAACAGTATGTGCCACTTCCTCTCCACATGCATGGCTTCACTGTCTGAAAATACAAGCAAATAAAGTTTGGTTGCGTAGGAGATCCCGATTTTTTTTTTATTTTCTACCGTTGATTTTTTTAGGTAAATTGCAAATGCAACACATACACAACCTCTGGGGTTTGTCACCAGAAATGTTCCGGTGCTGCGCAAATACGCACGGTGCGCAATTCTTCTGGAAAGGCGAAAAAAATAATTTTAATAAAACAATAAACTTACCAGTTTAATAATTAAAGATGCTAATGTCCTGGAGAGTGGGCACACTTGTCTTGTGGAAAATCTTCCAGGTGTGGTCTGTGGTCCCGATGCGTAAGAACAGCCAGCAGATTGCGCTCAGCACCGTCTTTCTTCAAATAATGCGTTCCTATTTATACGGAGAGCCACCTTCTTGAAGGTAATACAATCGGTTTCGAGTGGGTGGTAGAGCAATGTTGACATCTTCGGTGTAATTTTTCCCCCAAGAGACACTCGTTCACTTTGGTGTGCGCAACTCCTTTGCGCGCCAAATCATCACTCTGTTTGAAATCAACGTTTGATTTCATGTAAAATCAACATTCCTACATAGATGAATCACCGGATCATGTTAGAAAAAACGCAACTCTAAAACTTTACACAAAAAAAAATCAAATTAAATTAAAATACACGAACCTCACTGATTAAAGAAAGAGAAGACAGGAACGCTGAAGCGCGCAGGAGACCAGTTCTCCAAAAGACGCAACCTGTTGGATGCAGAGGACAGGATCTGAGGGCCTGTGAGCCTAGAGCCGACCTGTCAGCGTGCCGATGTTTTTGCTCGCTCATGCCCAAGTCTTGTGACCATATGCGCTGCAGAGAACGCGCCTTCAGACGCTCCCGTCCAAGTTCCTCCCAAAGAAAATATACAGCTGTGATAGAGTCTTCATCGTTACATTTTATTTTACCCAGAAAGCCTGGAGCGCTTCAAGTCTGCTTCATTTCATTTCATTGAAACTGAAGCCGAATTTATGGGGAGTCTTTGAGGAAACAAAATTTATTTTATATGCTACCAACTGAGTTTAGGGAGACAATTTAAGTGTTAATTGATGATGATGATGATGATGATGATGATGTTTGCCCATCACATTGACCCTGAACCTGTGATTATCACAATAATAAAAGAAGAGCTTGGATGTTTGTTTCCGTTGTTAAACAAACCATTACGTCACATCATCGGTGACTTTAACCCTTGCCGGTGTTGGACAGAACACCGGTTTACTTCAGCATCAAGCTTCCGCCTTTCCACTGCGTTCACCCGAACAGCTGCTCGGAGGGACGCGGTGGCGAAAGACTTCCTGTATAACCGTTTCCATGGAGACGTGCTAAGTTTGAGAAAGCTGACTGCGTCTTTGTGTACAACGTAGCTTCTCGTACTTTTATCGTTTCTTTATTATCATTCATCGCCATTTTTATTCTCATGTACTGTTTTGCGACGTTTTGAACATGTCGCAAAGGTAAGTTTCAAACAGACGCCGCTTTTGTTCTTCACGTAGCTAGTCGGCTCTGAAGTCCACATTAGCATGTGTTTAGGATCTCCTGAGTTGGAACAGGCTACACGAATACCTCTAAGTTTGGAAATAATAATACATGGGAATTTTTTTAATTTTCAAAATTCTGTATATGCTAAAGTTTGGACTAAGCATCATTTCTAACCAAATACTATTACCCAACTGAGTGTGTGTGTGTGTGTGTGTGTGTGCGTGCGTGCATGTGTGTGTGTGCGTGTGTGTGTGTATGTGTGTGTGTGTGTGTGTGTGTGTGTGTGTGTGTGTTAAAGTTAATTTTAGTTTTGTAAAGTTTTTTTTTTGTCCAGTTCTTACCCAAAAGGAAATTGTAAGTTATATGTTTTAACTAAGAAGTGGGCAAGAACAAGTGCTGTAGACACGTGTAGTCAATGATTTGGCACTTTAGTGCATCTTAGTTAAAATTTAAATATAATAAAATATAATGCCTGTTGCGCCGTCTTCAGGTAAAAACTCTGTATTGCATTTAAATTTAAATCTGCCATTGCTATTGGTTAAGAGGCACACTATGACATTAGCTGGTACATTATGATGCCACAATATCTTTGTGAGCCTGTGTGTGTGTGTGTGTGTGTGTGTGTACTTGTTAGCGGCTCCGTCCTCTCGGTCTGTCAGGCAACAGCAATTGTTGCATTTCTCAAACAGGAAGTGGGAGTGGAGTAAAGCCTGGGGCGCACTAAAGACAGACGCGCCACACCGCACCGGCGCCGCACCCACTCCATATTTTAGAAAAGAAGCCATTATAGTTATTGAGAGTGGCTAAATGGGGAGCGCAGCGCAATGCCAAGGCGCTGAAGACAGGTGCCAGTTCTGTTTCAAGCGCTGTGGTACAGTGTGGCTGTTTATAACATTGTGGAGTACTTTAGAACAGGCATTACAACGCGGAACGGCTTCACGGCCAACCCCAGCCACCGGCAGAATCCCAACCAAAGTATTGACAACTTTAAAGTACTATTGATCTTAAAATATTCTAATAAATAGCATACTTCCATTTTGAATGAATTTGATTCTTACAAAACACGGCGAAAAATCCGATCACGTCTAAACAATAGAATCACTTCCCGCTTCCTGTTCTCAAGTCCCGCGTGATGTTGGGTCTATGGCGCGACTTTCCAAGAAGCGTTCAACGGCACAGCGCTGTGACCACTTGACTTCTCAAAACAACGGTGCTTCCACGGCACTTCTGTCTTCACTGTGTCTCAGGCTTAAGACACTGGCAGGGGGGGACTTGCTCTTTAATAAAACAATTGAGAACATATTGTGGTTTTATATTAAGTTGCTCGTACACCTACCCTGCTGAAAAACCTAGCATGTCCAGCTTGGGATGCTGGACCAGCACACCAGCACCAAAACACAACATATGCTGTTTTTTTCAGCAGGGAAGTAAACCATTACATTACAGCTACTGAGCTGAAAAAGAGTTTTTTAAGCAGTCAAAGACCAAAGAAAAACTTTGAAAGAGCTTCAAAAATCAGAAGAAACATTAATTGAGATGATAAGAAAATCTAACTTCTTGGAAGCAACATTTTAATGTCCTTCCACAGCTGCCCTAGGAAACCTAAAAACAACTCTTTTTTTTACAGAACAGATGTCGGTTTCACTAATTATGATGTCCCTTTTTTCACATACTTACAGATTGTAGTGCAGTGTTCCCTGTCTGACCTCCATTTTTCATCCGAACTGTTTTAGGTTGTATGACCAGCTATGGGCAGATGCCCAGTCGGAGCTGAGTCGTCTTTTAGAGGAAGAACTTCCTGCTGAGCCTGTTTCCCCTAACAAAGACCGGGTTGTGTTCTTCCAACATTTGGCCACTCTTTATGTGCGTTACATCCAAGTCTTCAGACAGCTGGAGGTGGTCTACGACCAGATGGTCCACCCTCAGAAGAGACGAGTTGTTCGGGAGATTCTGGATGGTGTGATGGGGAGGGTTCTGGAGCTGAAGAATGAAATGGTGGAGAAGGAGTTTTCAGAATACCATTACATGGATGACGTCCTGCATGCCCTGAAGCTCACACCTGTAAGTTTCCTCTTCGAAAGCAGAATGGGTAGAGTTTTCTAACTTTTACACATTACGTGGTTAAATAGACAAACAGTCCAGCTCATGTGTTTTCTTAATCGTCTTCTAAGGAAGAAGTTGAGGTACCAATCCCTCGCTATTTTCTAAATGAGTGCAGCAAGGAAGTTCAGGAAAGAAAAGGAATGCTGATGGAAATCCTGAAGACGGTGGAAGTCTCTGAAAGCCTTGGTGTGAGTTATTTCACGTTGTTGCGCATTAGAGTGTCTAAAAGTTGAGAGAATTTGTTTAAAGAGCTAAAATGATCTGGAATTCTGGTTTGTTGCTATACTTTTTACTGATCTCTGCAGCCAATAACGATTAAGGAGATGACTCAAGAGGAGGCCATCAGGATCATTCAGAGAGCAGAGAGGGCACGACAAGGACGTCTGAGGGCTAATTTTATAGAAAGAACTAGATATAGGCCCAAGCACTTTCGATCAGATGACCGTGAATCCGCTGCTATCTACCTTCAGAAGGTTCTTTGAAATTTTCTCCTGTTCCATTCTTTTTAAAGTCATTCGTCATGCTCAAAATGTTTGTGCAACTTTCATTTGCAGATGTGGAGGGGTGCCTTAGTGAGGAAGAAGATAAAGATTGCCCAATATGAGGAGATGATTTGGCTGGGAATGGTGAGTGATGTGATGCACCAGTTATCCTTTACATAGAAACATTACTCTTTAGCCTCTTCAAAAAAATAAAGTTTAAGTCTTGGAATTTTTTTTGCTTTTCTCTAAATGTCCTAAATTGCTGGGACTCTTCTATATCCAGGAACACGCAGAAGAGTTTGACCTGTTCAGTATGTTTGGATCACTTTCACTATAGATTATGGATCCAAAACACCCGGTGCCATGCCCAGCTGAGATCGCTGTCCAAGCTACTGAGGCTTGCACTCGGATCAAACAAAAAGAGTATGAGGAAGCCTACCACAAGTCTGCAGAAGACATCACAAACCAGCTGAGAAAAAGAGAGGGTCATGACATGAGCAACGCCCAGAAAAGTCCGATTCGCCAGTGGTTTCATAGATGCCGGTGAGGTGGCGCAGTTGTAATGATGGTTATTACGTGGACAGATATTGCTTTTGTGGAAGAAAAGTATGTTTGATGTATTTTACAGTGAATCTACAGGAGTGTTCCCAGATTACCCAGATGAAGAGGAAGGAGGCTCAGCCCTCATTTTTACAAAAATGCATGCTGGGCAGGTAGAATATATTCTTAAAAGTATTAAACAGGTTCTGGGTGGTTTCACAAGAACATTTCGGGTGTTTACCTTCAAGTTAATGGAAGAGATTGCTGCAAAAGAAGAGTCCAACCAGAGATCACAATGGAAAGGAACTGTGGAGCACAAACAAAAAAAGGACAAGGGGAAGGAAACTGAGAAAGTAAGGATTCAACCAGCTAATATAGAAAAGTATATATATATGTATATATATATCACACACACACACACACACACACTCTTCTATTTGTATATATACATATATATATATGTGTGTGTGTATGTGTGTACACATGTTTGTGCTTGTCTGAACCACAGGAGGAAGACGATGGACTGATAATGCTCCCTTCTGCTTTTCTGTCCGATTTGATATTGGCAAACAACAATTACATGGGTATGTTTACATGTAAAAGATCAGCATCAGCCCCTTTATTGACTGGATGTTTACTTCTTCTCTGATCTTCATGCTAAAACTCACCCTAGCTGTTTCTGAAAGAGTCTGTGATTATTTTGTTAACAACTCAGATTTTCTTCTATCCTGTTTGACCTCTGCTTCTTGGTTAACATCTAATTATCATAAACATGTATAAAAGATGAATTTTAAATTTTAAATCCACAGCTGTTTGGAAAGCCAGAATTACGTCTGAAAACCTGAATCAGAAGCTTGACGTTGAGCTGCTCAAAGAGGAAAAGAGAGACGTTCTGAAAGCAGAAATCCAAGTGAAGGTGCCTCTGGTTACACAACTCACAACATTAAAAGCAATTTATGTTTCCTTTTTTTGTTTCATGAGCCATACATTGGTTTTCATTAGCATAACTAACTTTTCTGTCTTCCCAAAGTTGTGCAGAAACCTGATAGCCATGCTGCTCTGTTTTTATTCTGTTTGCATCAGGTAGATGAGCAGATGCGACAGGAGCTGGCTGAGCTGAAGCTATCTGTGGATAAAGACAAAGGCATCAAAGCAAAAGCAAATGACAAGGTAACACCAGCAACGATGGAGGTTTCAGCTTACAGGACATTTGTTTACTTGCTTAATGAGTTTGATACAATTTTACTTCACAGAAGAAGAAAGGATCCAAGAGTGGGAAGAAGAAGAAAAAAGATAAAGATCTGACGGCCGACAGGTGCGGTCCCAGAGATCCCCCAAGAAACGGATGTGTTTAAACATTTCACCTTGATATTGTGTTGTAGGAATTTGTCAGTGCTGCATGCTAGGGGAAATAATAACATGGTTTATTTTTATCTATAAGGACTCTTGAGTCTCTTTGTCAGGAGCTGGTGAAGCAGGGCTTACTGAAACAGGCGAAGAACATTCGGTTGCAGGATTACTTGGGTAAGATACCGCATGTTGCTGGTTTTGTTATCACTTCATCTCTATTTAGTTTAGTTGTTTTTGCAGGTTTTGCTACAACTGATCTTTAAAACTGAAAATAGCAACATAAATGTATTTTTGTGTTGTTTTGCTGCCCTCTTCTGGCTCAGTTTATTCAGCAAACCACTACTGTTCAACTGAATAGTCATTATTATGTATAACGCTTTTTTGGTTCTTTGAGTAATTTTTAATCTGTTCCTCTCCTTGTGCAGCACTTTGTCAGCAGAAGCGTTGTAAAAATATATAACTAAAATTTACCTTGATTATGACGTTATTAGAAATGATTGCTGGCACACTTGTTTGGAGACTGCAGTTGACAAAAGTTGTCAGTATATGTATATATCGTCGTCGTCGTCCTCCTCCACTTATCCGGGTCCGGGTCGCGGGGACAGCATCCCAACTAGGGAGCTCCAGACCGTTCTCTCCCCAGCCTTCTCCACCAGCTCCTCCAGAAGGACCCCAAGGTGTTCCCTGACCAGACTGGAGATGTAACCTCTCCAACGTGTCCTGGGTCGACCCGGGGGCCTCCTGCCGGCAGGACATGCCCGAAACACCTCCCCGGGGAGGCGTCCAGGGGGCATCCTGACCAGATGCCCAAACCACCTCAACTGACTCCTTTCGATCCGGAGGAGCAGTGGTTCTACTCCGAGTCCCTCCCGAATGTCCGAGCTCCTCATCCTATCTCTAAGGCTGAGCCCGGCCACCCTACGGAGGAAACTCATTTCGGCCGCTTGTATCTGCGATCTCGTTCTTTCGGTCATTACCCAAAGCTCATGACCATAGGTGAGGATTGGGACGTAGATCGACCGGTAAATCGAGAGCCTGGCTTCCTGGCTCAGCTCCCTCTTCACCACGACAGATCGGCACAGCGTCCGCATCACTGCAGATGCTGAACCAATCCGCCTGTCGATCTCCCGATCCCTCCTACCCTCACTCGTGAACAAGACCCCGAGATACTTAAACTCCTCCACTTGAGGTAGGACCTCTCCCTCGACCCGGAGTTGGCAAGCCACCCTTTTCCGGTCGAGAACCATGGTATCAGATTTGGAGGTGCTGATCTTCATCCCAGCCGCTTCACACTCGGCCGCGAACCTACCCAGCAAGAGCTGAAGGTCAGAGCTGGATGAAGCTAGGAGGACCACATCATCCGCAAAAAGCAGAGATGAGATTCTCCTGCCACCAAACTCGACACACTCCACACCACGGCTGCGCCTAGAAATTCTGTCTATAAAGGTAATGAACAGAACCGGTGACAAAGGGCAGCCCTGGCGGAGTCCAACCCTCACCGGGAACAGGTCAGACTTACTACCGGCTATGCGGACCAAACTCACGCTCCTCTTGTAAAGGGACTGAATGGCCCTTAACAGAAAGCCACCCACCCCATACTCCTGGAGCGTCCCCCACAGGGTGCCCCTGGGGACACGGTCATAAGCCTTCTCCAAATCCACAAAACACATATGGATTGTTTGGGCAAACTCCCATGCCCCCTCCATCACCCTTGCAAGGGTATAGAGCTGGTCCACTGTTCCATGGCCAGGACGAAAACCACATTGCTCCTCCTCTATCTGAGATTCAACTATCGATCGGACCCTCCTCTCCATACCTTGGAGTAGACCTTTCCAGGGAGGCTGAGCGAGTGTGATCCCCTATAGTTGGAACACACCCTCAGGTCACCCTTCTTAAAGATGGGGACCACCACCCCGGTCTGCCACTCCACAGGAACTGCCTCTGATGACCACGCAATGTTGCAGAGACGTGTCAACCATGACAGCCCTACAACATCCATAGCCTTGAGATACCCAGGACAAATCTCATCCACCCCCGGGGCAGCAATGTCTATATATATATATATATATATATATATATATATATATATATATATATATATATTCCCACCTCACATATATTGATAAATTCTGGCTAAATAGAACTAATATCAGTGTCTTAAACACAGTAAAAGTCACAAGAACACAAAAAAACGAATTTTTAAAATTAAACTGGAGTTGAATCAATAACCCCCTGAAGACTGAAGACTGAAGACTATAAAATCATAACCGCTTGATTTATGGTTCAGAGACATTACTTTTGTTTTTTTTACTAAAACATTTGAAAGAAATGAAGCTTTCTAAATAAGCATTTTCTCCTGACAGATTAAGAATTGAAAGTATTTTGTGTTTCTTTAATCTTGTGTGTGTGTGTGTGTGTGTGTGTGTGTGTGTGTGTGTGTGTGTGTGTGTGTGTGTGTGTGTGTGTGTGTGTGTGTGGGAATGGTTTCTTGGATTAGGGGTGAAACTGTCACAATTGTTTTAAGTGTGGGAAAGGGAGGGAATGTGGGTTATAGGGGTCATTTTAATCTGTTAAGCACTTTGTGTTGCTTCCTGTGCATGAAAAGTGCTATATAGATAAAGATTGATTTGATTTTGTTGAAAAGCAATCAATAATACTATGAAAGCATAATTCATTATTTGGGGTCTTTTATAAAAAAAATCTTAATTTTTTCTAAACAAAACGTATAGATTATAACAATAAATACCCACTGGATCAAACAAAAATTATATAAAAAGACACAAATCAGGTTTCCATGATGCCAAATAACAATACAAACATAAATCTACAAAAGAAAAAAATGAGGCATGGTTGCAGGAGTTTTAGTCCTTCAAACTGTTGTTCTAGATTTTGGCTTAAAATAGTTTTTTTTTTTAAGGATTTTACTGAGATTGTGTTAATCTTTTGTAGGGATATCATGCAAAATCCACTTTATGGAGTCTAGATCTCTTTTTATCTGGACTGTAAACATTATTGCCCAGTCTCTCAGGGTAGCTAGCAGGGAGTTTAATCTTCATTGTTGTGAAGAAGTGCTTTCTTTCTTATCTAGTCTGCACTTTAAATAATGCCTAGAACCCCAAAATGCATTTTTTCTGTGAGAGGTACATAATCCCAGTCCAGTCTTTCTGAAGAGAGTGACATCTCAATAATGCCAGTGGTGATATTTCATCCTATGCCTGTCGCTGCTCTGGAAGGTGTAAAATAGCCCAATACAGGCTTTTTATTGTGAACTGCGTTATGTTCAGGTAACACTAATAGTATTTCTGAAATCTGGTTTTCATGTACTTCTTTTCAGGTGACTACAGTTACCTTGGCAGCACACTGAGGCAAAATGACATTGAACCAATGCCCTCATTATCAGATGTGAGACAAGTCTTGACTTTGTTTGCAGTTTTACCGTTAGGTACGACAGTTGTTCAGTTCACATTTGAAATAAACAAATTTACAGTCAAATATAAATCATGACTCTAGATATGGTTTCATATGTTTGTGGTTTTCAGGGTCTCAAGTGGTACACGAGAAGGCTCCACTGATAAAGGCCATGCTACTGGTTGGTCCATCAGGGGTCGGCAAGAAGATGCTGGTCCATGCAGTTTGCCAGGAGACGGGTGCCACCCTGTTTGATTTGTCCCCTCTGAATACAGCTGGGAAGTACCCGGGAAAGAGCGGGCTTGCCTTGATGCTTCAAATGGTGTTTAAGGTGATTTATTGTTGTCCAGAAAATTAGTCTGACTATAAATATAGTTAAATTTTCTAACGCAGTAATAACTATTGTATTTATTTTTGATTATTGTAAAATCCAAAGTCAGTAATGGTGACTTAAGAAATGCAACTATTTCCACACAGGTTGCTAAACTGATGCAACCTTCAGTGATATGGATTGGAGACGCAGAGAAAATGTTCTACAAAAAAGTTCCCAGAGAAGAAAAGGAGGTGCTGTAGAGAAAAATGGAAGTAAAATGAAAGTGTCGAATAGTAAAAGTAGATTTATATTTTGTAGAAACACCCTCTTTATTTGTCTGTGTGAATAGCTGGACCCTAAGCGGCTGAAAAAAGATTTGCCCAAGTTGCTCAAGTTGATCAAAGGAGAAGATCGTATCCTGATAATAGGAACAACTAAGGACCCCGCCAATGCTGATATTAAGTTGTTGAGCAAAATGTACACCAAGATCGTCCTCATCCCAAGGCCTGACTATGGATCGAGATACAGTAAATACACAACATTTATTATTTCTCTCCATTAGATTGAACTATGGTGATTTTACAACTGGCCTTTCACTCTGTTTTGTTACAGTTTTGTGGAAAAAACTGATCAGAAACGAAGGAGGAGAGGTAACAGAAGCTTTGAATCTCAGCTGCCTTGCCAAGATAAGTGATGGCTACACTTCAGGTCACATTGTCCAGGCTGTCCAGAGTGTTGTTACCAAGGGACGCATCCTGCTGCAGGGGAAGAGACCGCTGACTGCTGATGAATTTGTGACATCATTAGCCAAGATTGACCCTGTGTTTCAGAAGGAGGAAGAGGCACTTAAGGTATGTCTAAATATCATTTATTCATTTATTGATTGATTTTGTAGGTTTGCAACTTTTACCCCCATTTTTTGTTTTCAGAATTGGTACGCAAAAACTCCTCTTGGAAGAAAAAGAATTAGAGCTGCCACTGGAAGAGAAGAAGAAGCACCACCACCTCAACTCAAAGCTGCAGAGATGAAAGGGAAAAACTAACTTTGTTTTCATGCTTTTCAATAAAATTCAGTTCAAATGTGTTTTTTGTAAGTTAGAGCATAATATAGTAATCTGTATTTAGTCATTTAGTAGAAATTTGTTTATTACAGACTGAGGTGGACTCTTTGCTTTGAGCCTACCAAAAACGTTGCTTTGTTAAACATAAACACAATTTACCTCTAAAAAATACACTTGCTCTCCAATGACCCTGATCAGAAAGAGGATCCCCAGAAATTCATAATTACAAATTACAGGAAACATAATTGGAGAGCAGGATATTGTTTTATTTCTATTCATTCCACTTTCACAGCTTTCATAATTACATTTCAGATATAAAAGCACACCCTGCAGAAAGTGCTGTATAAATAGTCAAAAATGGCTCATAAAGGATTTGAACCCCGGACCTCCCACACCCTAAGCAAGAATCAGTAGTACCCTAACCCTAACCCCTAGACCAACGAACCATGTTTGAACAACCTCTTATCTGTAGTTCTCTCTCAAAAGTAACCTGTCAACGTGGCAATTTATGTCTAAGATGTTGTCAACCAACACCACCATCTAGTGGCCACTTCTGGATACTACAGGCTTGTTGGTGCAGAAGGTTGATTCTTGCTATTATCGTAATTACATCCAAATTTTATTTTAAAAAATGTCTTCTATCTAAGGTAATATAATTTAGGCAAATATAGGTGACCTCACCCAACCACGGTATGGTCATTATCTGGTACGGTGACCTGTGAACCCTTTGCCCTCACCAGTGGCTGATTAGTGAGGTACTGAAGTCCTTTTAAATTTTGAAAGTGTAACATTTAAATTTACAGTTTACATTGATTACTTTCATGCAGCAGTCATCTCAAACTCCACATTGTCAAAACAGTAAACACACAGGCCTAAACATTGGCACTCATGGTCAAAGCGACACATCTTGTTTGCAAAAAGCTCTAATTATGCAAAAATAAATACCGGTAAATAAATAAAATGAAACATTCAAATAAGAGACAAAAACAAATGTATCCTTCAAACAAGTCAACTTGCAAACACATGTACGAGCTCTTCCGATCAATCACACAATAAACAACAAAATACAGCAGTCAGTGTGAATCTGTGCACTTTTACTTGGCATCTATAGTTTGCATCACAGAGTCATTTGTTATTTTTCTACACACGTGGCTTCTTGCAAGGAGCTGGATCCAGAATTAGAGATGCTTTGATGCTAATTTTATTTATTACATGACACTTTTTTTTCAAACTGTGTGAAAACTAGAATACTGTAAATATTACAGACAATACATTTAACTAAACATTTATCAGTATAGAGAAAATGAATATTGAATCTACTACAGTAGACAAACTAGTCATTATTGATACTCAGTTTCTTCCTCCTACTCCTACCTCCTCCACTTCTCATATAGTAGCTTACATGATTAGTGATAGTTATGGTTCCACAAGGCATAAGCGTCATTTGATTCTGACCTTATCCATAGGTCAGGTTTTTTTTAATTTATCCTTATTCCCGGTTGCTGCCAAGATCTGGAGAAGCGGAGAGACAACTTTATTTTATTTTATTTTATTTTTTAAGTACATACATGTTAAGTTATACTTAAGTATTTTTATTGTGTGTTTGAGTTTCATAAAGTGTTTCAATTCAAAACATACTATTTTTACAACTAACAACTATTCTAAGTGTGACTTTTTATGGTTACTCATCCTCTGGGCTCCAGTCATTTATTAAATCTTCTGTTTTGGCCTGAAGTATTATTACGCATTAAGCATCTCTAATTCTGGATCCAGCTCTTTGCAAAAAGCCACGTGTGTAGAAAAATAACAAATGACTCTGTGATGAAAGCTATAGATGCCAAGTAAACTATTTGAATAATAGCACATCATTATTCTGCTACATTTTAACATTTGTTTCTTGTAATTATGTGACATGTTAAATGATACATTTACTTGTATATCACATCTCAGAGTAAGGACTCTAAAGCACTTTACATTACAGTGTATCATTCATCCGTACACACACACACACACACACACACACACACACACACTGATGATGATGAGCTACTATGTAGCTACAGCTGCCCTGGGGCTTACTGACAGAGGCGAGGCTGTTGAGCACAGGCAGCCACCAGTCCCTCCGACTACCATCAACAGGCAAGCAGAATTCTCTGTCCGGACCCGGGATTGAACCTGCAACCTTCTGATTACTGGACAACCCGCTCTACCTGTTGAGCTACTGCTGCCCCCGTTACTGGTTACACAATGCCTCCCAGCTTGACAGGGGTTGAATTGTGGTGTTGAATCAAGCGCAGCTACAGCTGCAACTCACTGCTCCCCACGGGGATCGGTCAAAGGCTTAGTTGAATTTCACCAGTGTGGTATGACTAATGGTGCTTTAACTTTAAGTAGGCCACTAATGCCTACTTTCTCCCAGTTAGAGATGTTGATTTCATTTGAGAATGTTTTAGTCTGACCTTCAGCCCAGATGTAAAACAGAACGCCACAGTCATGTATCCCCTCTGCAGTAAGAGTATATAACTCCTTAGTTTAACTGGTACTGAGATAATCCTGGTACACAATAACATCAATGCAACAATCAGTATGTGTTCAATACTTGTGCAATGCCGGATTTACATAGTATGTCTGGATAGTTGTAGAACCCACGCTTTTAATTTATATTTGTGGTTTTTAGTGGTCAAAGGTTACAATAATAGCTTAGTGCCTAAATGTACTTTTGTTATTATTTATCTTGAAATTATTCTCTTAAGTGTTGGTGCTGCTGAGATAAGTGAATTTCCCCACTGTGGGATCAATAACGTCTATTCTGTCATGTTCTGTGTCCCCAGCTTCAGTTTATGTCTTGTATTAATTAGTTCCACCTGCCACTCATTCCCCAATCACCTGTGCCCTCTTGTATTTCAGCCCCGTCAGTTTTGTGCTGTGTGTCGGATCTTCTGCGTATCTCTGTCCCTGTGCTTGGTCTTTTTGTAAGATTAGGTTCCTGACATCACAACTAATTAAAGAGACTTTAATTACTAGAATGACACCTAAGAAAATCACATGGTCTAGAGACAGAGGTAAGACAGAGAAGTAGTCTATGTAATTGGTGGATTCTATGTTAAATACATGCTATAACAGGATTATTTCATGTTCTAACATGTTGGCATTATATAATGACATAAAACCAGGATATTATGTAAACTCATAAAACTGATGTACATAATTTAATTATGTAAATCCAACAGACTTTTTCTTTCAGTGTAAATTAACATTGACTTAATGTTAACAGAACTATGAGGATTTGTATTATTACAATGTGGAATTCCCCTTGGACCATTTGTTTTCACATTAAAGTGACAGTGTGTATTTTCCCCGGCGATAGGGGGCAGTAGATACCTAAATCGTTGCAAGCAAGCAGTATTTTTGTGTTGGAGTAAGACCTTACCAACGGATGCCCATTAGGATAAAAAAGTCCTGGGGAGTGCAAACTTCTGCAAAATGACTAATACACTAGACTCCTTTTCATCACTGGCAACGAGTGAAGAGATAAATGTCTAAAACAAAGTTTGTAAATGGTGACTGTAACAAATCAATAAATGCATTTTGTCCTCAAGGGCTCCCGTAAGAGAAAACATGGCGTCTAATATGGGGTTGCCCATAGACTGAGACCTGCTTCTATGTATGTTAGACCTGATTTTTTTGGTTATACATTACGTAGCTGCCAATATTTTTCAACAACTGGGCATCATTTATTTTATTTTGATTTCATTTCATTGTACATTTTGATTGATATTTACAGAGATTAACAGTAAAAACTACACATTGTCACTTAAAAACTTTATGCACCATTACCATTTATAGAAAGTCTTTTCTTAGAGGAAATGGGGACACAAGAAGAGACCAAGCCAATGCCAGAGTTTATTTGTTAGATAAATCTTAAATGACATCTAAAACTTCTGACTTTTTTTTTTAAACAAATAATTTATGTCCCCTTTGTTTTCTCCAATGGAAAAAATACTGATTTGTAAAATAAAATGGGTTTGTTCTTTGTGGATCACTGTTCTCTACTCAGTGACGACAGGTTGTTTTTATGCTCCAGCAGGACTTGACTGGGATTATGCGGTCGGTAGGGTTTCACTGGTTTTAGGAGCGCTCCACAGCACATGGAGCTGTCTGTCAAAAGGAGGTTGTGCACAGTGCTGGTTGTCGCTGGCTTTGTTCCGTCTAGATGACGGAAACCGATTTAAATCACTTTGAAAAAACGAAACAAAAAAACAAATCTAGACACAATCAAGAAAGGTTGACTGGTGTCGCCAACTCTACACAGAATAGCTTTGTTGTAACTCATACTTTGTATTGATTTTCCTTTGGTATATATGTGTAATTTGTTATTTCTTCACAGACTCACTAATGATGATCCATTGAAGAGTTTTATTAGTTAATCTTTCATGACTTTTGTGGAGGAAACTCCCTGCAGAAAGCCAAACACTTTAAATTTTTGCCCTGGGGTTTCGGCCTCTGCCAGACCTTGGTCTGCACTACAAGGTAAACTAAATCCTTATGCTGCATAAAAAACAAAACACACACACACACACACACACACACACACACACACACACACACACACACACACACACACACACACACGCACGCACGCACGCACGCACGCACACACACACACACACACACACTCAACATTATCTAGAGGAAATCCTTTTATAATGCTTGTAAAACAAACATCAGACGCACTAACTCTGTGGTTTACATTCGGATTGTTTCTGATGGTTTCATTGATACAAGTTCCCTCCCACTAATAAAGCCAAAGCTATCTTTGTCTTCATACTGACAGAATGCTATTTTGGAAGTTAGTATGTGGGGAGAGATACGTCAGCTGTTCAGCACTGTATTCCTTCTCCACAAGAAAAAAACAAAAAACAACTATAGGCTGTCATCTTTGAAGATTGGGATGTAGCAAGCAAACCAGGACCAAGACAAAACTCTGATCTGTGTCTATGGTGAAATTTTTATCTCTTTTTCTAACGGGAAAATTATGCAAGGATGTATTTGATCATTAAAACCTCTGATTTTTAGGTAGGTGAGTGTCTGCATGCTTTTGTACATTCTTTTAAAGATCCTTGAATATGATGCTAGCGGTATCTTTTTAAAGAACTACATCATTATGTTCCTTAACAAGATTAAATGTAGTTTCTTCACTTAATGCATTTGCTGAGTTGAATGATTGTTACATGTATTTACCCCAATGAGCTTTTACAGATATTTCGGATGGGCGTTTGTTAACATAAGGTCATTGATGTAATTTTAGCTGGAAGAAATTTTGTTAGCACCTGGAATGAGTACCAGTAGTGAAAAGAGACGACCTGTAAGGGTTTTTCGCTCTTCTGATTTGGCAACCTGCTTTTTTTTCCAGAGCTTCCCTTGTTTCTGTGTTTGCCGCACACAGGCTGATGGAGGTGGCCTCACAGCTGAGTCTATATTGGTGGTGCTGAGCTCAGCCGAGCGAGGTGACAAAGATTACTTTGCTCTTCATTGCAACGCAGAGCTGGCACACTGTCACAGGGATCAGCTGAAAGAGAGTGTGTCCACTGTGATAGACTGATCTTAGCTGTGATAGACTGATCTTAGCTCTCTGGAGGGGATTTTTATAATAATTAAAAGTAATTGTGTCCAAAACAAATGCAAGCCACAGTGGGGTTTGCATGAGTTGTGATAATAAGCTGAATAAATTGGTGGTAAGAGTGAAAATCCCTTTTAATCTTTGTCATTTTATTAGCAGCCACCAACTGATATGGCAAATTTTCTTCCTTTGTAGCTGCAGCCCATTCCTTGAAGAAGAAATTAAATATACACCTACATACAGGAGTCATGGGGGACAATAAAACTGGAGGCATAGTAGCAGCTGCGAGTACGTTTTAAACTCAAGAACAACTTTCTGTGGACGTTTACATACAATCTAACATTGTTTGTTTGTTGCCAGTGAACCGTCTGCAGGTGGTGAAGGGTTTGGAGGATGTGGAGGTATCTGAGTGTGAGTGCTGCTCCTTTGAGGTTAAACTCAACCTGGCTTACATTGAAGGAGTGTGGACCAGGGATGGGATTCAGGTTAAATCTAAGCCATCCTGTCGCATCAGCACACATGGGAAGAAACACTCCCTCGCACTGACACGGGTGGCGTTGGCAGATGGGGGTGTGTACACTTTTCAAGCCAATGGGATCCAGACCTCAGGCCGACTCAGTGTCAGAGGTAAGGTGGTACTTGGGCAGGGAACTGCCCATGATGGTCAAACAAAAGTCAGTGTCAATCTACTTGTTTCAAAATGAGAAGGAAAGTAAGAGATTAGCTATCTGAAGTAAGAGATTAGCTATCTGGATGAGAGAGAAAAAAATGCAAAAAAAAACTTTAAATACATCCTTGAAATTGTCATTGAGCTAAAAAAAATCTAAATAATTCAAGTATGAACTAAAACCTGAGTAGATAATTTTCTACATTATTTACAAAGCACTGTTTGGAAGCAATTATTAAGATAGATGTCAAAATGTGGTCTTTTTTTGCAGCTAGGTACATCTGCATCACAAAGGAGCTGGAGGACATTGATACAATAGAGCGTCAGCAGGTTAGTTTTGTCTGTGAAGTAAACGAAATAGATGTGGATGGTCGGTGGTACCGCAATGAGTGCCGAATCCGACCTGGGGACAACATCAAGATCAGGCACCATGGTGAGAAAATTATTTTACTTAAACTATATTTTGACACAAGTTGGCAAATGGACATTGGTATAACAACATTACATTTCCGGATAGACATTGGGATAATAGTGGTAAATTTCCAGGGAGACATTGGTATAACGATGGTAAATTTTCGTACAGACATTGGTATAACAATGGTACATTTCCAGATAGATGTTGGTACAACAACAGCAAATTTATGGATAGACATTGGTACAACAATGGTAAATTCCCAAATTAGCATTTTTATAATGGTGGTTCATTTCCGGATAGATAATGGTATAGCAATGGTAAATTTCCAGATAGACATTGGTACAACAACAGCAAATTTATGGATGGACATTAGTAAAACGAAGGTTAATTTCCAGATAGACAATTGTATAACAATGGTAAATTTCTGTATAGACATTGGTATAACAATGGTAAATTTCTGGATACACATTGGTAAAAGAATGGTAAATTTCCGGATAGACATTGATATAACAATGGTACATTTCCAGATAGACATTGGTATAACAATAGTAAATTTCCTGATAGACATTGATATAACAATGGTACATTTCCAGATAGACATTGGTATAACAATGGTACATTTCCGGGTAGACATTGGCATAACATATGGACACATTTCAGGTAAAACTCACACCTTGTTCTTCAAGTCAGTCAGACCAGAGCACGCAGGAGACATCAGGTTCACAGCAGAGCGTGTGTCTTCTTATGCCACCCTCTCAGTAAAAGGTGAGCCACACAGCTGACGTGATTTACGTAGGACAAATTCCTCCATCGAAGCCAAATACATTAAACTGAATATTAGACAAGTGTGAATTAAAATGAGCCCATTGAAGCCTTACATTTGTTCTGTTCTGCTTTAGAGCTCCCTGTCCAAATAATTCGTCCTCTGAGGGTCAAGATAGCCATGTATCGTCACAAAGGTCTGTTAGAGTGCCAGGTGTCCAGGCCTAATGCTCAGGTCAGGTGGTACAAGAACAGGAAAGAGCTCCAGCCTAGTAAGAAGTATCAGCTGATTAGCCAAGATGTCTACAGGCAGCTGACCATTGAAGATGTCTGCTCCTCAGATGAGGACACTTACACATGTGATGCAGGGGATGACAAAACATCATGTCAACTACTGGTGGAAGGTGAGATACTTACCACTTGTTTTAATGTAACACAACACAGAGCTGTGTGCTGCTCCTCTGCCCTACTGGTTCAAAAGTGGAATTACAATTGTCATAAACAACCCTGCAGTCTGCTGTACCTAGCGCTAACAACAAGTTAACATTAACATGAGCCAAGTGATTCTAAAATAAACCACAAATAAAAAGATTCACACTGTTGGACAAGTCCTGCAAGAAAGCTCCTTCTTGTGCTTTTTCTTTGACAATAGGTGAACTGAAAATGCTAACTGTTAGCATAAAAGCTAAAACCTGTAAAGCAGTTAAAGAGATTCCCCTAAAACACCTGCTCCCAAAAATATGTGTTTTTGGTCAGTAGATAGCTGTAGGTTGATGTTAAATAAGAAACTAGTCAAGATTCTAATTCAACAAGCACTGAGATCCATATCTAGCTTAAAAAAACTATCTTTTATTACTTTAAATCTATCTTAGTTTACAATCCATTCATAAAGCCACAGTGTGAAGAGTATGTCATGTTGTTGTGCATGCAGAGCAGGCTATCTGTATAGTGCGGGGCATCAAATCAGTGAATGTGATGGAACCAGCACCTGCACTGTTCGAGGTGGAGACCAACCTCAAGTCAGGGAGGCCCCCAAAATGGACCTTGAACAATGAGATTCTGGAACACGGTGCAGCAGTGAACATTGGCAGGGAGGGCAGCCTCCACAGTCTCTGGTTCCCGACCACAGACAGCTCCATGTCAGGGCCGGTGGTCTTTGTGGCTGGCAAGAGTCGATCCACTGCTCAGCTGATGGTGAAAGGTGAGTTTTCAAAGCTTTCTTTGTTTTTTGACTGAAGATAGAATTTCACTAAGCTTTTGAGGGGTTCAGTTGCCTTTCCGGTAAAACTTTATGATTTATGAACAGAACAAAATATAGATTATATTAGGCAAGGCAGCTTTTTTTGTATAGCACATTTCAGACACAGAAGTAATTCAATGTGCTTTCCATGAGTCAATGGGTTTCTCTAGGTCCTTTCTGGACATGAGACCTCTGAGTCTTGCTATATGATGAAAATCCACTGATATACATGAATAATGCTTTGTTCCCCCATTAGAGCGACCGCTGGAGGTTGTTCAACACTTGGATGATGTGGAAGCAAAAGAAAACAGTTCTGCATCTCTGAGCTGTGAGTTTGCCCCCTCTCCAAGGGTGGTTCGGTGGTTTAAAGGTCGAACAGCTCTGAAGACCTCCAACAAGTACAGGATGAAAAGAGAAGGGAAGCGAGCCGAGCTGGTTATTCATGGCCTGACAGGGATGGATGCAGGGCAGTACCGTTGTTTGGCTGGAGGCGCGCAGAGTACAGCACAGGTTAAGGTAGAAGGTACGTTAAAGGTTGTTTCATATGACCGTACTGCATTGCTATAGGGGTTTTTAGGGGGTTAACTTGTGTTTGTGTTGTAGTGAAAACCCTAAAGTTGGTCAAACACCTTGAACCAGTTGAGATTGAGGAGGATGGCATTGCAATGTTTTCATGTGAGCTCAATTACGTCGTTGCCCATGTGGAATGGCTCCTTAACAATGTCCACCTCAGTTCTAATGCCAGCAACCAGATCCGACACATGGGCACGATGCACAGCCTTATGATGAAAAATCTTAGACCACAGGAGAGCAGGATCACCTTCAAAGCAGGCCTCCTCTTAGACACAACTACCCTAAAGGTCAAAGGTATGTTAGAGAACCATCTCCTTTCCTATATTTAAATTTGATGTACATCCATTTGTAAAACACTCCTATTCATGAGGATTTATATTGGCTCCAGAGCGTCCAGCAGTGTTCCTCAGGTCTTTGGAAGATGTAGTGGGGGAGGAGGAAGGAGAGATTTCCTTGCAGTGTGAAATTTCCAAAGATTCAGTGACACCAGTTTGGAAGAAGGATGGTAAGGTTCTGATACCTGATGATAAATATGAGTTTGTGCAGTTTGGGAAATCCGTGGTGCTGATCATCCACTCACTGAGCAAGGAGGATGCTGGACAATACACCTGTGAACTTGGCACTAGCCAGTCCAAGGCTAAAGTTACAGTGCACGGTGAGTGGCTGGGAAAAAGCAGACACCTTTTAGTATTTTTGATTTAAAATTTATACATTCTAATACCAAATTTACTGAAGTATTTCTATTTTAACACTATCACTCTTTACAGACCTACACATTACTATTGTTCAGCGTATAAAGACAGTTTCTGTCCATGAGGGTGAAAGCTGCACATTTGAATGTCATCTATCTCATGATCTTGCTGAGGAGCCAATCTGGACAGTTAATGGCCATGTGATGGTTACCAATAGTCGCATTCAGCTCATCAACAACAGCCGCACATACAAGATGACCATCAGGGATGCTGTGATCACTGATGCTGGAGATGTGGTCTTTACAATTAAAGATCTGAGCTGTAGGACCATGCTCTTTGTCAAAGGTGAGCATTTGTGTCTCAATGATGGGTGGTCTTTAAAAAGCAGCTGAAAACTTACCAGTTCAAGCTGGCTTTTGCGTGACCTTCATCACCACCCTTTTCTTTCTTTCTTTCTTTCTTTCTTTCTTTCTTTCTTTCTTTCTTTCTTTCTTTCTTTCTTTCTTTCACTGAAAAGCGATTTAAATTTTTTTCTATTTCTGATTATAATCACTCTTGTCACTCTTGAGTTATTCATGTAGGCTGAACATTACAATAGTCTCCCACACCAATCTCCTGCATTAGCTTCTGATACAAGGATAGATATTAAGGAAGGTTGTTTTTGGTTTAGCGTTCATTAAACAGCAGATAACATCTCGGCTAGTAGACTCTAACCTTTAGCATTAGCCACTTCACAACACGACAGAGCTCCTTCAGACTTGTGATATTAACCAATGTTGCAGAACAGATTCAGTGGTAGATTGGTGTTGCTATTAGCCAATCCAAGGGGAGATGTTCAAATATCAGGAAATAAGTCTCTAAATCCTGCTGTCTGAAGATCGATTCTTCTGACTTTTCTTCTTTAGAGAAGCCAGTACATATCTTCAGGGACTTGCTGAATGTCAAGGCTGTGCCTGGAGAGGATGCAGAGCTGAGCTGTGAAATCACCAAACCAGAAGTCACCATCCACTGGCTGAAAAATGGGCATCTCATCAGGCAGAGCCCTAAATACATAATGAGCATAGATAAAAATCTGGCACGACTGGTGATCAAGAACGCCACCATCAAAGATTCTGGAGAGTACTGCTGTCAGGCTGAAGGTGTTGCATCCCGTGCCAAGCTGGAGATCAGAGGTAGTTGATGTTTTATGTACTTAAAATAAAAAAGCAAGAACCATGAACAGTTTATAACTGACAAACGTCTGAGATTCACAAATAAAAAGGGCAAAATTTGCTTTTTTTTCTCTGTGCTTTTTGAAATTTGCTACAAGATTAATATCCGTGACCGATTCCTCCATTTTGAATGTGTGGAGCAGCTTCAAATTTGATGCAGTGCTCTCCTGACAAATCGAAGAAAAACATATATTTTTTTTACCACAGGTCTTTGTGTTTCACGTGTCTCGTTAATGATTTTGATTATCAAAAATGTATGTAACTTTTATTAAAGCTTAGATTTAACTAACTTTGATTTTGAGATGCGTGAAGTTTGGACAATGGTAGGAACGAGTACGGTTTAGAATCATTAGCACCAATCAGTTTTATCAGCCTTTAAAATCTGAGTGGCTGAGAAAACTCGGTTTGTGAACAGAAGGGGACTAAGACCTCACCCCTGTGGAATGCCAAAGACCATAAGATATGTACTGTAATTTCATTTAAAACACAATAGATCTTCGTTCTTTTTTATATATAAACAAAAATCATTTGTGGGGTTGTGCTTTAAAAGTGTTTAAGAAGGGTATTTCTGATAGTCATAAGCATCCATCCATCCATCCATCCACTTTCTGAACCCGCTTGTCCACGTAGGATCGCAGGAGGGGGCTGGCGCTGCTATCTCCAGCGGTCGATGGCAGGGTACACCCAGGACTGAGCCAGTCCATCGCAGAGTCATGAGCATAATCCTTCATAATAGACATTAATAATAAGATTATGTAGGATAATGAAGTGCACAAATTCTAGTTATTTCTGTTCCTGCTATTGCTAATCACTGAAAGCTACAACAGGAACTTTGAATTGTCTGCTGGCAGTGCAAGAAGGGTGACGATCTGTTAACAGGGAGCACTGCATTCATGAAATTAGAGCATAAAATTCAGCAAGCAAAATAAAGAAAAGAAACCAAGTCTAAAATGCCCTCAAAGTAAACATAAATAAAAGTTTAGCTCTAGAATAATGTTTATGTTCAGTCCAGCAGACATTTTCAAATATAAAATATTACCTGGCTCCAACAGGGATGCCCTACTTGAAACGCTAACCCTGCAACCCGGACCCGGATAAGCAGAGGAAAACAAACGAACGGACAAAACGATCAACTTGTCCACTAAACTTTGCTCCTCCTTTCAGAACTGCAGCACACATTTGTGAGGGAGCTGAGAGACACTCAGGCAGAGGAAAAAGGTAAGGTGATCCTGGAGTGTGAGACCAGGTGGCAAGCCAAGCGTGTGACCTGGCTGAAGGGCATCTTGGAGCTCAGGTCTGGAAAGAAGTATGTCATCAAGCAGAAGGGAGTGGTTCTGTCCCTAACCATAACCTGCCTGGAGAAATCAGACACAGATATTTACACATGCGATGTTGGAACCATGCAAAGCCGGGCACACCTGACTGTGCAAGGTGAGATTATCAAGGAGTGGGTCCTCCGTTAGGTGTTCAATCACTGATGATCATTGGGTTGCTTGTTGTGTGAATAAAGGAATACAAATTTAACAGCAAAGATAATGTATGATAACTATGGAAGTTAGTCTTTACTGAAATCCGTTATATTGATGTAGTCCAACTATTGATTTCCAATACTAATAAAGTCCAATACCACAACATGCAGCCCCCCCCCCCCCGAATTCTGCTAAAAGATATAATCGAGACACAAGTTTTGACATCGTCCAGCCCTACCTCACACCTGTCTCCATTTGACATTTTGAGTGAGAAGACCAGTTCAAGAGTTTGATGTATAAAATGTGCATGGTATGTAAAAGTTGTTTTAATTGAAAGAGTAAAAACTGAAACAGCCATATTATATTTTATTGCCAATACTGGCCAATAATATCAGCCATCCCTAATATTAATCATAATTATAAATGCATTACTTGGTTCTTTTTTTTAACACAAAAGAGTAGTTTTACATTTTTTGCTGACATTTTGATCACTCCTGCGGTCTTCTTCAGAGCTCGCCGCTGTTGGCGGCGTCACTTGCTTTTGCATTTATCAGCGGGCAGCAGAGGACGGCGTCGCCCTCTGCTGCCCGCTCTCTCCTCGCTGATGACACAGTCCCCTGCGTGATCCATTGTGTAGACCACATCGTCTCTGTTCATGGTTTTGTGTCCACGTCTCGTTGTTTCTATGGCTTCCTTAAGCCATCGTTTGTATTTTTGTTGTTAGGTGTTTATGATCCTTGTTCGGTCCCAGTCCATGATATGATTCTCCCTTGTGCAGTGGTCTGTTACGGTTAGTTTTTTATAGTACTTTCTGCTTCTTGTTTAGCTGCTCTTGTGTGTCTTCGACTTGTTTCTTTCTCACACTCTTTTCTATGTTCTTTTGTTCGTGTGTCGAGTTGCCGCCTGGTGAACGTTTGATTGCAGAGTTTGCATGTGTAACAGGAGAAAGAGATTCTCCGGAGCTTCCATGATGCGTAGACTAAACAATGGCGTCGGAGTGGTTAATAAATATGTGATAACTTGTTAAATTACATCCAACAAACAGCCACATTTATTTTATAAACCTAGACATCACACTTGTCTGAATCACTTAGAAAACTCTTAAACATACAAGGTCATGCTTCATCAGAATTCACTCATTGTCTCATTTGACATCACTAAATCACCATTCACAATCATTTGCCTTTCATCATCATTAATATAGTAATAAATAGAGTTTTTATAAATTATATTTTTGTGTCCATGTCAAATTATTATGAAGGGTTGTTTCCCTGGATTAATCAAATTGAATATATTTAATTAAATTTTGATCATCCACAATTTTATGGAAATTACATTTTATTGAATACCTTTTATATTATATTGACAATTTAATTGAAGTAACCACCTACAAGACTGCAGTAGTAATAAAAATGTCAGCAAAATAAGGCATAACAACTATTTTCCGTGTTAAAAAAAGAACCAAGTAACACAGTTAGAAGAAACACACAGAATGAATGCACTAAAGACATAATTATACCTTTTTATTATCTTATTTTGAAGAAAATATCCATAAACTTTTGTTTAGTAAACCACCAAAACAACTACTGGCTTTTCCATGTTTCAGGTCAAAAAGTGCTGATCTTGGATGAATTAGAAGATGCAGAGTGTCTTGAGGGTGGGACCGTCACATTCGGCTGTCGGATTTCTCCGTGTGACTATGTGGGGGTCAAGTGGTATCTGGACGAGACTCTGCTTTACACCAATGAGCTGAATGAGATCCAGACAGCTCCAGGAGGCCTCCACACCCTCACATTCAGGCAGCTTGCTCGTAAAGACACTGGCACTATTTCTTTTGTAGCGGGGAACAAAAGATCCTATGCTTCACTGTTGGTTAGAGGTAAGATTTAGATCTTTTCTCTGAAGTTTTAATGCTTATCTTGTTGTTTAGAGTTGGTTTAGCACTCTGTCTTCATGCTACCAGAGATGCGTCCCACCATCATCAAAGCTCTGGAGGACTGTGAAGCCTTCGAGGGGGGTGGTCTGGTTTTGCTCTGTGAGACTTCCAAGCCATGCCACACAGTTTGGTACAAAGATGGCTGCTTGATGTGGCACTCATCCAGATACTTTATCACTCGTTCTGGTTGTGAAGCCCGTCTGATTTTTCGGGAGGTCAGCAGTTGTGATGCTGGAGTGTACGAGTGCAGTGCTGGATCTGTTACAACAACGGCTGTCGTTTCTGTCAAAGGTACAAACAGAAATGCATCATCAAGCTCACCGTAGACTAAAGCTGTGTGACAGACAGGATATGTGGAGACATTGTCCACATTTTTTGTCTTTTTTCAGCCATCCCAGCAGAGTTCACGCAGTTTCTGAGCCCTATGGAGGCCAAAGAAGGAGAGGCTGTTACATTAACCTGTGAATACTCTCTGCCTGGGGTCCAGTTCCACTGGAGGAAAGGTCTTGAGAGCATCAGACCCACAGAGAAGTATGTGATGAAACAGAGAAAAACAATCATCTCTCTTACCATCAAAGCCCTCACACCTGGGGATTCAGGAGAGTATACATGCCAGTGTAGACAACATCACACTACAGCAAGCCTCAAAGTACACGGTGAGCTATTTACTACCGAACGTTTCATTAAAACCTTTTTTGAAAGTTCATATTTCTGAATTCTTGTGTTTTCAGCTTTGTTGAAGCTCTTATTTTTCATTTACAATGTTTTTCTTTTCCACAGCAATTCCCATCACATTTGTTCTACAGCTAAAGAATCTGCAGGCTGAGGAGGGCAGCAATGTCATCCTGCGCTGTGAGATTTCCAAACCTGGAATACCGGTGGAATGGCGGAAGGATCATGAGCTTCTGAAGAATGGAGTCAAGTACCAGATGAGGAAAAGACTTACGACTTTGGAGCTGCTGATATGGAAGCCCGTTCCTGAGGACTGCGGGGTTTACAGCTGCGTGTGTGCCGATCAGATCACATCCGCCACAGTCACCATCACTGGTAGGAGTTAACTCACCATTTTGCTGTTTTAATGGATTCATAAGTAAACCAGCTCTAACCTACCAGTGGTTCCTCAGCTCTGCCCGTCACCTTCAAGCAGAAGCTGAGGAACGTGTTGATCGAAGAAGGCAACACGGCAACATTACGCTGTGAGCTGTCCAAACCGGGTCACACTGTGGAGTGGAGGAGAAGGGGCGATGAGGTGATCAGGAATGGAGAGAAGTACCACCTGAGACAGAGAGATGGACTCGTTGAACTCAGGATTCTTGATGTGACTCCAGAGGACAGCGACGTCTACACATGCATCTGTGGGAACATAGAGACCACGGCCACGCTTACTGTCAACGGTAAAAGTGTTTCATTTCACTCTCTGTTCATCTAGCAAGAATATGGATAAATTAGACTCAAATAACAAAAACGTTATTGTCAGGAAATGATGGGGACAAATATTTTAAACCTTCCACATTAACTGCATCTCTTTAAACTAGAAATGAACAATACTGTATATCGGCATCAATAATAAAGCAAATCATAAAATATTCGCCTTGCATAATTTCAGTCTACACAAAATTTGCTGATTTCAGAAGCGTAAATCGGTATCTGCAAGTATCGGTTATCGGCCATAACGGTGATATCGGATATCGGCCCAAAATATTCATATCGGTTCATCCCTACTTTAAACCTCTCGTGCACAAAAATATCTAGACACACATTGCTGTTTTCAAGTTTCACTTTTATTGTTCAATTCATCGTCTCGCAATTTTTAAAATGAAATTTCCAGTTCTTCCAGTCACATTCAAGCAAAAGCTGAAGAACCTACAAGTTGAGGAGGGACAGAACATCACGCTGCATTGTGAGATTTCTAAGCCTGGTGTCCCAGTGGAGTGGAGGCTTGGAGGAGAGCAGCTGGAGAATGGAGAGAAGTACCAGATCAGACAGCGAGAGTCTAACCTGGAGCTGATCATCAGAGATGCTGAGCCTGAGGACAGCGGCGTCTACATCTGTGTGTGCAGAGAGCAGAAAACAAAAGCCACGGTGAAAGTTATCGGTATGAGACATCTCCTAAAGACACGTTTCTTCTACATTTGTTGTTCTTCTTGTGTGAATGATTTTTGTTCTCTACAGCTGTTCCTGCAACATTTAAAGTGAACCTGAAGAACCAGGATGTTGAAGAGGGAAATAGTGTGACGTTAAAATGTGAGCTTTCAAAGAAAGGCATCCCTGTTCAGTGGCAGAAAGAGGGCTTGGTGCTGTCTGAAGAGGGATCCTGTGGAAAGTACCAGATGAAGTTAGAAGAAAAAAGAGCTCTGATGACTATTTTCAACGTGCAACCAGAGGATGCGGGGAGGTATAGCTGCGTGATGTGTGATGAGAAAACCACAGCGGAAGTCAGAGTAAAACGTAAGTAGACTGAAAGGAAAGAAGGACAAAAAAAAATCAGCTTGTTTTTTTTAATTTTTGCAAAGAAAATTCAAACAAGTGCAATCTTCTGTGAAACCCATGCCAGTACTTCCTGTCACCTTTACACGGGAGCTCCAGCGCCTGGTGGTTAAAGAAGGGGAATGTGGCGTTTTCTGCTGTCAGCTCAGTAAACCTGAAGCTCCCGTGGAGTGGAGGAAAGAACGGATCATCCTGAAGTCTGGAGAGAAATATGAGATGAAACGGGAAGGGCGAGTGACTAAACTGATCATCAACCACGTAGAAGAGAGTGATGCTGGCAAATACACCTGTAAGACTAAAGACAGCATGTCAGCGGCTGAGCTCGCTGTGAAAGGTGAGACCGACATGTCAGCAACTTTCCACAAACATTTTGATCTAACTGACAACAGTTGTAAGCACATTTCTATTTTCTGATGTGACAAATGATATGCCATGTATTCAACAGAATCACCTGAGCACAGACGTCTAAGAGGTCAGCTTTAAAATAAAAACAAGTCAGATCCAGTTTCTCAGCTTGAGCTCCATTACGTGTAATCACCAGACCTTAAAGGTGCAATAAGTAAGAATTATACAAAACAGTCTACGGTTAAGACCATAAAAAAGAGAATATGGTGCAAAAGTCCATTTATTTCAGTAATATAATTTAGACTGAGAGACTATCTAGGAACCCTTTGCAGGTGTTTTGAATTGATTAGCTGATTAGAGTGTGACACTTTGAGCCTAGAATATTGAACCTTTTATATTCTAATTGTCTGAGAGTTTGAATGTGGGGGTTTCATCAGCTGTAAGCCTCAGTCATCACATTTATAACAACTAAAGGCTTGAAATATCTGGCTTAGCATGGAATTAGTCTATCTCATGTTTTAGTTTCACATTTTAAGTTGAATTACTAAATAAATGAGCTTTTGCACCATGATCTATTTTTTTCCAGTTTCAGATGTAATGTCTCAATCATGTTGGAAGGAAGGTTACACTGAAACAGATTTCCTCCTCAGCCAGCTGGGAGTTTGCCCATTTTTCTCATGTTAATAAGGCCCAATCCAAATACTCGCACTTCCACACTTGCGCCCTTCAATTTCGCGAACCCGACCAGGAGTGAGAGTGCGTAGGGTGTCCCGATTCTCAAGTGCGGACGTTGATCACACCCCTTGTGCACCCTTGATCCACTCTTCACCCAAGTCTGCATCGACGCGGACTTAGGTGAAGAGTATTACCCACAATTCATTGCTGCAGGAAGAACAGCTTAAGTGCCCTCTATGAAAATATGTACTTTCTAATGAAATTAGTTCATTTTAGGACGATTAGTTGCTTTTAGACAGGGCAGCAATGAATGTAAATTTATTTCAAATGATTGTTTGGTTGTTTGTTTGAAAGTTGTTAATAAAGTTTTTTTTTTTAAAAGTATCACAGCGACCAGCATCCCGGCATGTGTTGTGGTCGATGACCCAATGCTCCCTGTCTCAGTTTGGTAATTATTTGCACACTTGTGTACTTCGCACTCGAAGCCTTACTGCACACTTTCTCCAAGTGCACTTTGCTGAAGACTGCAGGGCGCAGTGCGAGTATTGGGATTGGGCCTAAGACTGAAGAGGGACATAGGTTCTAGAGCCAATCATATTTGAGCCAGTGGGGTTGTCAAGGCTGCACCAGAAAACACTGCTGCACCAGCGTTAGTAACTTGAACATCGCCCACCAAACAGCAGCAGCGTTGTGGACAGAACGAGAAACGGGGTTTCTTGCACCCGTAGCACGCCACAGCATCCTTTTGATTTACTCTAATATTGAATAAAGAATGCTACAGGCTAACATATAATAATGCTAACGGTGACTTAGATTTAAAAAAACAAACTGTCAGCTCTAAAAATATCTGAAACTACTTTGTTCACCTACCAACATTGCGATATTAAAATGAAATGTATTTATTATCATCTTGTATGATTTGTCATCACTCATCTCTTCTGGCGCTGAGCCGTAACTGGCAACAGTCACTCAGAGTAGACTTGTTTGTTTTGATACATAGACTGCAGTACCCACATTTGACCACAAGATGTCATTCTTACTTTATGCACCTTTAATGATAAGGAGACCCTTCTGTTTCATATCTGTCATCAACCTGTTTATTCTGTTGTCTCAGTGATTTGTGTTCATTTCTCCCAGGTTTTCATTGACTGACCCGTAGCATCGTTGTTGATAGTAGATTTATTTCTTAGATTAGTAGATTACATTTCACAGTAGAACCATCCTGTACTCGTGTTTTCAGTTAGAAATGGACTATTTCCATTATAATGGATTATTTAATAATCTTTTATAATGAATCTGACAAACACCTACTTTTTCATCTAAAACATTCTTCATTTGCTGTTACGTTTATTTGAATTTCACTCAAATATATGATAATATAAGAACTTACTGTTGATTTTCTGGTCGTTGACAGATCTCCCACCTAGTTTTAAGGTCTTGTTAACTAACCAGGAGGTCAGAGAGGGCAACAGTTTGGTTCTGCACTGTGAGCTCAACAAGCCTGCTCCCTCGGTGGAGTGGAGGAAAGGAGGAGAGATACTCAGGAATGGAGACAAGTACCAGATGAGGAAAAAAGACCTGCAGGTGGAAATGAAGATCTCAGACCTCACAGTGGAGGACTCTGGAGATTATACTTGTCTGTGTGGAGAACAGAGGACAGCAGCTAGGATTGATGTGATTGGTGAGTTCATCTATCTGATCATTTCTTTTTCCAGTGTTTTTAGACTTATTAACTACTTTAAACAAAAATGTACATTTAATGCGTTAAAAAACACATTTTTTTCTAAAGCAACATTTCTCCAAATTCCCAAAGTCTGGTATCAAACTTGAGTAAGAATGGAATGTTCATGCTTTTATTTGTTCTCCTACGGACTGTAGTCTTTTGATCTGTTGAAGTAGGAAGGTGCTTGACTGTGTTGAGTCAGGCCAGAATCCCACCTTTTTTGAAACACTGTTCCTAACCTTAAGACCCACTTCTAGTTGTTGTTCTTTTATTTATCACCCAAAACTTGGGAAAGACTTAACCTGCTTTCAAACAGACATTCCCACAGCATCACCTGCACTTCAGAAGGGTATCAGAGTACGTGTAATAACTGGGGATGTCTGATATTATCAGTCTAACATTATATTGGTCAAAATCAGAATTCAAATTTAATATCAGAACATATTGTATCGGTTTTCAGTAATTTAATGACACAACTTTTACATTCCATGAAACATATAATACGTCAAACTCTTCAGTAACTTCTCCTCTCTCTCAAAAATATCAAAATATGACATGTCTGAGGTTTAGTTTTTGAGATACTTTAGTTAATTTGGCACAACTTGTGAAGTAGAAATTAAAGTGTAGTAAACAAACACTGTCCTCACAGCAGGTAGCTATGTGTGGCTAGACTAACAAATAACTAAAACAAAAACTAGAATCTTCGCCCAACCTGTTAAAAAGACAAACTCACAGCTAGGAGATGGTTTCATTTTTACTTTGACCACAGAAAATTAATAATGGACACTAGGGGGTGCTAAAAGCAAGCACAACTGCCAAGCGTGCCTTTAAAATAAAGTATCTGTCAATTCGCACAAAACATGTTTAATGATAGAAGAAATCTGATGTTAGCAGGGGCGCAGATAGGATTTTCAAACTGGGGGGGACAAAGTTCCAACGTACCCTCCCCCAAACAGACACACACACACACACACACACACACACACACACACACACACACACACACACACACACACACACACACACACACACTATTGCAAGCGCCTTAACTAGAGCTCAGTCAGTTTGTGTAATTTCCTCCAATGTTTTACGTAAAAACTAACACTTTTATATACGTGCTTGAAGCCACTATGCAGTGGAACGCTGGCAACAAAGCTCTGCCTGATCAACACTATAAATGATAAATGATCCGCACTTGTATGGCGCCTCTCAGAGTAAGGACTCCAAAGTGCTTTACACTACAGTGTATCATTCATCCATTCACACACAATCACACACTGATGGTGATGAGCTACGATGTAGCCACAGCTGCCCTGGGGCACACTGACAGAGGTGCCCCACTATTTAATTCAGTCATTTGTTATTCTTCCAATCAATTACTAACCAAAACCTCATGCTTCATGCAAAACATTAAATGATTTTCAGCATACCAATCTTTACAGAAAACATAAAAGCCCTAAAAAACTGCTCATAAAACATAATAAGAAACAATATTCACTTATCACTTAGAGCAGTAGTTCCCAAACTTTTCAGCCTGACCAAAAGATGTTCCTTCGTATTTTTACGTTATTTATAAATTTTTATTATATTTGGAAAGTTTTAATTTAAGTTTTAATTTATATATAAATATATAAATCTCTTGTAAAATTTTATATTTGACCTTTTTTATGATTATGTGGCACACTTGACTTCCACATATAATGCATGGGCATCTGCCTCTTTTTTACGGCTTTTTTTTTTTACATTGTCGCTATGTCTGTCATGTTTGCGGTGTTTTACCATCATTTCTACATCCATCACGTCCCAGAGAAGGTTAAACCAACATCAAACCAGACGTTTGGCGCTGCCCCCGTACCCCACCCTATTTGTGCGCCTGGATGTTAGTGATTTAAAATGTTGTATTTTTACTTTTTTTATGAGACAAGATACTGTTAATATCAGTATCGGAGTTAGACAATCTATTGGATATTGGTAAAAAAAAAGCCAATACTGTGCATCGCATCCCCAGTAATAACCTGATCATTGGTCTTTTATTTTCTCTAGAGAGGCCTATTAAATTCCTTCAAAAACTAAAGAACATTCAAGTGCAGGAAGGAAATGGAGTGACACTGAGCTGTGAGCTGAATAAACCCGGAGTCCCTGTGGAGTGGAAGAAGAGTGATGTTCTGCTAAGCAGTGGTGAAAAATACCAGATGAGACAATGCGGCTCCAAACTGGAGCTTCTCATCAGGAAAAGCTCTCCTGAGGACAGTGGCACTTACAGTTGTGTCTGTGATGACATCAAAACTACAGCAGTTGTCACCATCACTGGTGAGATGCACAGCATTGTAATGAAACATTCAAGATGCCACTTGAGTGTTTTGTGAAGCTGCTGCTTGTTGTTCCTCAGGAGTCCCGGTGAAGTTCAAACAGAGGCTGAAGAACCAGGAAGCTCTGGAGGAGGACAACTTGACTCTACACTGTGAGCTTTCTAAACCAGCAGTGCTGGTGGAGTGGAGGAGGGACGCACAACTCCTGAAGGATGGAGAAAAATACCAGATGAAGCAAGAGGGCAGAGTGGCCGAGATGCTGATTAGAGATTTAACTCTGGCTGATGCTGGAGAATACAGCTGCTCTGCTGGGACGGCTGTGACTTCAGCTGACATCAAAGTCAGAGGTGTGTTCACAGCTACCACCAGCCCTGAAAACTAATTAAAATCTAATAAAAAGACCAAATTTAATAATTCATGCATATTTTTCTAGCTCTTCCTGTCACATTTAGGAAAAATGTTGAAAATTTGGAGGAGAAGGAAGGAGACAGTGCAGAATTCTGCTGTGAGCTCTCCAAACTTGGAGCTCCTGTGGACTGGAGAAAAGGCCGAGTCATCCTGAAGCCTGGCTACAAGTATGAGATGAAACAAGAGGGACGCCTCACCAAGCTGATTATCAACAACCTGGAGGAGAGCGATGCTGGCAAATATACCTGCAAAACCGAAGACAGCCAATCAACAGCTGAGCTCACGGTCAAAGGTCAAAACATCAAAGAATATTTAAAGTTTCTACTTTTAGGAAAAAAGTACTTCTGGAACAGCTTTATAGCCAAAGATGTCACTTGCCTTAATAAGAATTTCTTGTTTTTTTTTTTTTTTTTTTGCTTTGCAGCTCCACCTGTCACATTCAGGACCAAACTTAGGAACCAGCAGGTGGAGGAGGAGAACAGCCTGCAGCTGAGCTGCGAGCTGTCAAAGCCTGGCCTCGCTGCTGAGTGGAGGAAAGGAAAAGAGCTGCTGAAGAACGATTTCAAGTATCAGATCCGAAACCGAAACAGCATCATGGAGCTGACCATCAAAAATGCTCAGCTGGAGGACAGTGGACTCTACAGTTGCACCTATGGAGATGCTAAAACCACAGCTAGTGTCACAGTTACACGTAAGGTCACACACGGAGACGGACATGAAACCTGACTTTTATGGACGTTAAGGGTGCTTTTTAAAGCTCTTCATGATTAAATAGCTGAATGATCACACTAAAAACGTTTTATAATGTAAATTGTTAAAAGTTTTTTCTGTACTTTATGACATCACTGTGTAGAATATTAATCCTAACCCTCTTCCTTATTTTCCCTTTTTCGAGCTAAACCCGATCACAGAAGCTGCAAAAATAACAAATAAAAAAAACATGTGAATCTTGACTAAATTAATGTTAACCTTTAGTTTTTATTTGTATTATGACTCCACATCTACAGCCATTCCCCTCACATTTAAATCGGGCCTGAAGAACCAGGAGGCTCCTGAAGGAGGGAGTGTGTGTCTGTTCTGTGAGCTGTCCAGGACCGGGGTGCCCGTGCAGTGGTGGAAGGGGGAGGACCAGCTCAGTCCTGGAGGAAGGTTCCAGATGAAGCTGAAAGGAAAGATAGCTGAGATGACCATCAGGAACATACAGCCAGAGGACGTTGGAGAGTACAGCTGCGTCTTCGGAGGGCTGAAGACAACGGCGGAAGTTAATGTGAGAGGTACTGAAAAGATTTCTTCTCAGTTTTGTGCATATTTTAATATTAGATTATTTATATAATTTGTATTCAAGATTTTCACCTTTAATGATGTAATTTCTGATTTTTCTGCCTCAGCTGCAGCTTCTGTATATTTTGAGAAGGAACTACAGGACCAAGCGGTGATGGAGGGGAAAAGTGTGCTGATGTCCTGTGAAGTGTCCAGTGCCAACGTTCCTGTCACCTGGAAGAAAGACAACAAGATGGTGGAAGAAGGAGGGCATTATGTTCTAAAGAAGAATGGTCCCACACACTCTCTGGAGATCACAAAGTTGCAACTGGAGGACTCTGGAGAGTACTGTTGTATCACCAGAGGCAAGAAGACCACTGCCAGACTAACAGTGAGAGGTACGTGAGAGCTGCAGAAGAACATGAATGTTTGTTCTTATTGTACATCGACGCCTGCTGAATGCGGCTTCTTCGTTTTTCTCAGAACGTTTTCGGATCGTTAAAGAGCTGCAGGACGTCACAGTGACAGCAGGAGAGGATGCTGTGTTTGTGTGCGAGCTGAGCCATGCTGATGTGAGCGAGGGCGTGTGGTGGCTTGGCTCAAGTCCTCTGCAGAAGAATGAAATGAACCAGATGACTTGTTCCGGGCGTCAGCAGCGCCTGGTGCTGAAAATGACAACACTTGAAGAAATGGGGACTGTACTATTTATGGTTGGGGAAGAAAGGACGTCTGCACAGCTGATAGTTGTTCCTAAACCTAAAGGTGAGCAGAAAAATAAGATTAGGGGTTATTTTTTAGAGGCATGGGGATCTAAAATGGACTTTGATTTATATTCCAGTTTTATTTGAGGAAAAGCCAAAAGACTCTGTTGTCATAGAAGGACAGACGGCTACTTTGTCCTGCACCACGTCTGACTCAACTACGTTGGTTACCTGGAGACGAAACCATGCTCCTCTGCTGAGTGGTGACAAATACCAGATGTGTAAGGAGGGTAAAGTCAACCTACTGCTTATCCAGGATGTGGAGCCCCAGGATGCTGGCATATACTCTTGTGACACAGGGGATGTGCACAGCAGTGCCAAGCTCACTGTAAAAGGTTATTCATGCTTCAGTTATCAAGAATAAATCTAAACAAGAGTTATTGGCTTCTTATAATTCTGTTCTTCGGCTTGTCTTCTCTCCAGAGCTTCCTCCGTTCTTCCAAGAGGAGCTGCAGAGTGTGGAAGCTGAGGAAGGAGGCTCAGCCTCGCTCTACTGCGAGCTCTCTAAACTTGGAGTGCCCATTCAGTGGAAGAAGGACAGGCTGCCGATAAGAGCCAGCAGGAAGTACGAGATGCGAGAAGATGGCTGCTTCCTCCAGCTTTACGTCAAAGAGCTGAAACTAGAGGATAGTGGAAGCTACTCGTGCCAAGCAGGAAGCGCAGAGACCTCCGCAACCGTGTCTGTGAAAGGTGTGTGAGGTTAAACATGAGAACTATTTCTGTGTTAAGAATTAAGCAAGTTACTTCGCCGCCTTGACCTCTCCCCTAGAGATCCCCCCGTTCTTCAAGAAAGAACTGAGAGGTGTGGAGGCTGAGGAAGGAGGAGCGGCTATGCTGCAGTGTGAGCTGTCTAAACCTGTGCTGTCGGTGCGGTGGGAGAAGAGCAGAGTGCCTCTGAGAGCAAGCAGGAAGTACGAAATGAAACAAGATGGATGCTTCATCCAACTTCTCATCAATGAGCTCAAACCTGAAGACAGCGGCAGCTACACGTGTCAGGCAGGAGGGACAGCAACCACTGCACAGGTGTCAGTGAGAGGTGTGCTCATTTGAATGATTTTATAAGTTTTATAAAACTAAAGTCACAAAAAATACATTTTTCTGTTCCTCTATTACTTCTTATACATTTTATTAACACAATATAAACTTTAAATGAAAGATATAACTAAAGTTTTACGTTTTTTTCCCCTCATTAAATTCTAACTCTGCTTTCCCAGAGCTCCCGCCTGTTTTCACAAAGAACCTGGAGAACATAAAGGCTGAAGAAAGGGGCACAGCTTCGCTTTTCTGTGAGGTTTCCAAACCAAATGTGAATATTCAGTGGAAAAAGGACAAACTTCTTCTGAGAGCCAACAGGAAGTATGAAATGAAGCAGGACGGCTGCATCTTACAGCTCAACATCAAGGATCTGAGTGCCGAGGACAGCGGCAGCTACACGTGTCAAACAGGAAGTGCAGAGACGTCCGCTGCTGTATCTGTTAGAGGTTAGTTCAGTTCAAAAAGGAAATGCTTATCATTGAAAAAAGTATTTACATCATTTATCTTTTATAGGACTGCTTCTAAATAACTTCTTCATAAACTCTATGTCATTTATCACTCAGCAATCTGTTTCATCACTGGTGCCCCTTTCACTACTCATCATTGTGATCTGTTCTCACTCGTTAACTGGCCTTCGCTCCATTCCTGCAGGTTGTTACGTTGGTATCAGTTCATACACAAAACAACCATCGGTAGAGCACCGTCATATATTCACTCGTTACTCATCATTTCCAACAACCAGCGCAATTTGCGTTCCAGTAACTTCCTCTCTATGGTTATTCCCAAAGCCTGCACCTCCTTTGGCCACTCCTCATTCCAGTTTGCTGCTCCCAACAACTGGAATGAGCTGCAAAGTCATTAAAGCTCATTACCTACATTCCATTATCTACCTTCAACTATTCCTTACAATCAATAGCTTCTGATCAATGTGCCTTCTTCTGAGTGCCTGAAGGTTGGTTTGTCTGTTTGGACCGCTTGTACACATTATATGTGAGAACAGTCTTTTTATGTCTTTATGTCTAACTGTTTTATCTTGTTTGTTTTTATCTTATCTATCTGTTGTTGTTTGGTTTAAAGCTAATTGTGTCTGTTGCTGCTGCCTTGTGGCCCAGATTGTCGTTGTAAATGAGAATGAGTAATGGACTCACCTGGTTAAATAAAGGTTAAATACCGTAAATCCTCTAATACAGGCCCGGGCCTGTATTTGACTCAAGCTCATCAAGCTCCAGGCCTTTATTGGAAGGAGGACCAGAATTAGAGGCAGGCCTCTATTTCTATTTGAGCAAAATGAACTAATGGTTCGCTGGAGTTTTTGACAATTAAAATTGCGCCCACATTATCAAAGTTAAACACATTTCTTTTAACAACAGTAGTTTCTGCTTCAGCCATCTTCCCTCTCCCCCTGCGCAGCGGCCACAAACTCACTGATGCACCTGCAGCCTCTCAGAGTTCCTGCGGCTCTAAACATTAAAATAATTATTTCATTTTCTGTTCCTCACTTCTGATTACCTTCAATGGTGTCTGTTTGTTGCAACCACCAGGTACAAAAACTAACTTGTTTTTATTTGAATATTTTTCTGTCCTGCCTGTTTATTATCTTCCTGCATCTCCTCTTAATCCTAAAGAGAAACTGCTACCTGGGTTCATATATATTTACCTTATGAGTTACCTTTGAACTGCAGTTCTAAAAGATCTGCCGACCGCAAAAACAGCAGAGTGCTCGCCGGCCACATCAGTGATCGGTGCGTCACCTGATGACAAGGTGATGCGCCCCGCTCCACAGAAAAAAGCATCAGGCGCAAATAAAAGACAGAAAACACTAAAGGATATGAGCCGACATGAACGATCGCGTGTTAAATTAGTTTTTGAGGTGGCGACACCTAATTTGATAATGTTACTGTGGCCGTGCTCAGGACGCAGATCTACCGACCGCAAAAACAGCGGAGTGCTCGCTGCTTGGAGGCCGCATCAGTGATCTGTGCGTCGGAGGACAAGGTGATGCGCCCCACCCCACAGCAGCGAAACGCATCAGGTGCAAATAAAAGACAGAAAACATTAAAGGGAATGAGCCGACATGAACGATCGCGTCTCAGTACCGACGCTCTGGCACAGCGCGTTACGGTATATATTTGCCCGTGTGCTACAACTGCTGGATATTTTCATTTTCCACCCTACTCCTTTTCCTCAGAGGTCCCACCATTCTTCAAGCAGAATTTGAAAGACGTGGCTGTTGAGGAGGGAGGTTCGGCCTCTCTGAGCTGTGAGGTGTCTAAACCAGGTGTACCGGTGCAGTGGAAGAAGAACAGACTCCCGCTCAGGTCAAACAGGAAGTATGAGATGAAGCAGGACGGCTGCTTCCTCCAGCTCCTCATCAGAGATCTCACACCTGAGGACAGCGGCAGCTACACGTGTCAGACTGGAGCTGCAGAAACAACTTCAATGTTATCAGTTCAAGGTTTGTGACTCAGAAAAGCCCAATAACTATGAATTTATGATATTATGTGATCAACATTCAGTATTATTTAGTATTTTGTCATAACAGATGGGCAAAAATGTCGTATCATTATTATGTTGTTCTTCAGAACTTCCAGTCTTCTTCGTGAAAGAGTTACAAAAGGTGGAAGCTGAGGAGGGAGGGACAGCATCTCTGGTCTGTGAAGTGTCCAAGCCTGAAGTGTCTGTGCTGTGGAAGAAAAACCGCCTGATGCTGAGAAGCAACAGGAAGTATGAGATGAAACAAGATGGCTGCATCTTACAGCTCAACATCAAGGATGTGAGTCCTGAGGACAGCGGCAGCTACACGTGTCAGGCTGGAGCTGCAGAGACCTCTGCAGCTGTGACTGTTAAAGGTGAGTACATTTCAGAAGATGAGGAAGGGTCAGAGGAATTGTGTTTACATTATACAATCTAGACATTTTCTTGACTACTTAGCTCCATCATTAAATTAGAAAACAGTGTGATAAAGCCCACATTCTCAACCCTGAAGCATGGAAAATTATTATCACTTTTCCACTTCCTCAGAGCTTCCTCCACTCTTTAAGAAGAACCTAGTAAATGTGGAAGCCAAGGAGGGAGGAACAGCTTCTCTGCTCTGTGAATTGTCTAAACCTGGGCAGTCAGTAATTTGGCAGAAAAACACGATGCCTCTCAGAACCAGCAGGAAGTTCCAGATGAAGCAGGATGGCTGCTCCATCGAGCTGGAAATCCAAGATCTCACACCTGAGGACAGCGGCAGCTACACATGTCAGACAGGAAGTGCAGAAACAACGGCAACTTTATCAGTTAAAGGTTTGTGAATGACACAATGTATGTATGGAATTATACCATCATGTAGTATTTTGTCTTGACCTCGCCAAACTCGTCCCATGGAGGACCTCCTCAGTTCCACCGGCACATCTTTTAGTGAGGAGGTGGAGTCTAGGAACTTTGGTTGGGCTTTCCAATCTCTGGTGCAGAGGTCACTGAGGTGGCAGGGCCCCAGGGGTGGATGAGATCCGCCCAGAGTTCGCTAAGGCTCTGGGTATTGTGGGGCTGTGTTGGGTTGCGCGGCTCTGCAGTACCACATGGACAAGCTCTTAAGCTGCTGACTCTGGCTGTGAGGATATTTTGTTGGAACAGAAATGCAAAAATAAGTATTTTATCTTTTTTTATGTTGTTCTTCAGAACTTCCAGTCTTCTTCAAGAAAGAGTTACAAAAGGTGGAAGCTGAGGAGGGAGGGACAGCATCTCTGGTCTGTCAAGTGTCTAAGCCTGGAGTGTCTGTGCTGTGGAAGAAAAACCGCCTGATGCTGAGAAGCAAAAGGAAGTATGAGATGAAACAAGATGGCTGCATCTTACAGCTCAACATCAACGATGTGAGTCCTGAGGACAGCGGCAGCTACACGTGTCAGGCTGGAGCTGCAGAGACCTCTGCAGCTGTGACTGTTAAAGGTTTGTGATTTTGGAAAAGTGGATATAAATTGTTGGTGTGGGCTGAGATTTTTACTATGTTAAAGGTTTTTAAGATAGTCGTGTTTAGGAGAAAAACGGACTAATGTTTTCAAACAAAAATTGCTAATTTTTATAAGAAATTACAAGCATTTTCTTTTTAATGATTCATAAATAAATCATTAACATTAATCAGTTTGATATACGTAGTAGCTGAAAACAAACATAAATTGTAGGTAAATGAAAAGTATTAGATTTTGTTTTACTAAAGCTGCTTTTTTTCTTTTCCACCCTACTCCTCTTCCTCAGAGATCCCACCATTCTTCAAGGAGAGTTTGAAAGACGTGGCTGTTGAGGAGGGAGGTTCGGCCTCTCTGAGCTGTGAGGTGTCTAAACCAGGTGTACCGGTGCAGTGGAAGAAGAACAGACTCCCGCTCAGGTCAAACAGGAAGTATGAGATGAAGCAGGACGGCTGCGTCCTCCAGCTCCTCATCAGAGATCTCACACCTGAGGACAGCGGCAGCTACACGTGTCAGACTGGAGCTTTAGAGACCTCTGCTTATGTCACTGTTAATGGTGAGTAAGCTTCAGAAAATTATACAAAACTTTTGAAAAGTTGCATTTACAGGTGCTGATCAAAGTATCATGACAACGCTGATTTATTTTAGGAATTCCATTCAAAACGTGAAACTTGTACAGGTCCTTCTAAAAAAATTAGCATGTTGTGATAAAGTTCATTATTGTCTGTAATGTATTGATAAACATTAGACTTTCATACATATTAGATTCATTACACACAACTGAAGTAGTTCAAGCCTTTCATTGTTTCTATTATTGATGATTTTGGCATACAGCTCATGAATACCCAAAATTCATATCTCAAAAAATTAGCGTATTTCATCCGACCAATAAAAGAAAAGTGTTTTTAATACAAAAAAGTCAACCTTCAAATAATTATACTCAGTTATGCACTCAATACTTGGTCAGGAAAACTTTTGCAGAAATGACTGCTTCAATGCGCTGTGGCATAGAGGCAGTCAGCAGTGGCACTGCCGAGGTGTTATGGAGGCCCAGGATGCTTCGATAGCGGCCTTAAGCTCATCCAGTGTTGGGTCTTGCACCTTCCAACTTTCTCATCACAATATCCCACATACAGTATGAGCTTATATCTCTCTATGTATAATATCCTAGATATTTATATATAATAGAAGCTTCACTGTTAACTTGTTTGGGTCTTCTCTCAGAATCTAACAACTGAATAGCAACAGTGTTGATTCTAGTATGTAGATTTCCCTACAGCAGCCAGCTGAGCACAGGAATACCATGGTCAGTAAACCATTTACCAGTGGTTTTGGCACTGTGAGCAGGTGCCAGGTCGTGCTGAAAAATGAAATCTTCATCTCCATAAAGCTTTTCAGCAGATGGAAGCATGAAGTGCTCCTAAATCTCCTGATAGCTAGCTGCATTGACCCTGCCCTTGATAAAACACAGTGGACCAACACCAGCAGCTGACATGGCACCCCAGACCATCACTGACTGTGGGTACTTGACACTGGACTTCAGGCATTTTGGCATTTCCATCTGCCCAGGCTTCCTCCAGACTCTGGCACCTTGATTTCCGAATGACATGCAAAATTTGCTTTCATCCGAAACAAAGTACGTTTGACCACTGAGCAACAGTCCAGTGCTGCTTCTCCGTAGCTCAGGTCAGGCGCTTCTGCCCCTGTTTCTGGTTCAAAAGTGGCTTGACCTGGGGAATGCGGCACCTGTAGCCCATTTCCTGCACACGCCTGTACACGGTGGCTCCGGATGTTTCTACTCCAGACAGTCCACTGCTTCCGCAGGTCCCCCAAGCTCTGGAATCGGTCCTTCTTCACAATTTTCCTTAGGGTCCGGGCACCTCTTCTCGTTGTGCAGCGTTTTCTGCCACACTTTTTCCTTCCCACAGACTTTCCACTGAGGTGCCTTGATACAGCACTGTTATGGAAAAATCTATGATTATTAATTCCTGATCATGGACTCAATCAACACACACACACACACACAAACACACACACACACACACACACACACACACACACACACACACCCTTGAAGTGTGTATACAAGAGAAACTGGAAAAATTAGAATATGGTGCAAAATATCATTTATTTAAATAATTCAGTTTGGATTGAGAGACCGTCGAAAGGCTCAGTAACCCTTTGCAAGTGTTTTGAATTAACCAGCGGATTAAAGTATGACAGTATTGAACCTTTTCACAAAATTCTACTTGTCTGAGATTTTTAATTTGGGGTATTCATACTTTCTAATCCAGTCTTTCCACTGCATGCATAAGCAGAATGTAAACGCATTTTACCCTCGAGCTTCCTGCCCACCGGGAGTGTTTCGGACATGAAATGGCAAAAAAAGCATTCCGCACAGTTAGTCCATCGAGGACACAAAATCACAGGTGAATCACAACACCACACGTGATTTCAGCAGTTCACGCAAAGAGAAAAAGGGCAGCATTGAAAATGCTCTGCAGTTTACTTTCTGTTCTGTTTGCTTCAGAGTTTTCACAGGAAATGACATAAGATTTTATTTTACTAGTTAAGAAACTGTAATGAATAAAAGGGTCCATTTTCACAATCGAATTGGCACAGCATAACCTTTTATCGTCTTCGTCTTCCTCCGCTTAATCCGGGTCCGGGTCGCGGGGGCAGCATCCCAATTAGGGAGCTCCAGGCCGTCCTCTCCCCGGCCTTGTCCACCAGCTCCTCCGGCAGGACCCCAAGGCGTTCCCGGACCAGATTGGAGATGTAACCTCTCCAACGTGTCCTGGGTCGACCCGGGGGCCTTCTGCCGGCAGGACATGCCCGAAACACCTCCCCGGGGAGGCGTCCAGGAGGCATCCTGACCAGATGCCCAAACCACCTCAACTGGCTCCTTTCGATCCGGAGGAGCAGTGGTTCTACTCCGAGTCCCTCCCGAATGTCCGAGCTCCTCACCCTATCTCTAAGGCTGAGCCCGGCCACCCTACGGAGGAAACTCATTTCGGCCGCTTGTATCCGCGATCTCGTTCTTTCGGTCATTACCCAAAGCTCATGACCATAGGTGAGGATTGGGACGTAGATCGACCGGTAAATCGAGAGCCTGGCTTTCTGGCTCAGCTCCCTCTTCCCCACGACAGATCGGCTCACCCTCCGCATCACTGCAGACGCCGAACCAATCCGCCTGTCGATCTCCCGATCCCTCCTACCCTCACTCGTGAACAAGACCCCGAGATACTTAAACTCCTCCACTTGAGGTAGGACCTCTCCCCCGACCCGGAGGTGGCAAGCCACCCTTTTCCGGTCGAGAACCATGGTCTCAGATTTGGAGGTGCTGATCCTCATCCCAGCCGCTTCACATTCGGCCGCGAACCTACCCAGCAAGAGCTGAAGGTCAGAGCTGGATGAAGCTAGGAGGACCACATCATCCGCAAAAAGCAGAGACGAGATTCTCCTGCCACCAAACTCGACACACTCCACACCACGGCTGCGTCTAGAAATTCTGTCCATAAAAGTGATGAACAGAACCGGTGACAAAGGGCAGCCCTGGCGGAGTCCAACCCTCACTGGGAACAGGTCCGACTTACTACCGGCTATGCGGACCAAACTCACGCTCCTCTGGTAAAGGGACTGAATGGCCCTTAACAGAAAGCCACCCACCCCATACTCCTGGAGCGTCCCCCACAGGGTGCCCCTGGGGACACGGTCATAAGCCTTCTCCAAATCCACAAAGCACATGTGGATTGGTTGGGCAAACTCCCATGCCCCCTCCATCACCCTTGCAAGGGTATAGCGCTGGTCCACAGTTCCACGGCCAGGACGAAAACCACATTGCTCCTCCTCTATCTGAGATTCAACTATCGATCGGACCCTCCTCTCCAGTACCTTGGCGTAGACCTTTCCAGGGAGGCTGAGGAGTGTGATCCCCCTATAGTTGGAACACACCCTCAGGTCACCCTTCTTAAAGATGGGGACCACCACCCCGGTCTGCCACTCCCTAGGAACTGCCCCCGATGACCACGCAATGTTGTAGAGACGTGTCAACCATGACAGCCCTACAACATCCATAGCCTTGAGATACCCAGGACGAACCTCATCCGCCCCCGGGGCTCCGCCGCTGTGTAGTTGTTTGACTACCTCAGCAACTTCTGCCACCGAGATCGGACAGTCCTTCCCCAGGCCTCCCAGCTCTGGTTCCTCCTCGGAATGCGCATTGGTGGGATTGAGGAGCTCCTCAAAGTATTCCTTCCACCGTCCGACTATAGCCTCAGTTGACGTCAGCAGCTCCCCATCCCCACTGTAAACAGTGTGAGCGAGTTGCTGCCTTCCTCTCCTGAGGCGCCGGACAGTTTGCCAGAACCTCTTTGGAGCCGATCGATAGTCTTTCTCCATGGCCTCACCAAACTCCTCCCACGCCCGAGATTTTGCCTCGGCAACTGCCACTGCTGCACCCCGCTTGGCTATCCGGTACCTGTCTGCTGCCTCCGGAGACCCACAGACCAGCCACGCCCTGTAGGCCTCCTTCTTCAGCCTGACGGCTCCCCGAACCTCTGGTGTCCACCAGCGGGTACGGGGGTTGCCACCACGACTGGCACCGGCCACCTTACGACCACAGCTAGCAACAGCCGCCTCGACAATCGCAGAGTGGAACAAGGCCCACTCGGACTCAATGTCCCCCACTGCTCTCGGGACGTGGTCAAAGCTCTGCCGGAGGTGGGAGTTGAAGACCGTCTTGACAGGTTCTTCTGCCAGGCGTTCCCAGCAGACCCTCACTATGCGTTTGGGTCTGCCAGGTCTACGCGGCATGTTCCCTTGCCATCTGATCCAACTCACCACCAGGTGGTGATCAGTTGACAGCTCCGCCCCTCTCTTCACTCGGGTGCCCAAAACATACGGCCGCAGGTCAGATGATACGACTACAAAATCTATCATCGACCTGTGACCTAGGCTGCCCTGGTACCAAGTGTACCGGTGGGCATCCTTATGTTCGAACATGGTGTTCGTTATGGCCAAACTGCGGCTTGCACAGAAGTCCAATAACAAAACACCGCTCGAGTTCAGATTAGGTGGGCCGTTCCTCCCAATCACACCCCTCCAGGTCAAGCTGTCATTGCCCACGTGAGCATTGAAGTCCCCCAGCAGGACAATGGAGTCCCCTGATGGAGCACTATCTAGCACTTGTCCCAGGGACTCCAAAAAGGGTGGGTACTCTGAACTGATATTTGGCCCATAAGCACAAACAACAGTCAGGACCCATTCCCCGACCTGAAGGCGCAAGGAAGCTACCCTCTTGTCCCCCGGGGTAAACCCCAACACACAAGCAGAGAGTCTCGGGGCTAACAAAAAGCCAACCCCAGCCCTCCGCCTCTCACCCGGAGCAACTCCAGCAAAGTAGAGTGTCCAACCCCTCTCCAGGTCTCGGGTTCCAGAGCCAATGCAATGTGTCGAGGTGAGTCCGACTATATCTAGCCGGTACCGCTCAACCTCTGCCACAAGCTCCGGCTCCTTCCCCGCCAGCGAGGTGACGTTCCATGTCCCAAAAACTAG